TTGAGTTTATGGAAATTTATGTGTAAAATTGTTAAAAAAAAATTGAGAATTGAAATTGGGAATGTGTCAAAGAGACAACAATCCGACCAATGAGTCAAAAACAGACCAAGGCCACCAATTGGTTTTCAACACAGCGAGAAAATCCCGCACCCGGAGGCGGGCTTCAGCTTGCACATAAACAAAAATGTGTACTAGTTCAGTGAAAATGGGCTAACTGCGAAACATATAAATGAACTAAAATTCAAAAAAGATATTTTAAAATATATAATTTAAACTTTTTAATATTACATTTAAAGTATGATAAATGTATGAAAAACACATGTTGGGCCCTGTGAGTGAAAAAAAAGATATTGAGAACTAGGCTCTAACCCTTGGCAATTTTGTATTACAATGCTTTCAACAGAAACATATAGCACTTAGTATAGTATTTTGATTTCAGGGGAATATGTAAAACATTGTTACAATATATAACGTCATCTTCAATTTTCAATGTGCAGACCAATTTTAGATTTTGACCCTATGAGTGACATTTATAAGTCCAGGGAAAATTGGCCTCGTCGCTTTCAAAGACCCCTCACCCCCTTTTTTTTCCTAAAAATTGGAGGAAAGCCAAATGTTTATCAAGTGCCTGTGCTTTTGGCTATTTCTGTGGTTGACCTTACCTGCTGCCAACAATTAGGTTTCGATGCTTTACTGTTTGAAAAAAAATGGTTAAACAAGTTCACGGTTATGAATGATTATCAAAATATCTTTATTGCAATCACGCAAAGTCGAAACCAACAAAATAAACCACCATTTACTGAGGCAAAATAATAAGAAACTGATCAAACTCAATAAGACTCACAACCTTATATTTTGTGATATACGAAGTCGTAGCAATTTTATCACATATTTTATATTTTGATATAAATCAAGTAAGGCGAAAAGTACAATAATGTGCCGAGCATCGTGATAGACATCTTCTTTTTGACTGCTTCCTAGTGACTCATAAGATGGTCTACTAAACGACGACTTGAAGTGGGACCTTTTCTTAAAAATAATCTAAATAACGTATACATATTACCGTCTTGAATGTTAATGTAATATGTCTTATATTGGCTGATTGGCCTCAGTCATCATGCAATTCTAAAAATCTTACATAACCAACCTTTCAAACTTAAAAGTAAAGATCATGCATCCTTATTGTTCAGATTGATAATATCTTTTCCATTCGTCGACATTATCTCCGAATTAAAAAATACTATTGATCTGAATAACCGCTGTGCATACTTTAATGACAGGGCTAGTTTTCCTATTAGATAAGTAGTAACCTCCCTTGTTAATGTGATGTTGTAATTAATCGTTTAATTTTCACCATCTATATAATATTTCATTGTATTATTCAAATTTGTGATTCATTTTATATTTAAATAAAATAATTTTATATTTTTTTATAGATAAAAACAAGGAAATTTGAAAGTCTTTGATTCATTTATCACCTTTCAAATCAAAAGTCAGGCGGTCTATTCTGTCTACATTAAGTAGTAAATACACCGGGGTATGAATGGCTATGAAAAAGGAAAGGAAAACATTGTATAACGTAAAAACGAGACTTAAATAGAGCAAAATGCAGAAATCAAATGCAAATGTTGATTCTTTTCTTGTTTAGAGAAATCAAAAACACTTATGATATTCATTTTGGTTTTTGAAAAATCAAAAACGAAAAATGAAAAGACTTCCGTTTTCCGTTTTGGTTTTCGAGAAATCAAAAATGAAAAACGAAAACACTTTTGTTTTTCATTTTGGTTTTTAAGAAATCAAAAACGAAAAATGAAAACACTTTCGTTTTTTGTTTTTTGTTTTTGATATTTCAAAACAAAAAACGAATGGACGCAAATATACACGGACCCATGTGGCAGTGTGGTGTCTGCTTTTGAAATTTTGGAAATTTCTATCGTTACCATGGAAAAATAAAAAATTTCACAAATTTCATAATGCTCCAAACTTAATGAAACTTTACAAAAATGAAAATTTGCATGTGTAGATGCGCTCATTGACTTTGGAATTTTCAAAATGGCTGCCGCCCACCTGGCAATGGGGGAAGGGTGCCATCCGTTATTGCTAGCAATTACAAATCTAGTTATTATTATTATTCTTCTTCCCACTTCCCACTTCCCTCTTCCCTCTTCCTCTTCCGGCACTTTTTTAAATGAACTTTTCCGCACTCGTTCTCCAAAACCGCTAGTCAGATTTACTTAAAGTTTCACAATATGTTAGACTAACATGTCTAGTGGTGCAATCAGGGTTTCGTTTGTGCATTGGGGTCTGAAAAGGGGTACTTTGAGGGGCCAAAAGAAGGGAGGGGTTTACTATAGAACCCTATGGGATTTTAATTTTTTTTTATTTTCAAATGATTATAACTTGAAAACTGTTAGTGATAGACACAATCTTTATAATTGAAAATGTTCTACATGATAAAGCACATCAAATGAAATAAAGGGTTAGTCCCCAATGGTCACCCCCCACCCCCTGCCATCAGACAAAGTTCTAATATCTTGTAAGTGGTCGAGATCCCCACCCCTAAACCATATATATTCTGGTTAGTCATGATACAGCACATTAAATGAAATAAAGTATTAGTCCCCAGGGGTCACCTCCACCCCTTGCCATTTGAGAAAGTTCTAATATCTTGTAAGTTGTCGAGATCCCCACCCCTAAACCGTATATATTCTTGTTTGTCATGATACAGTCCTTCAAATGAAATAAAGGATTAGTCCCCAGGGGTCACCCCACCCCCTGCCATTTGAAAAAGTTCTAATATCTTGTAAATGGTCGAGATCCCCACCCCTAAACCATATATATTCTGGTTAGTCATGATACAGCACATTAAATGAAGTAAAGTATTAGTTCCCAGGGGTCATCCCCACCCCCTGCCATTTTAGAAAGTTCTAATATCTTGTAAATGGTTGAGATCCCCTGCCCTAAACTCTATATATCCCTGTTCGTCATTTCACAAAGATTCAAATGATATATAGGGTCAGTCCCCAGGGGTCCCCTACCCCCAATGATCTAATATCTTGTAAATGTTCGAGATCCCCATCCCTAAACCATATATATTCCTATTCGTCATGTCACAAAGATTTGAAAGATATATAGGGTCAGTCCCCAGGGATCACCCCCACCCCCTGCCATTTGAGAAAGTTTTAATATCTTGTAAATGGTTGAGATCCCCACCCCTAAATCATATATATTCCTGTTCATCATGTCACAAATATTTGAAAGATATATAGGGTCAGACCCCAGGGTTCCCCCCCCCCCCCCCCCCCCCCACCCCCAATGATCTAATATCTTGTAAATGGTCGAAATCCTCACCCCTAAACCATATATATTCCTATTCGTCATGTCAAGAAGATTTGAATGATATATAGTGTCAGTCCCCAGGGGTCCCCACACCCCCAATGATCTAATATCTTGTAAATGGTCGAGATCCCCACCCCTAAACCATATATAGTCCTATTCGTCATGTCAAGAAGATTTGAATGATATACAGGGTCAGTCCCCAGGCATCACTAATGCATATAACTTTACTGGACCAAACCAATTTTCGCTGGACTTTATGATGTCAGGCAACCCTGAGAATTACAAATCATGGGAGCTTCGTTTGGGAGACTTCGTAACAGCATCCTGTTACAATCAATTCTTATTATTTTTGTGCCTTGTACCGATCTTTTGAGTTAATCCAATTGCTAATTCCAATTAATACAGTTTGTTCTTTAAGTTGTGCTGTTACACCACTGACCAGGTTAGCGAAGGATGAGCATTCACAAGTCAGGAACTTGTAGTGCAGTGGTTGTCGATGGATCATGTCTGTTGTATTTGTTTTTGGTAAATTGTTTTGTTATAAATTAGGCCGTTAGTTTTTTATTTCGTTTGAATTGTTTCACATTTTTCATGTCAGGGCCTTTTAAAGCTGACTGTTTTTTTCTCATTGTTGAAGGCCGTACATTTGTCTATAATTGCTTGCATTGACTTCATTTGAACTCCTGTGGATAGTTGTCTCATTGGCAATCATATCACTTGTCTTTATTATCATAAGTTCAGTAAGAGACTTATTATTTGGCCCTGAATATTAAGTCCATTATTCAAGATAAAAAATGTTTTAATTTGATGAATAGACACGTAAGAAAGTGAAATAGAACTTTTTTGTACAGCTTTTCTTCTTAAGCATAGAAATTTACAACCCAAATAGGATGTAAATAGAGATTAATATGAAATTTGACAAAACTTCTGGATTTCAACTAAATTTAAGCCTAGGAAACACAGAGCTAAGACTTAAAAAAATAAAAATTAGATATTCAAGTCAGATATGTAAAATGTTATGACAAACATTATTGTCCCCTGTGTAACGAGTTGGGGGTACATGGAAGTATCAGGCGTCCGTTTGTCCGTCTGTCTGTCCTTTTTTCTGTACGTACGTCCGTCTGTTCAATCCAGTCTTGTTAGCGCTCTCACAGGTACAATTCTTGCTAGATTTTTATAAAACTTATACCATAGGTTAATATTAGCAATATCTCGGACAAATTTTATAATGGTGGACGATTGACTTTTTTTAAAAGAGTTATTACCCTTGGAAATATTAAATTTATGGAAAATGGCCTCATTAGCACTCTCACGGGTACAAGTTTGTAGTATACTATAAGTAATGCCCTTGAAGGTCTGTTTGAAATATTTAGTATACAACAAAAAAACTTTTTTGTTCCCCTGCGCACGCTTTTTATTTATAAATTGTTTTAAAGAACATTGTTACAAAAAAAATTTTTTTTTTTAGTTATTGTCCCTGAATAGATAAAATATGTGCAACGCAGGGGACATTGGAACATAATGTTCTTTTATTTTAAAAGTTCTTTTTTGTCGATTTGTAAATCAATTTTGTTAGATCAATTTGGGCCAAAGAGCACATCATCTTTTTAAAAAAAACATCTACAAGAATAGGAAGTGACTGATTTGTTATTTACTTTCAGATTGTGCTATAGACCATGTGCGATGCTCCATAACTGCATCTGATTGTGTATCTGTGTATAAATTGTGTAATGGATACCCAGACTGTGCTAATGGATTTGACGAGCAGCATTGTCTCAACTGTAAGTTATTTACAGATATGAGGATCTGGATGGGGTTTTCAGATCTAGAATAGAAAATAATGGGCCAAGATTACAGAAAAATGTGTGTAGGGGGGGTGAGATAAAGAATAGTGAAAAATGGGCCAAAGATAGAGAATAATGGACACAAAAAATATTATGAAAAGAGAAAAATGACAAAAATTTAAGGATACAGAAATGAAGACCCCTCATCAAGACCCTCAGATGTGATATAAATAAAAGAAGAAGTGTTGAATATGTAGATGAAACAGTAACCCAAACAACAATGCTTAAAGAACCATTGTAGACATCTGGAGGTCAAAATATGGTCATCAACAATTGACAAATTTTTTACCAACCGTTCGAGATCCTCATGGGTATGTTGGAGATCCTCATGGGCAGTCACGGTCGATAAACACATTTTGGGTCTATCAAACCCCTACTGCCTGTTTTAAGTTGAATAAACTTAAAGTTTTCATCCCACTTTTTTCCAATACTACTTATAAACAGAATGACTTCTTATGTGGTCAGCAGCTCAATACATGTAGTGACTAGTTATATGTGTGTGCTCTTTCCTATTTGTCAGACAACTACTTTCTGCTTTCAGATACTGTTTGAATAATGAATGGGAGTATGCTCAGTATGGCAATGCATTCATACTAGGTTTTTTTCAGCTCTTTAATGCTGTTTTGACCTATTCAATTAAAGAGAATTATTTAATACAAGATGATGGAAATGTTTTTGGTTAGAATTCTTTTGCAAATTTTTCGGAATACATAATTGGATGATGTCCACAGTACAGCTTGTAGGCTTCTGTATATATAGAGAATATCATATGGCTTTTTCAATATCACATCCGTATCAACCCGAGACACCAATATAATCCCAAGAGCTTTGCTCGAGGGATTATATTGGTTGAGGGTTGATACGGTGTGTGATATTGAAAAAGCCATATCATATACACTTTATTATATACATATACCTCACGTAGTTGTTTTTTATGTGACATGGCGTCAAACAGGTAAGGAGGTTTGAAATGACGTCATACAGATTATAGGTTTGACATGACGTCATACAGATTAGGGGTTTGATAAAGCCTTTACAACAGTGACTGCAATCGATGACGTGACGTCATACAGATTAAAGGTGTGATAAAGCCTTTGCAACCGTGCTGATATCGATATCATCACGGGTGGCTGATACAGCACGCTTGCCAATGATTGTATTACATATACAATTTATCTGTATTTACTACTAAGTATATAATAAATATAGTTATTTACTATTGAGGATAATGCCTGGCAATAATATAATGTAATAATGCAATAATATTTTAGATACAACACTGACTAGCACCCAAAGTACACCATCAGTTGATACTACCACCATGACCACACTGATGCCACACAATGCCACTACGTCTAGAATATCAACTTCTCCTGTCGCTAGTAACATAGGTAAGGCAGTCTGTCTAAAACATAGAATACCACTGTATACCAAATTATCTACTGTAAATATAGAAATTAAAGCGAGGTTTTTTATAATGCAAATAATGCGGCAGTAACAGGTTCGCAATAATAAAAATTTGCATTCATAATTTCAAAATTGATTTTCATTCATTAAAGTTTTGCAATCACATTATTTATGATTAGATTTTCAATTTGCCAATGGTCAAGGATTAGCATTATTAAAGGCATGCAATAATTTCTAAATTTACAATATTTCCACTGTCAATATATATTTGTCCCTCTGATGACATGTCATAGGCCTGTCATAATATAGGTAAGAAAAGGCAGTTGGTCTTAAGCATATAGAATACCACTGTACATGGAAGAATCTACTTCCGCTGTCCATGTATATTTGTTCCTCATGTCTTTCTACGTCTGTGATAATACACTGTGGATTCATTATTATTCATGGGATACCAATTTTTGTGGATTCATTATTATTCATGGGATACCAATTTTTGTGGATTTGGTAGGTAAAGGTTGACATTTAAATGTTCAATGAATTACAAATTGTCTATATATATGCATGTATGCATGCTTTTGTATAACCATGAAATTAAATATCCACAAAAATAGCAGTTTTACTCAATACACCAAAATTGGTTCCAATGGAATTAAACGAAGCCACAGTAGGTAAGAAAAGGATGTCTGTCTCAATTAAAGCATAGGATACCACTGTAATTACACCAAAATATTTACTTCTGCTGTCGATGTATATTTTGTTCCTCTTAACAGAAGTTCCTCTTTAAACTTTGCTTTAAACAATTCTATAATATCTGTTCTATGCCCTTCATTCTGTTGGGAACATAACTAATATTTCTTTATTGTGGAAATAGTATTGCAGAACATTTCTTTCTTTTTGAACTAGTGCTATTTTTACAGCTACAATTAAAACATTATTGCCAAATTTGCATAGATTATTCATGACAAAACACTGTTTTGTAAATAAAAAGATATCCATGAGATAGAACTTTGAAAGAAAATATGAGAAGATATGTTTTATAAATTAATATGCTAAGTAGTTAATAAGCAGCCTGTGGAATCTCATTCTAAATTTGTACGATCACGAAAAATAATTGAATTTAATTGGATTAAAAAATTACAGACAGTCTATCCTCTCGGTCTTAATGACAATATCATGGGAATTGGTAATATATCTAGAACAGATTCTGTTAACATTTTGAATATAGTTTCTAAAACAGTTCGTAAAAACCGTTCTCATGGGCGTAGAATAAATCGCAATCAAAGAAAATTTGGTAATAACAATACAAATATTTCGGACCTAATTTCAATTTCCAAAAACAACGGTAGACATTATCTATTAACCAGGCTCTGTTCTTTGCCTGTTAATAAATTACATCAAATTTTGGAGGAATGCAACACAATTTCATATTGCAGTCCTAAGTATGAAATCGTCCAAATTATAATTGCATATTGTTATTCTAAACTGTTTCCCAAAATTGATCGCCCTGAAGATCACAAAAAACATTTTATTAAAATCAAATATGTCAATAAAGGTTTTGATTTTGTAAATATTGCCGATACTGTAAATTCAGAAATTATTGTGAAGTTTTTATTATTGCAAAAAATGCGACAGGACAAATTCCTGGCTATTTTGATAATACTGAACTCCCTCTTATTTGTTATGTTTACAAAAAATCTACCCAGAAATATGTATTTAATTACAGTGAAGTGTGTAAAGATGTTAATATCAGTGACAATACACCTACTTCATGAAATTGCAGTAATTCCGAATACATTTATGGCCCCAGTTCCCATGTTATAACAGGAGACCTGAACATCGTTCGTGACCAAGAGTTGAAATCATTCCTCAGTAAAGGACCTAAATATCGTCCCCTGTCAATTATTAATTGGAATGAGTGTCGTAACATCATCCACGACTCACTCCGTACTTATTGCTCTAAATGCATGAATAAAACGAGAAAAAGCTGACAAGAAATCATTAGATTCTTTTTTTAATTCGGTAATGAACATAGTGGATATACGTATTCAACATTTTAAAGATCGGTTTACTCTTAACAACAACCATAATAGCCCAGTTTCTCGTATCAAACATAAGATTAAAGAACTCGCCAAGGAATTTGTTTTTGTCCCGGCTGATAAGGCTACTAACAATATTATTATTGTCTGATGTAAATTTTACATTGAGGTTCTACAAAAGGAAATCACGAATTCACCAACATTCCAACTGACTCCATTTTCGGAAAATGACATCTGTAACAAACATAAACTTTTAGCTACCTCTTTACAAGCAGAACCAAATACAATGAAAGTTCCAACTATGTACTGGCTTCCGAAGCTGCACAAAACTCCTTACCAATATAGATTTATTTCGTCTTCAAGCCATTGTTCCACTACTAAACTATCTATTCTACTTACTAGTACACTTAGTACAATCAAAAATCTGGTAATAAATTGTTCAAATAAGGCCTTTGAAAATAGTGGTATTAATTACTTTTGGAGTGTCAAAAATTCGTTGGAAGTACTTGATAAATTGCATGCTTATATTGGTGATTTCAAATCTGTTCAAAGTTTTGATTTTTCTACCCTATATACCACTTTGCCTCATAATCTTATTAAGAAAAAAAATTCACACACCTGATTAAATAGGCATTTAAAAAGTCGGAATGCAAATATATTTGTTCAAACTCTTTTAGGTCATTTTTTAGTAACAACAAACAAAAGAACTATGTCAATTGGACCTGCTTTGATACTATAACTGCCCTTGAATTTTTACTAGATAACATTTTTGTTCGCTATGGAGATTCCGTATATTGTCAGGTTATCGGAATTCCCATGGGGACCAACTGTGCACCACTTATTGCAGACCTGTTTCTGTATTGTTATGAGTTACAATTTATGACTAGAATCAGCAAAGACCCATCGAAACAACATCTGGTTCAAAAATTTAATAACACTTTTAGATATTTAGATGATATATAATGACGACTTCAGTACGTACACTAAAGAGATTTATCCTGCCGAACTGACTTTTAATAAAGCTAATACTAACAATGAACACTGCCCTTTCCTGGATCTTGATATCTATATCTTTAACGGGAAGCTTAATACCAAAATTTATGATAAAAGAGATGATTTTTCATTTCCTATTGTTAATTATCCATTTTTAGATGGTGACGTTCCCTTGTCACCAACTTATGGTGTTTATATATCTCAACTTGTTCGATTCGCTCTTGTATGTAACAACGTATTTGATTTCATCGAAAGAAATTTCTGAATTACTGAAAAATTATTACACCAGGGTTTTCGATATCACAAACTAGTCAAAACATTTACTAAATTTTATCATCGGTACAAGGACATCGTTCATAAATATAAATCAACATGCAGACATCTTACTGTAAACCGGGAAATTTCTGCGCCGTCTTTTTTTCGTGATTTACCAACAAAATCTAGATTCGCGCCGTTTTGAATTCGCGATGTCCCGGTCGGTGTCCTATGTAAGTATTTTTCATAAATGATTTGGAAACTGTACAGTGTTAATAAATGTATTTAAATCAAGTGATAAAACCCATAAAAATTCCTTTTTGTCGGTTCACATTTAAAACTATTAGTCATGTTTGCTTGTAAAAACACAATCACAATAATCAAAGAGGAATGACCAAACTAAGAGTGAATTAAATGCTGACAGAATTACTGCTTATTAGTTAATATTTTAATCTGATTGATCTGTGCAGCAGATACAAGGGTAATCATTTTAAAACTGATTGCCAGGTGGCATTTACATAACTGTAACGATAGTTGTTTATTTAGCAATATCCGTAATGTCCAGTTGGATTAATAAGAACTATCATGAGATAAGGTTTTGATATCTAACACTGACTTTACTTTAGAAATAAAGTTATGTTTTGCGGTATAGATCTGCATTTCCTATTGACATATGTTCATGTATGGTCTTCATATTCGTGTTCTGATTTCCTTGAAATGTTTGCGGTCGATTTATTTTCGCATTTTTCAACTCCTCACCGGGAAAATAGCGAAAATAAAACTGCCGCGAAAAATTTCCCTGTTTACGGTATACGATCAGGTATTTCACATCCAATATTTTATGGTAATATTTTTTACAAAGCACAAAAATGTCGGCATTCACCTCAAAAGCTAACCAAACCTTTAAACAGACTTATTAAGAAGGGATATAGTTACGATACTGTTGTCAGGTCATTAAAGATTGCATATTTTTAGTATTAATATTGATTCACTCATAGGGTCTTTGCATCGGAAATAAACACATTTATTCTAAAACCAGTTGTTGGCATAATACGGGTTATGTTCTTCTCATATATTTTATGATGGTATGATACTAAACCCCTAACGGGAGGGATTGTACTTGATTTTCATATGATGAAGACATAATCTTTCAATCAGTTTAATTGAGGTCTGGAGCTGGCATGTCAGTAACTGCTAGTAGTCCTTTGTTAATTTATGTATCATTGTCATTTTGCTTAGTTTCTTTTGTTACCTATTCTGACATCGGACTCGGACATCTTTTGAACTAAGTTTTACTGTGCGTATTGCTATGTGTTTCTTTATTCTACATTGGCTAGAGGTATAGGGTGAGGGTTGAGATCTCACAAAACATGTATAACCCCGCCACATTTTTCACCTGTCCCAAGTCAGGAGCCTCTGGCCTTTGTTAGTCTTGTATGTTTTTTAATTTTAGTTCATTTATATTTTTTGGAGTTTAGTGTAACGTCCATTTTCACTGAACTAGTACACAATTTTATTTAGGGGCCAGTTGAGGACCACCTCCGGGTGTGGGATTTTCTTGCTGCGTTGAAGACCCATTGGTGGCCTTCGGCTGTTGTCTGCTCTTTGGTTGGGTTGTTGCTTCTTTGACATATTCCCCATTTCCATTCTCAGTTTTATTGTTTTCTTGCTTAAAGAAAAAAATGAAAATTTCTTTAACATTCCTTTTTACAATTTTTACTAATTGAGTTATCTCCCCTTAAATGGCTTAGTTGAAAAATAGATTCAATTTAACACAAATATTTGGTATTTGTTAAAAAAGTCTAAATAATGCAATAGATCACTTATTTTTCTTTATTTGAATAAACAGTCTCAGTTCTATGTCATTTGGTCTATGGTGGAGAGTTGTCTCATTGCCATTGGCAATCATACCCCATCCTCTTATTTTCATATTTGCACATTGATTGCCAATCTATCTCAAAATTTGCAGATTAAAGCAAAGACCTAGACCAATTGAGTACTGCTATTTCACTGAATCCAAGATGGCAAATACAGTTAATCTACCTTAAATAGATACTGTTTTTAAGATTAAGCCTGGAAAAGCTGTATATATTTTGCCCACATAAACAATTACACTTTCACATGAAGAGATACTTAATGTATAATTTGTTGTAAACATTGTTTTTTTCTTAGAAGTGCGGCTTGTTAATGGATCTAACTGCTTGGAAGGAAGAGTAGAAATAAAAATAAATGGAGTATGGGGAACTATATCTACATCTAATGCACCATTTAGTTCCAGGGAAGCTAGTGTCATCTGCAAAGTATTAGGATTCAGGTGAGAGTTAAACATTTACTGTCTGGAAGCCTGGTGTCATTTATAATCGTTTGCTATTAGGTGAGATCTTACCTTTAAAGAGGCTAGTGTCATCTAAAATCGTTTCAAGTTTAAGGTGATATTTTGCTGTCAGAAAGGCTGGTGTCATCTATAAAAGTTGGTTTCAGGTTAGATTTCTACTGTCAGAGAGTCTGGTGTCATCTATTAACAGTTAGTTTCAGGTGAGGTTTTAGTGTCAAACTGGCTAGTGTCATCTATAAATAGTTGGTTTCAGGTGAGATCTTACTGTCAGTGAGGCTGGTCAGGTGTCATCTATAATCAGTTGGTTTGCAGGTTAGATTTTAATGTCAGAGAAGCTGGTGTCATCTGTAAACAGTTGGTTTCAGGTGAGCTTATAGTGTCAAACAGGATAGTGTCATCTATAAATAGTTGATTTCAGGTGAGATTTTACTGTCCGAGAGGCTGGTGTCATTTGTAAAAAGATTGTTTCTGGTGAGATATTACTGTCAGGGAGACAAGTGCCATCTATAAATAGTTGGTTTCATCTGAGATCTAACTGTCTGAAAGGCTGGTGTTATCAGTACAAAGATGGTTTCAGGTGAGATCTTATTGACAGAAAGACGAATGCCATCTATAAATAGTTGGTTTCAGGTTAGATTTTACTGTCAGGGAGATAAGTGCTATCTGTAATCATTCGGTTTTAGATAAGATTTTGCTGTCAGAAATGTTAGCTCCCCTGAGATCTTACTGTCAGGGTAACAGGTGATATCTATAAATAGTTGGTTTCACTTGAGATCTTACTGTCAGAGTGGCTGGGGTCATCTGTAAAAAGATTAATTTCAGGTGAGATTTTACAGTCAAAGTGGCCAGTATCATCTATAAACAGTTTGTTTCAGGTGAGGTTTTAATGTCAAACAGGCTAGTGTTATCTATAAATAGTTTGGTTTCAGGTTAGATCTTACAATCAGGGAGACAGGTGTCATCTATAAACAGTTGGCTTTAGGTTAGATTGTACTGTCAGAGAATCTGGTGTCATCTTTTGAAGTTGGTTTCAGGTGAGGTTTTAGTGTCAAACAGGCTAGTGTCATCTATAAATAGTTGGTTTCAGGTTAGATCTTTCTGTCCTAGAGGCTGGTGTCATCAGTAACAAGATGGTTTCAGGTGAGATCTTACAGTCAGGGAGACAGGTGTAATCTATAAACAGTTGGTTTCAGGTTAGATTTTACTGTCAGATGGACTGGTGTCATCTATAACCAGTTGGTTTCAGATGAGATTTTGCTGTTAGAAAGGCTGGTGTCATCTATAAAAAAGTTGGTTTCAGGTTAGATTTTTACTGTCAGAGAGTCTGGTGTCATCTATAATCAGTTAGTTTCAGGTGAGGTTTTACTGTCAAATAGGCTAGTGTCATCTATAAATAGTTGGTTTGAGGTTAGATCTTACTGTCCGAGAGGCTGGTGTCATCAGTAAACAGATGGTTTCATTTGAGATCTTACAGTCAGGGGGACAGGTGTCATCTGTAAATAGTTGATTTCAGCTGAGATCCTACTGTCAGAGAGGGTCATGATATCTGTAAAAAGGTTAATGTCAGGTGAGATCTTACTGTCATCTATAAACAGTTACGATTCAGGTGAGATTATAAAGCCAGAAAGGCTAGCATCATCTATAAACAGTTGATTTTAGGTTGGATTTTACTGTCAGAGAGGCTGGTGTCGTCCAAAAAAGTTGATTTCAGGTGAAAGCTTACTGTCAGAGAGGCTGGTGTCATCTATAAACAGTTGGTTTTAGGTTGGATTTTACTGTCAGAGAGGCTTGTGTCATCCATAAAAAAATGATTTCAGGTAAAGGCTTACTGTCAGAGAGGCTGGTGTCATCTGTAAACAGTTGGTTTCAGGTTAGATATTACTGTTAGAAAGGCAGGTGTCATCTATAAACAAATATGTTCTGCTCACAATTTTCTACCAAGTCTTTCCTTAATTTCTGTTTTGTTAAAAAAAAGTTTTGGCCTTGGTGGCTGAGTGTTTAAAGTAGGTTGTGTGTTCCACTTTAATCTTAATTGACGAGGAATACAAGTTGTCCTGCCAAATGTTGTGTTTCTTTCGAGCACTCAAGCTTCCTCCACCGATAAAAAACTGGCTGCCATGATTCAGCCACGGGAGCTTAAAGTGGCATTAAATACAAACAATCAATCAATAAAAAAGGTACTAATCATCAATTTTTATTTTAGCGGAGAAGGTGCAATACCATATCAGTATGGGTATTTTGGACAAGCAGATAGCACAGTACCTATATGTTATACCTATTTGTATTGCACTGGTTCTGAATCGAGGCTGGAGGACTGTTCCAAACAAAAATATGCTGTTCTTAGCCATTACTATGATGTGGGTGTCAGATGCCAAGGTATGTCTGCAGGCACACACACAATTATGTGGATTCATTTTTTTGTGGATATGATTACTGTGGATTCATTATAATTTGTTGAATACCAATTTTTTGTGGGTTTCATTGGTACAGGTGAACCACGAATTTAAATGTTCAATGAATTACAAATATTTTATAGGGTTGTATGCAGACATTGGTAATTAAAACCAAGAAATCAAGTATCCACAAAAATGCCAGCTTTCCTCAATCCATGAAAATAAATGAGCAGTATCATGAAAGAAGGAAAAATAGTACTGTCTAGAATGCTAAAGTTTTCAGGGCTTTGATTCAAACTATATTAACAGCTTAGTAGAAAATGAATTTAAGTTTTTAATACTCCATAAATAATGATGTATGAATAGTATTATGACATGGTGTATGGGGATAAGTCAAGGTCATATAGTAACTAAAAAGTAGATCTAAATTTGTGAAGAAAAAGGGTTTCTGGATGCTAAACCAAAGTCTACATATGGGACTGCAACCTTATACTTGCATCAATGGTCACATTTAATGAGAGAAAAATCCCTATTGATTTTAGATTAGTATGTCAAATGTCAAGGTCATAGCTACTACAATTAGACTGAACTTTGTGCTAAAAAGTGGTATCTGGATACTTAATGAAATATTACATGTTGGATTGCAACCTGACATAAAATAAGAGGAAGATCATGGTTAATTGTGAGGTAACTATGCCTATGGTCAAGGTCATATTTACTAAAAATAGATTGTAAGAAAAATTATAGATTTGTGGATATTCGATTTTAACTGAGTCTATTATTTCAACTTGGAATTTTTTTTAATTATGGAATTTACATAATTTCTTGTGCTTGAAATTTTTAATAAATTCCGTGTTTATTCTGTATTTTAATGTTCTGTGCGTCGCACAACACTTTCTATTACAAAGAAGATAGCACATTTTCAATAGAATGTACTGTGCAGCGCACAACATTATCTATACAAAATACATTGTATGGAAAGTGTTATGCACCTCTCAAAACATCATAATACAGAATAAAAATGAATGTTGATTGATATAATAATATTAATAATAAATCTATTATATATCTTTTCAGGTATATCTGAGTACTATTGTTCATTCAACTCTGATTGTATGTTTTTGTCAAATACATCATCATCTGTTTTCTGGCAAAGGTATTCTGTAAGTAGAATCAAGTAGGACTTTGAAACAAGAAAAATCTTTAAATATAGAATTAATTAATCGATTGAATGATGGCTGCTTAAGGATGTACTTAGGTGAGGTTTTGGAATTTGTGTCAAGTGTTCGGACTCCTTGGGTTTCCCCCTATGATACAAGGTAAAATATTTTGCCCCATAACACCCATTTATCTTTTTATATACGACTTAATAGCTCATAAAAGGTCATTCACCAAAATTTACTCAGATTCTAGATTTCTTTTCTTTTGATTTGAGACCCATATAATACCAATGCAAATATAAGGTAAATGTCTGAGTCAGCCTTTTCCCGCAATATTTTAAAAATCAAATATCTCGAAAAGGAGCTGCATAACCTATCAATATTTTTAGCTTATTTTGTTCCTTAACTAAGACTCTTCTGACTAGTAGTATCAATTTTAAATTCTTGATTTTTTTAATTTCACCTAAGTACATCCTTAATGTCAAGATATAGCCTCTTTTGTCTCATGGAAGTGGCTCTCCTTAAGTGCAGGAAGTCCTGTGTTTCAGGCTGAGTCAAGTCAAACCAAAAACTGCTTGTTTAGAACAATACATTTGAATATTTAAAAAAAAAATTAAAATAAAATTAGAGGATCAATGATTCCATTTTCTTGCTATACAACAGAATAAGAACTTTTGAAACATAGTCTCTTATGAAATAAATCAATGCAGTTGATGACACTTTTCAATGGAAGTATTGATTGATGGATTGGTGTTAAACACCACTTTCAGCACTATTGTGCTATTTCGTGGCGTTCACTTTTTATTGGTGGGGAAAGCCTGAGTGCCTGCATGGAGAGAACCACGACCTTCAGTACGAAAACAAAAAAATCTTAGTCAATTATGATTGGAGTCGAGCGCACCTGCCACGTGCGGGATTCGAACTCACAACCTCAGTGTTAACAGGCTAGTGATATAGCAGTTCAACTACTTAGACCACTTGGCCGCCAAGGCCCTATTCAATGGAATTCAAGTAAAATATTGATAAAGAATCTGTACATTTATGAAACATATCTTAAAGATGTTTGCTCCACTGTTTCAAAATAACAAGTTTTAAAGATTGTTATGACTTGATAGTACATGTAATACTATACAAATAACGGAACTTAAATACACCAGAAAAAATGAAAGGTCTGTGATCTTGCTTTTGAGATATTATCAATTAAAAATTTTGGCAGGAAATGATTTTCTGTTGATTTTTCTTACATTTAACATTGACACCGTTTTACTTTCTATCAAAAGTAACAAGGATTTTATAAGATTTTCAAAAATGGCTTTTTTAAACTGTATGTAATAAAATTATGAAAAGAAAAGTAGGGGTTAGCGATCAAAATTTTAATTACTCTTTTAAATATGGTAAAAAAAAAGAAAGTTCCGAATATCTGACTAAAAGTCAAAAACAAGAGTAGCAAACATCCTTAAGATCAGAAACATATATGTACGTTTTAATATAAATAAAATTGAGAATGGAAACTGTGAGGGAATGTGTCAAAGAGACATCAACCCGACCAATGGGTCTTCAACACAGCCAGAAAATCCCACACCCGGAGTCTCTGGCCCCTAAACAAAACTGTACTAGTTTAGCAAAATAAATCTGTTTTTATTTTTAAAATAGTTTCAATTGTGAAGAAACTTATGTATGTTTGTGATATTTCAGGGTTGTACACCATCCACTGGTACTGGTCCCTGCACTGGTCATGATGGCAACAGTTCAAGTTATTATATATTTCTAGAAACCAGTAATGGGACAACTGGTTACTCAGCTTCACTGAACACAACAGCTTCCTTTGATTGTAAGATTTATTTTTAGATCTCAACCCTACCACTTTTTAATCTTTATCACAAGCAAGATGCACATATAAAAGAACACACAAAAGCCTTTTATACTATATGCAGTATGAGTTTTGCCGTACAGTGACCAACAGATGTGAAAAAAAGAGACGATAGATACCAAAGGGACATTCAGACTCACAAGTTGAAAATAAACTGACTACGCCAAGGTTAAAAAAGAAAAAGACATACAGACAAACAATAGTACACAAAACACAACATAGAAAAACTAAAGACTAAGCAACACGAACACCACCAAAAACTGGGGGTGATCTCAGGTGCTCCAGAAGGGTAAGCAGATCCTGCTCCACATGTTAGTACAAAACCGTTAATAAGTCTATTTCGGTAGGTCACATTCGGGGAAAAGGGACGGGATTGTAGTAACAACATTTGGAACATATCTGCTATTATCTGTGATAGGATATTCCATAACCGTCAACCAACTCGTGATGGCGTCTGTAAAACTTAAGAAGGGTTGATTTCAACTTCATCGTCATTTGGTCTCTAGTGGAGAGTTGTTTCATTGGCAATCATACCACATCTTTCTATTTTCTTATATACAATAAAAACCTGTACAAGAAAAGCATTATCTCTAAAGATAACTGTATAATAGATTCCAACAACACTTAATGAATTACAAATTATTTCACAGTTACTAAATAACTTTTCTTATAGGAATTTGTACATTTTATCTAATTTATTTGCAGGGACTCCTAGATGCCTTTCTTTTTATTACCACATGTATGGTTCTACTATAAACGAGCTTCAGGTTAAAGTTAGAAGTAGTACTAATATGATTGGAAGCGTTGTTTGGTCCAGGAAGTATGATCAGGGAAATATTTGGCATTCTGCCAGTATTGACATTCAAGCTGTTTCAGCATTACAGGTATATAGGCTTACATATTCATTTGGCCTATTTTTTTAAACTTTTTTAAATAAAGCATCACTGATGAGTGTTTTGAAGACAACCCAAGTCAAACTGAACTGCTATCATAAGCAGTTTATTAGCTGTTATTTACCAGTTCTTCATATTTTAGCAGTCTTTCAGCTGTTCATAGCATTCCATCTAATAGCAGTTTGAGAAACTGCCTTATTTCACCATTTCTTAGCATTCCTCTTAGCATTCATCTTAGCATTCATCTTAGCAGTCTGGATCTACCTTTAAACTGTTGTCAATTTGTCAATTGGACAACAGTTCCCAAGTCAAGTTGAACTGCTATCATTAGCTGTTTTTTAGCTGTTATTTACCAGTTCTTCATATTTTTAGCAGTCTTTTAGCTGTTCATAGCATTCCATCTAATAGCAGTTTGAGAAACTGCCTTATTTCACCATTTCTTAGCATTCCTCTTAGCATTCATCTTAGCAGTCTGGATCTACCTTTAAACTGTTGTCAATTTGTCAATTGGACAACAGTTCCCAAGTCAAGTTGAACTGCTATCATTAGCTGTTTTTTAGCTGTTATTTACCAGTTCTTCCTATTTTTAGCAGTCTTTTAGCTGTTCATAGCAGTCCATCTAAAATGTTCACCATGTTCACCATTTCTTAGCATTCATCTTAGCAGTTTGAAAACCTTCTTAAACTGCTGTCAATTGGACAACAGTTATGACAACAGTTCGATAGCAGTTTGATAGCAGTTTTGGTTTTAATCTTTGTTACAAAAATGCTTGAATCTGGCTGTGTTTTCAGCTTGAAAGTAAACCTTTATTTGAAGATTATTTGATCATTTTCAAATGTGCATTTTGGCTCCAAGCTGTGTGTAAATACTTGCTGGTGAAAAATTGTATTTTTGTCAATAATAAAGTTTAATATTTTTGCTAAATGGAATACTTTCACACACCTGCACTACAGTAAGTTGAAGTATAGTTTAATGCATGTGTATTTTATGACTAACTTTGTACAGGAAAACAGAAATCATACAGAAAGCCCAAAAAAAGGGGGATAGTTGTTTATTCACATAGAATATCTGGTTTACAGGATTGTGATAAAATACTAGCATAAACTTACAGTGCAAGATGTTATTTGAAAACAAAAAAAGAAAGAATATTTTGATATAATTTTGTAAAAAAACCAAAAACAATCATACTCAAGAGTTGAAAAAAAGGGGGAGGGAATATTAGGGAAACCTAGGCTGCAAATAGCTGATTGGTTAGTATTGACCAAACAGTCCATTTAATGAACTTAATATACATGTATGTTTCTTAAGTTTGTTTCAGAAAGTGGAAACATAATATATTACATGTATTAAGAAATTAAAAAGAGGAGATAACTGTTGTCTTTTGGTCCACATGAAATATATATAGAGAGAGGCTTCAAATTAGTAGTATACATTTGGTAATTAAAGAATAATATAAAAGAATAACTTTTAATCTGAAAATCACTTAGTCATGGTAATTAATAGTCTCTAGTAACCACTCTTATTGAATAAGTTGATTTTTATAAGCACTGATATTTAAAGTGCATTCTTAACTGTTCCTATTATTTGGCTACTAACATAATTAATAAGGGGTCTAATGCCAGGTACAGTACTCACAAAACATTCTTACAGCCCCTTAACAAGTCTGTGATTGTATTAAAATAGCGTCATTTGATTGCAGTCTGCTAAAGTTACAAATATAAGTTACTACAACTTTTTGAAATTTCAACAAGACTTAAAATGTTAGTTTTTTATTTTTGCATTCATATCTTATACACTGTATATTCATGTACATGTACCTTCGTTTGTATTCCAACTTTTGGCAGATCTGATAGCATTCCATAGCAGTTATTAGCAGTTTAGAAAACCATATTTGGATGAACAACTTAGCAGTTTGTATGAATATTTGTTATTGATAGCTGTTATTATAGCTGCACCTCTAGCAGGAAATTCCGAATGTTAGTTCGGAAATATAAGTTCGGAGTATTCGAACTTTTCCGAGCTACAAAAAAATAATTTCATGCAAAACAAGAGAGTTCTCATGAATATTCAGAGAAAATAGCAGTTTTGTATCTCATTTAAATTTTTCTTCAAAAATATCTGCTAAATAACTGTGAAGGCTGAATAAACTGCTAAGAAGCTGCTATGGAATGCTATTGGAATGCCTATATGCAAATTAACCATTGCCTTGAATTTGGCAACTGTGAATGCTAATGAACTCACTCACTCGGGCGGCTAAAGAACAGCTGTCAAGTAAGAACTGTGAATGCTAATAAACTGCTGTCCACTTTGACTTGGGTAAACATGTTTCTCGTGTACAAAATTTTAATCCTGGTATATATCTTGAGTTTATTTTAGAAATTTTTGAGAATTATTTGATTTCTTTGTATTGGAATTGGAAAAAAAATTCACAACAATACATGCCACAAATGTTCGGGAATTAATTTTTTAATGCCCACGCCACTGAGTGGCCCAAGAAATAGTGTCCCCGTGTCCAGGCATCCTTTGGTCTGGCCATCCTTCTATCATTCTGAAATCAAACAGTTGTCCAGACTTTTTTGTGAGGTGTGGGCATTCTTATCCTACTGACATATCTGTTATGTATTGAGGGTATGTACATTAAATTTACAACTGTCTCAATATAAATAACATTGACAATGATAAATTAACTTGTATTATTTTACACATGATAGCCAAATTGAAAATTTTCGTCACATTTTTCTCAGGAACTACTTGACAAGGATTTCTGAAATTTGGTTTCAGGGTTTATATAAGTCAGCTTTACCATGTGATGCGTTTTCATCACTCAACAACTTCCTGTTTACCGAAATATTACGGCGGGGGTATCATCAGTGAGCAGTAGCTCACAGTTTTACTTGTTCTCATTGTATTCTATATATTTGATTCATTTTCTGTACAAAATTACATTTATACATATAGTATCATATAACAACATGTACTTCAGGGATTCTTATTTCTATATACCTTGTTCTGAAGATCTGATCCAACCGACAAAACTTGTCGACCATTATAAGTTCCTGTTTACCTAGGTGTTTTCAATTTTGAGGTATTTAATTATTTTTATTTGACAACCCTGCATGCCATTGGTATCCATTTTTACAACACAAAATTTAGGAGGTGTTGGTTTAGCAGTTCCTTTTTTTTCTTTTTAGAAATTTGATAATATGAAATCTTTAATATGTATTTTTCAGATTCAGTTTATTGGAATAAGTGGTTCACCATACACTGGAGATATAGCTCTGGATGAAATTAAGCTTGTGAGGGGAACATGTAGTATGTATCAACATTAGGATATAGAAACTTTTTTTTTTAAAGATTTACAAGGTTGTTGACTTTTGACGTCTCTAAAAAATTAAGTTTTCACCAAATATCTTAAAGGTAAGATCACTAGAATGTTAAACAGACTTAAAATTAGGTAATTTTGTGGAGCTTAGATTTCACAATTTCTTGTGTGTTAAAGCATGTTCAGGTTATTTTACATTTTTTATATTTATCTATATGATCTTGCTAAAAGATCAAATTGAAGTGAAGTTTTATTTTTGTATTTTTATCTTCATTTAAAAAGTAGAGAAAATAAATCTTTTGCTAAAATTTCACCTCACTTCAAGTTTAAGACAACCCCTAGCACCTGTTTGAGCGGAATTCTTTGCAAAATGACGATCATGCCACACCTAAGCATGAACCACCAATTTTAATGTTCAAGGAAGTGCAAATCTTCTATAGAGTTGTATGCAGACTTTGGCAAAACCACAAAATCAAATATCTTGGAAAATACATTTTTTTCCCCAATCAACGAAATTGGCACCCACAAAAATAATGTGTGACCCATAGAAGTCTTTAGATTTAAATTTATATCATGGAGAAAATGATACTCCATTGTTCACCAATTGCGGTTAAATGTATAATCCTAACAAAAAGAATGGAAATGGGAAATATGTCAAAGAGACAACAACCCGACCAAAGAGCAGATAAAAGCTGAAGGCCACCAATGGGTCCTCAACGCAGTTAGAAAATCCCACACCCAGAGGTGGGCTTCAGCTGGCCCCTAAATAAAAATGTGTACTAGTTCAGTGAAAATGGACATCATACTAAACTCCAAAACATATAAATGAACTAAAATTAAAAAACATACAAGACTAACAAAGGCCAGAGGCTCCTGACTTGGGACAGGCGCAAAAATGCAGCGGGGTTAAACATGTTTTGTGAGATCTCAACCCTCCCCCTATATTATACCTCTAGCCAATGTAGAATAAAGAAACACACAGCAAAACACACAGTAAAACTCAGTTAAAAAGAAGTCTGAGTCCGATGTCAGAATACTGGTAACAAAAGAAACTAAGCAAAATGACAATGATACATAAATTAACAAAGGACTACTAGCAGTTATTGACATGCCAGCTCCAGATCTCAATTAAACTGATTGAAATCCCTCCCGTTAGGGGTTTATGATCATACCATCATAAAATATATGAGAACATAACCCGTATCATGCCAACAACTGGTTTTAGAATAATTGTGTTTATTTCCTATGCAAAGACCCTTATGAGTGAATCAATATTAATACTAAAATATGCAATCCTTAATGACCTGACAACAGTATCATAACTATATCCCTTCTGAATAAGTCTGTCTAAAGGTTTGGTTAGCTTTTGAGGTTAATGCCGACATTTTTGTGCTTTGTAAAGAATATTACCATAAAAGATTGGATGTGAAATACCTGAACGTATAAGATGTCTGCATGTTGATTTATATTTACGAATGATGTCCTTGTACTGATGATAAAATTTTGTAAATGTTTTGACTAGTTTGTGATATCAAAAACTCTGGTGTAATAATTTTTCAGTAATACAGAGATTTCTTTCGTTAAAATCAAATACGTTGTTACATACACGAGCGAATCGAACAAGTTGAGATATATAAACACCATGAGATGGTGACAAGGGAACGTCACCATCTAAAAATGGATAATTAACAATAGGAAATGAAAAATCATCTCTTTTATCATAAATTTTGGTAATAAGTTTCCCGTTAAAGATATAGATATCAAGATCTTGGAAAGGGCAGTGTTCATTGTTAGTACTAGCTTTATTTAAAGTAAGTTCGGCAGGATAAATCTCTTTAGTGTACATACAGAAGTCGTCATTATTGAGAGCCAATATATCATCCAAATATCTAAAAGTGTTATTAAATTTTGGAACAGATGTTGTTTCAATGGGCTTTGCTGATTTTAGTCATAAATTGTTACTCATAACAATACAGAAACAGGTCCGCAATAAGTGGTGCACAGTTAGTCCCCATGGAAATTCCGATAACTTGAAGATATATTGAATCTCCATAGCGAACATAAATGTTATCTAGTAAAATTTCAAGGGCAGTAATAGTATCAAAGCAGGTCCAATTGACATAGTTCTTTTGTTTGTTGTTACTAAAAAATGACCTAAAAGAGTTTGAACATATATATTTTGCATTCTGACTTTTTAAATGCCCATTTAATCAGGTGTGTGAATTTTTTCTGTTTTCATAAAACATGCAAATGAGTTCACTGCAAAATAAATGAGTTAATAAGCAATACTGATTAGTTACCTGAATATTTTTTACAGATTCAATATCAGACTTTGTATGCCCAGCAGATGAAGAAGAACCAGGGGTTAACTGTACTTTTAGTAATAAAGAGGCTTGCAACTATACCATAGAAAGTATTGAAGGGGCTACAACCTGGCAGTTTAAAAATTACTCTTCATCAGGGCATAACCTACCTTCATCTGATGTAAGTGGCAAATTTTTTGGTAAGTAGTAGTGATTTTGTATAGAATTTCAACAAAGTATTAATAACACACAACAACTGAGTAAAAACAAAATAAAATCATACAACTGAGCAACAACAATATTAGATAACTCAACCGAGCAAAAAAGTATAAAATTACACAACTAAGCAAGAAAAGAATAAAGTTAAACTGCAACTGATCAATTACATCACAATCAATAGTGTGAAACTACTCTTCAATTCAGTAAAAACAGTAAACTCCTTTTTTTAGCTCACCCGTGCCTGAAGGGCCCCATGTGAGCTTATGCCATCACTTGGCGTCCGTCGTCGTCTGTCATTGTCGTCTGTCGTCGTAAACTATTTCAAAAATCTTCTCCTCTGAAACTACTGGGCCAAAACCTTCAAACTTTAACTAAATGTTCCTTAGGGTATCTAGTTTATAAATTGTATCCGAAGTTTTGATCCATCGACAAACATGGCCGCCATGGCTAAAAATAGAACATAGGGGTCAAATGCAGTTTTTGGCTTATATCTCAAAAACTAAAGCTTTTAGAGCAAATCTGACAGGGGCAAAATTGTTCAATTGGTCAAGATCTACCGGCCCTGAAATTTTCAGACGAATCGAACAACCCATTGTTGGGTTGCTGCCACCGAATTGGTAGTTTTAACAAAATTTTGCAGTTTTTTGTTATTATTTTGAATATTATTATAGATATATATAAACTGTAAGCAGCAATAATGTTCAGCAAAGTAAGATCTACAAAAAAGTTAATATGACCATAATTGTCAATTGACCCTTTAAGGAGTTATTGCCCTTTAAAGACATTTTTACACAATTTGTTCATCAAGTTTGCTAACATTTAAAAATCTTCTCCTCTTTAATACAAGTGAGCGATTCAGGCTCTTGAGAGCCTCTTGTTGCATTTTATAATTATTAAATAAATATCTGAAAGAATTTTGCCACAAATTCAGTAATTTAACAGTATTTTTACATAATTTGAATAGGTTTTCATATATTTTCATGTAGGATATTGTATCTATAAGAGAAAAAAAAATGAAAACAAGTAAAATTTTCCTACATATCATTGAGTGTTGAGATGTTTTAAATTTATTATATTTTTGTTTTATGTATAGGATATTTCTACTACCAGAATAAAAATGGAAATGAAGGAGATTCCGCAAGGCTCCTGTCACCAATCTTTACATCTTCGTCTATGTCAACATTACAATTTTACACATACTTTGGTGGCAGCGATGTTGGTTCACTACAGGTTTCCAAAGTTAATGGCAATGGTCAGAGATCTTTGCTATGGAAGAGAGAGGGGGAACAAGATGAAGGATGGTTTATGTCCTGTGTCCCCCTCGCACAGGAAGGAGATTTATCGCTAGAGTTTTTGGCATCTCAGAGCAGTGGTGATGAAACAGTGATCGCTGTTGATAATGTGACAGTCTCAGATGAACCATGTCATTGTAAGATTATATTCATAATTTATTATATATCATTTTACTGTCACACAGACTTTTTTGTGATAATGGGAAAAAAATTCTGGTTATATTTTGGCTGAGTTTATAATTAAGTGCCAATCTGCCCAGGAATCAGGCAGTGGGGAAAACATGACAAACAAAACCCATTCAAGTTGTTATTAATTTATGTTCAAAATGTATAATGGTGCATGAATAGAACATTCGTTTCCTTTTCCTGTTCTAGTAATTCAAGATATAATTTGGTTGAAATGCACTATATAAATTAACAATTTAGGGGAGCTAACTCTGTAATTTGCTATCATTCTAACCAAAAATTATCTAGAGATTCTTGAATTACCAGACACACAGAAACAAATGACCTACATTGTACCATTTCTAAGTTAGAATGAGGGTAACTTCAAAATAGGATGGTTAGGTTGGTGGGTTTTTTTCAGCCATGTTTTGAAATTTTTCTAAATTGCCTGATTCTTACAAAGACTGGCACATAACAATTACCCAAGTTTTGAAATGCAATGTAATGGATGGTTAATTTTTTACAAGTACATTTTTGTGGCTTGAAATGTGCATTGCAAAAATTGGATTGAGTGAAAAAATTCTTGTTGTGCAATAGTAATAAATTCATTTTATTAATTTTTACATCAATAAGTCTTCAATTTGTGAAATCATTCATAGAAAACCTGGATAATTGCTTTAAAGTAGACACAACGATAAATATTTTTGAAAATATGTAAAGAAATATGCAATCAAAATCATACCATATAGTAAGCTATAAAAGGCCATTGAATTATCAACATGTGAAAGAAACTCAAAATAGAAAACCTACAGACTGATTTAAGTTAATAACATGAACCCAAAAAGAAATCCTGCTGCAAAAAGAAGATTTGTTATTTCTTGCACTAATAATTTTGATTTGATATATGGTGATAGTAAAAGAAAAGATTGCATTTTTACCTAGACCATAGACAACTTTACTGTTGATTCATTTATTTTCTTTGGTACCAATTTTTGTGGATTGAGGAATAATTCTATTTTCTTGGGTATTTGACTACATTGTTTTGCCAAAGTCAGTGTGAATAAAAGTTAAAATTTGTGGTTTTTTATACCCATTAAATTAAAGCATGTTTTAATTATAATCTACAGTTGGAATTTCAGAAGAGAAATGTAAATTTGACCAACCATTTATCTGTGGATACAGTGTAAACTGTTCCTGTACACTTCCATCACACACTTATAAGTGGATAAGACATACTGGATCAACAATATCTAAACAGACAGGACCAGACTCAGACAGTGATGGTACAGTATAGCTTTAATCTCTAAAGTGATAAGTAAAAGATGTATGGGGCCTATGTGTAAAAAATCTCCGATTGATAATCTCAGATATATAACTTCTACGTCATTTGGTCACTGGGGGAGAGTTAATTGTGTCATTTTGTCACTAGGGGAGAGTTAATTGTGTCATTTGGTCACTGGGGGAGAGTTTATTGTGTCATTTGGTCATTGGTGGAGAGTGCATTGTGTCATTTGGTCACTGGGTGAGAGTTTATTGTGTCATTTTGGTCACTGGGGGAAGTTTATTGTGTCATACGGTCACTGGGGGAGAGTTTATTGTGTCATTGGCAATCATTCCTCATCTTCTTTATGTTCATAATGATCGCAGCATAGCTAAACTCTTTCTCCATGATAAGCAATAGATTAATGGGGTCTACATGTGATAATACTTGGATTTATGTCCTCAGACTATAATCATACAGCATAGCTTTACTCTTTCTTCATGATAAGCAATAGATTAATGGAGCCTACATGTGATAATACTCAGATTAATGTACTCAGACTGTGATCATACAGCATAGCTTAACTCTTTCTTCATGATAAGCAATAGATGAATGGAGCTTACAGGTGATAATACTCAGATTAATGTACTCAGACTGTGATCATACAGCATAGCTTAACTCTTTCTTCATGATAAGCAATAGATGAATGGGGTCTACATGTGATAATACTCAGATTAATGTACTCAGACTGTGATCATACAGCATAGCTTAACTCTTTCTTCATGATAACTCCATAAGCAATAGATAAATGGGGTCTACATGTGATAATACTCAGGTTAATGTACTCAGACTATGATCATACAGCATAGCTTAACTCTTTCTTCTTGATAAGCAATAGATGAATGGGGTCTACATGTGATAATACTCAGATTAATGTACTCAGACTATGTTCATACAGCATAGCTCAACTCTTTCTTCATGATAAGCAATAGATTAATGGGGTCTACATGTAATAATACTCAGATTTATGTCCTCAGACTATGATCATACAGCATAGCTTAACTCTTTCTTCATGATAAGCAATAGATTAATGGGGTCTACATGTAATAATACTCAGATTTATGTACTCAGACTGTGATCATACAGCATAGCTTAACTCTTTCTTCCTGATAAGCAATAGACTATTTTCATATTACCGACTTTTGACTCCGGATTATATAATTTGTCGACTGGTTACCTTGGACATCATGGTACTCGGTCAAGTAAGAGCAACCAAAATAAGTAAAATCAAACATATAATCGGTGTAATTTGAGGGGAAAGTTTACTGTTTTCCGATGATTTTGTAGTGAAAAAAAAATGTTAAGCAGGTAATTTTCCCCCAAATTGTACCGATTGAAAGCTTGGTTTTACTTCTTTAGCTTGCTCTTACCTGACTTGGTACCATGATGTCCAAGGTAACCAGTCGACAAATTATATAATCCGGAGTCAAAAGTCGGTAATATGAAAATAGTCTATAGATGAATGGGGTCTACATGTGATAATACTCAGTGTAAATGAATATTTTCGGTAAAATGCTCTGTTTTTATTGATATATGTACTGAATCAAAATAAAACTTTTGATGATTGTTTTTAAATCCTACAGAATATTGGCTATCTGACATCTAATGTGTTGTCTTTATAAATGTTTAATCCTACAGTATATTGGCTATCTGACATCTAATGTGTTGTCTTTATAAATGTTTGTTGCTTGAAATGTAGAATTAAGTTGTACAGTCAGAGAACAAATTCTGAGTTATTTAAGGAATGACTGTAATGATTTTTCTGTCTATGAAGAAATAACATCAAAAATGTGGTGCACACTGAATAACCCGTGTATGTCAATGAGCTGACAGACAAAACACTGTCAGCTAATCAGAAGACGCGTTACATCCAAAATTAAATTATTGTGGTATAAACAATATGTTGGAAAATTAAAAGAAAAATTGTGGTCACTGTCCTGGTTTTCTCGTTACATAACAAAAATTAATATGTATATTTCAACTGAGTTATCTCCCCTTGTATAAGTTAAAAATTAAGGATTGAAAAAAACAATTAAAATTAATCTTGTTAAAATTTCTTACCTGAACATTTGTGATTTTTCAGGATTTTATATGTATGCTGAAGCAACATATGGTAACCTTAGTGATGCAACAGCCTTAACTTTCCCAGAATTTAAAGCAACAGGAAGTCAGAAACTTCAGTTTAAATACCATATGTATGGTAATGATACAGGCACATTATTGGTTCAAGCCAAATATAAGGGAGATAATTCTCTAACAACAGTCTGGACTTTAACTGGTCCCCAGGTGAATGAATGGAAGCAGATTTGCATGCTGCTTACTATACCAGCTGGCACAGATGTAGAATTAAGTTTTGTAGCAATCCATGGAGATGGTCCCCTTGGTGACATCGCTATAGATGATGTTCTAGTTACAGAAGAAGATTGTCCCCGTAAGTTTGTTTTGCAAATTATTTAAAATCTTTTTGTTTTAAATTTTCTTTGGAGTTCAGTATTTTTGTTATTTTACTTTACCTTTTTAATTGTTAAGAAATAATTATTAAAAAAAAGTTAAAACACACTTACCATATTCTTCTTAAACCAAATTTGATGTGATCCTTCAGATCAGTATGTGGTTTTTTTATACTTTGTGTATATAAAAATGAGGATACTCAACAGCTATGATTATCAATACTAGAATGTTTCAGATAACTTGACTTGTTTAAGATACCTTGATTCTCTTTATATGAAAATCTTTAAATTTTAAGAAAATAATGTTGGCTTTTGGTAAAAAATCATTTAATGCTGGAGGACAGTTAAATTTAAGTATTTTTTCTAAAATAAATAAATTTGACTTGATTTGAATGATGGTGATATTTTTAATTTTTCATAAATAGATGGTAATGTAATGAAAGTTTGTTAATTTGATGAATATACAGTTTATTTATGTAATTTCAGATTTAGCATCATGTGACTTTTCCTATGGGTCATGTGGCTATCTTGTTACGTGGAATGATTACCAGGTGAAGTGGGTCAGAGGTCAAGTTAATGATGTTCCAAATAACACCATTGCAGGTAAACATAATGACATTGAAATTATAATTGTTAAAAAATTACTCATGTATTTAAAACTTTACATTTTTTTTCTCAATTTTCTAATAGTGTTTATGTTTTCGCATTAGAAAAGATTCAACATGTTTGTGACAATTTGTACTGACATTGTTTTTCAAAGGTTGCATAAATAAATTGCATGCCAAAAGTATTTGGATATTAGTTTATAAGGATAAAGTTAATTAAAACACACACTCATGTATAATCTTGTTCTTTCCAATATTGTATTTAACATTAGTAAACTTTTAAAAAAAATATTACTATTACAGGAAGCTACTTTTATGCTACAAGTGACAGTTCAAAAGAAGGTAGTCATACTTTTCTTTTCACAAAATTTTTCAAAGCTTTTGGTACAGAGAGTGTTACATTTGACTATTTGAACTCTCGTTATACAAAGTTTGAAGTTGGATGGATTAATGAACAATCTGGTAATACTACCATGAGTAGCATAGAATATAGTGACATCAATATTTTACTTACAACAACTAGTCAAGCTGATCAGTGGACAAAGAAATGTATAAGTTTGGGTGCTGTGACCTGGAAAATATCAATAGTATTTGTACATACAACTACTGTTTGGAACACTCAGATAACTGCTGTGGATAATGTTGAAGTATCAACAGATGGTTGTAACAGTAAGTTTGAACCTTGCAACAATCATCAGTTCAAAGTTAAACTGTTATAATAAATAATTTAATATTTAACATAATTATTTACTTTAGAACACAAATAAAAATTAAAAAATGCTGATCATTATGATATAGAATTTATTTGTTGCATAAATGAGGTAAAACAGATCCTGCAAGATTATAATCAAGTAACTTTATTTTAAACTGGATTTTAGATATTATACTTAGCTAGCAAACCAAGAGTTTTGTCTGTAATTGAATTGTGGTGCTATTTTCAATGTGAACGATATTCTGAAAAATAACAGACAATACAAAAGAAAAAAACTTGCAAAGAGAAATGACAGCCTGTGAAATAAATTTTCTATTATATTCATGCTTTTTTCACATTTCTCGATCTGTGTGATGAAAATAATTCTCTCTAGAGAAAACTTTGTCTGATGACGTCACATATATAGAACACTACTTTCAGCAAATCTTTGAAAAGGAAAGATAATATTTGTTTAGATATCGTCTAAAAATCATTTGAGAAACAGATTCTACTACCCTCAACAGTTAAATTTTAAATATCTAAAAAGCCTGGCAAGCCTAGCTTGCGTTTTAAGTTTTCAAATTAAACTGTCTCAAGCAGAAAAACATCATAACACACTTGATTCATTGGTGGAATCTATATTTATTTCACCTCTTTCCTTAAATATGAACAGAGACAAAACATGAATATGATTGATTAATTGATTATTGGTTGCTTAACATCTAGTGGCAAATATTTCATGTATACATTTCATGCCGAACGGTGACCTATGGTTGTTTAATTCTGTTTCATTTGGTCTCTTGTGAAGAGATGTCTCATTGTCAATCATACCACATCTTCTTTTTTATATGAACATGAAGAAATTGACTGAATGCAATATATGTTATAAGTTAATATCATGCATTGTATTTTTTTAAAAGTGGTATTCTCTCTATTTGCAAACTTTCATCTAATGTTTTTATTGTAGATGGTATCTATGAATCCACATGTGGATTTGATCCCTCTGATTTGTGTGGGTATAACATCATCACACCAGATAACTGTCCCACGTTATATACATACAGATGGACTGTCAATAACACTAATGGCAGTAAGTATGAATGGGACATAACAGTTAAAAAGAATTGTTGTACCTTATATACTACACTAGGCTATCAGAACTGTGTAAGACATTATTGCAAGGGGCGGGGAGATAAGATTTTTATAGTAAGTAGTTGGTTGTGTATTGTGTGCTGATGAATTGTATTAGAATTATATAGAGTCACAAGATTTTCATTTTGTGGGTGTTCGGGTTTGACACTTTTGTAATGGAATATAGAAATATAAAACTTTTATATTGTGGGTGATTCAGGTTTTATTAAAGTGCAAACTTGACACTTTTGTTATGGATTATTGAAATATAACATTTTTATATTGGTTTTTGTTTTTGGATTTACTTAAGTGGACCCAGACTTGATACTTTTGTTATTGAATATAGAAATATAAATTTTTATGCCCCACCTAGGGGCATTATGTTTTTCGGTCTGTGCGACCGTTCGTCTGTCAGTCCCACTTCAGGTTAAAGTTTTTGGTTAAGGTAGTTTCTGATGAAGTTGAAGTCCAATCAACTTGAAACTTAGTACACATATTCCCTATGATATGATCTTTCTAGTTTTAATGCCAAATTAGAGTTTTGACTCCAGTTTCACGGTCCACTGAACATAGAAAACGATAGTGCGAGTGGGGCATCCTTGTACTATGGACACATTCTTGTTTATATTGTGTTTTGTTTGGGGATTAACTGAAGTGGTCCCAAACTTTACACTTTTGTTATGGATTATGGAATTATAAAAAAAAATATGTCTGGGATGGTGCAGTTTTACTTAAAGGGGCATTAGCTATAAGATATATGAAAAATCTAAAGTATGATTTTTTTTTGTTCAATCATTAATGAAAGTGAAATAATGAAATAATAATTTGCTTTTAGCAGCCAGTATGGTTCAGTTTTGTTTAATCTTTAATATGAAATTAAATAGACCTAGAAAAATCTCATTGCACAAGTTTCGCTTTCTATTTAAATCTATATTTATGTTTATATCGCTTATATGACCTTTGGAGGTCAACTCTATAGTTAATTAGATGGCGTCAAGACTAAAATACACACGAAACGAAGCTACATATTATCGACCTCATGCCCTGTTAATTGTTTATTTTAGCCTTTTAAAATTTGGATAAATGTTTTACATGGTTATAAATCAAATCGGTGAACATGAATTTGACAGTTAAACTAGTGCTCCTTTAAGTGGAACTATAACAAGTATGTGACTATTGTTATGGAACAGTACAATATCCAATAGTATAAAAAAAAATTAAGATCATTTCAGATAAAAAGCATTTATGTAGCAATTTTTGATGACAATATCTAAAATACAGAAATGGTGCATTTTCATGACACCGCCTCATTGGCCTGGTGGTAGAGTATTCACCGCAAATACCTGAGGTCCTGGGTTTTAAACCCTGGCCAGGTTAAATCAAAGACTTTAACATTTGTATTTTCTGCTGCTCCGCTAAGCACACAGCATTAATGAGTAAGAGCACAGACTGGTTGGCTCGGAGTCATAATAATGTGTTTGGGTAGGGTGACATGTCTTCCTGCGGGCTGTTGCCTTGGGAACTAGCACGTTAAATATCTGGCTCAGTGTGCTGGTTTTGTACAAATCAGGGTAAATACTCATATTACATTAACATGTTCTAGTCCTGGATATGCATTTAATTTGCTGATGGACGTTAAGCAGCCATCCATCATCATCATCATCATTTTCATGACTGAAAAGCTAAATGTAAATGATTAAGGAAATCTAACGATGCATGAATACCTAGGAGGAAAAAGAAGATGTTCTAACAAGTTCAAAAACACTTTTATCACTGTATTAAAAGACTCCAAATCCAACAATGCTTTGCTATCAAAATTGATACTGTTAAGGCCACGCAAAAAAGATTGTTGGTTCCCCATTACCCTTCCAGGTCTGGTTTCAACCTCTGGGTCAATTCTTTTGAGACTTTGATGTAAGACAATTATCAATGACGCTTTGATTGTCTGATGATTTCTTTTAAAGTTTCATTTGTCATTCTTTAAGGTTTAAAATAGCTTATATATCACAATAAAGATCAAGATATAATGTGAAACAATTTTTTTATTCAAGAATTTCCTGTCAGTGGTTTAAGATTGAATTCTCTGTAGAGCAAAACTACATGTGCCTTATTTGATATTTTGCCCAAAAAATAAAGTAAAATAAAAAGTGTTTCCTTCCTGCCGACCATTTAATATTATCTTGTGTATGGGGAAACCAACTTTCAATTTTCAATTGCCTAAATGGTTCATTTTCAAGGAGATTAAATTTCCCGTTGGTTGGTGTTCAGACATACTTTTATCACTGTGATGAATCATTATGGGGATGTGGCATATAAGTGATAAAAATTGGTGATGTGGGATATAGGGGTAAAATAGTGGTGGATTTGGGATATGTGCCTAAGTTGTAATAAGGTGTCTTGTCTTGTCTTGTCTTGTTGGAATAAAACAGTGGTGATGTGGCATATAGGTGGTAAAAAAGTGGTGATGTGGCATATAGGGGATAAAAAAGTAGTGATGTGGCATGTAAGGGTTAAAAAAGTGATGATGTGGGATATTGGGGGTAAAAAGATGGTATGTGGGATATAGGCGGTAAAAAAGTGGTGATGTAGCATATAGGGATAAAAAAAGTTGTGATGTGGGATATAGGGGATAAAAAGTTGGGATGCGAGATATAGGGGGTAAAAAAGTGGTGATGTGGCATATAGGGGATAAAAAGTGGGGATGTGAGATATAGGGGGTAAAAAAGTGGTGATGTGGCATATAGGGATAAAAAGTGGGGATGTGAGATATAGGGGGTAAAAAAGTGGTCATGTGGGATATAGGGGATAAAAAGTGGGGGTGTGAGATATAGGGGGTAAAAAAGTGGTGATGTGGGATATAGGGGGGGGGGGGGGGGGGGGGAGAGGGGGGGGGAGAGGGGGGGGTGGGGGTAAAAAAGTGGTGATGTGGGATATAGGGTGTAAAAAAAGTGGTGATGTGGGATATAGGGGGGTAAAAAAGTGGGGATGTGAGATATACATGATATAGGGGGTAAAAAAGTGGTGATGTGGGATATAGGAGGTAAAAAAGTGGGGATGTGAGATATACATGATATAGGGGGTAAAAAAGTGGTGATGTGGGATATAGGGGGTAAAAAATGGGAATATGAGATATAGGGGGTAAAAAAGTGGTGATGTGGGATATAGGAGGTAAAAAAGTGGTGATGTAGAATATAGGTATAGAACCACTAATTCAGGCCCGGTCGGAAAGAACATACAAGAAAATAGTACATATTTTAAACAAAATAGTTCCTACGCATAGCTGTATCTTTGTCAATAGTGGAAATATTTGGGTAGTTTTAGTATCAAATGAAAGCTTGGGGACTTAGGGTCACTGTAGAACCCTTGTTGAAAGTTTTATTTGAATAATAAAGAAGTATAGGAAATTTTAATAGGAGGGCTCATTTGGCCTGTTGTTCAGATCAGAAGTTCCTGTTTTTGTACTATCAAACTTCCGGGAACCAGTACGCTCTAATATGCAATTAAAGGTATGTTGATTTTTTCAGCACAAGTCAGCATAAGGTACAGTTTTGACATGGAATAACTGCCACTTTATTTGAACTTAAGATAAAGTAGCCATTTATGCTTGGAATTGCAGAATTTAACATAGAAAGCAATGGGGCTATAAATTAGTGGTTTTATACCTATAGGGGGTAAAAAGTTGGGATGTGAGATATAGGGGGTAAAAAAGTGGTGATGTGAGATATAGGCTGTAAAAAAGTGGTGATGTGGGATATAGGGGGTAAAAAGTGGGGATGTGAGATATAGGGGGTAAAAAGTGGTGATGTGGGATATAGGGTGTAAAAAAAGTGGTGATGTGGGATATAGGGGGGTAAAAAAGTGGGGATGTGAGATATACATGATATAGGGGGTAAAAAAGTGGTGATGTGGGATATAGGGGGTAAAAAATGGGAATATGAGATATAGGGGGTAAAAAAGTGGTGATGTGGGATATAGGAGGTAAAAAAGTGGTGATGTAGGATATAGGGGGTAAAAAGTTGGGATGTGAGATATAGGGGGTAAAAAAGTGGTGATGTGAGATATAGGCTGTAAAAAAGTTGTGATGTGGGATATAGGGGGTAAAAAGTGGGGATGTGAGATATAGGGGGTAAAAAGTGGTGATGTGGGATATAGGGGATAAAAAGTGGGGATGTGAGAATTAGGGGGTAAAAAGTGGGGATGTGAGATATGGGGGTAAAAAAGTGGTGATGTGGGATATAGAGGGTAAAAAAGTGGTGATGTGGGATATAGGGGGTAAAAAGTGGTGATGTGGGATATAGGCTGTAAAAAATGTTGTGATGTTGGATATAAGGGGTAAAAAAGTGGTGAAGTGACATATAGGGGGTTAGAAAAGTGGGGAGTACATAAAAAGCGGGATTTTGGAAATAAGCACCCTTGTGTCACCCCTTAATCATTTCTTATAAGAAAGTTTATAAGATGTCTTTTATTATTTAAACTAAAAATCTGAAGAAAGTTCTTATATCAATACAAAAAATCTTTCTATTTAAGTGTTCAGTTCAAGAATGATGAAGCATGGGGTTTGAAAGCTGTGACCAAAATTATAAAAATACTGGTGTTCATTTATTTGGTTTGACAGATCAAAATGTTATTGAACAATCTGTTGAAAGCTGATTTATGGAGAAGAGTCTGAAAATTGACCTCACAATTGCAAAATCAGTTAGTCTTCAATATATAAAGATATAAAAATAAGAAGATGTTGTATGATTGCCAATGAGACAACTCTCCACCAGAGAACAAATGATGTATAGTTGACTTTAAAATTAATTATGATTTGATTTCAGATAATTTTTTGATTGCTGATGGAAGATTAGGAGAGGAAGGAGATACAGCAATGATAGAATTTCCCAGTATCTCAATATCGTCCACGATGTACCTACATTTCAAATATATGATAAGCAATTGGAACAGTTCTCAAAACCTGATGTATTCCATCAATAAAAATGACGATTTTACATCAGTGATGACAGCTAAGCCAATACTAGCTGCATGGCAGACATACTGTGTTAGCATTTCATTTCCAAGGGAGGTTACTGTGAGATTTAAGACCGACAAAACTCAAATGAATAACCATACTGATGTATATATTGATGATGTTGTGTTATCAGCTAAATCCTGTTCAGGTAAGTTATTGCTGTATATTGGGTTATTTTTCTCGTCTGGTTTTGTTTGCTGTTTGGGCTTAGATGGGACAGTAAAATCTTCGCTTTGTTCATAATATTCAAGTTTCATTGCCTTTTACAATGCATTTAAATGAAGTTTAAAATATTTGTGTAGGGTAAATTTCATAGTTATATTGCCGAAGCAAAAATTAGACACATACTAAAATTCCTGATGTACCTTATCTGACAATATAATCAAGAGTTAAGTGAAAAAGAATTATAACAAGGCTTATGCCAGACTTTAGCACATATTCTGTAAAAATACACTTCAATCTAGCAAATTGTCAAATACAAGAAGTCCTTTTATATCAGACTAAGTGACAATTTAAGATATTCACTTCTCAATCTTTTAAAATATGTCAGTGTCAAACTTGATGTCACACAATCTTGTTAGTAGAAGGCATATAAACTATAAATGTATTAGAATAAATGAAGGTAATGCCAAAACACAGAAATTATAGAGTCAGATGATGATACATAGTTTCACAGATGTCGGTTCTTCAGAAGCAGAAAATTATCACCTGGCGCTTTTAATTACATATCAAAAAGTCTATTTACACCAATATTGAGTTCTAGGAGTTTACTACAACTAACTTCAATCTTGTGCAAGTTGACCTAAAGTGGACTTTGAAAAACTACATGAAAACAATTTATTTTCTTGAAAAGAAGACAAATTTTATATTTAAATGTAAGATCCCAAATTGATATGAATATATTTAAAAACCCTACTAAAATATTTACAGTTAAATCCTTGACCTGTGATTTTGATGACTCAGCACTATGTGGCTACTACATGTCTGATTCCTGGACGAGAAAAGAACATGACAACAGGATAGGAGGTAAGCTTGATACAGGATGTATGGTTATATTTGCAAATTATATTCCTTTCTAAATTGATTAGAATACCATTTAACAATTGTTATTTAATGTGATATTTTTATTAACAAGAAAAATGGATTATTAATACACAGCATGTTGACATGTATCATCGCACATGCATTACCTGTCCTTATTGCCGATTGGGTATTTTATTTCAGCTTATATCTATTAATAACAACCAATGATATAAGGAATTCCCTACTGGCCACTCTTGACATCTCGCTCTCTAATTGCTTTGTGAGATGTGGGAAGGGAACCAATCAGAACAAGGCCCTTATTTCAAATTATCCAATCGGCAGAGATAATTAATTAATTATCATCCTTTTGTTTTAATTACTGCGCGCCTCATTTAGGCATTCTAGATAATACAACTGCATGAAGCAGACGCATTGCAATTTGGCATTAGCGAATTTAAAATATATATATATATTGTCTTTAAACATCGAAAAATTTTACGGGAAAAATTGGTTTAAATCCTTGGAAATGGATATTTCGGCAACGTTGTTAAAACCAGTGAAAGTATAGAGAACTTTTGTCTGAATAGCTGAATTCCCGAGAATGATATTTAACAGTGATACACTGTAGACTTTTGTGCACATTCCGGCGATGGAATTTATTGAGATCTGCTGTTGATGTGTGTAATCCTTGCATACCGTGTTCTGGTGATGGAATTTATTGCGTTTCCCTGTAGACTTTTGTAGTTTTTATCCTGCACGCTCCGGCGACGGAATTATCCGAGTCAGAAATGCTCTGCTTTAAACTTTTTTAACATTTGTACCAAATAGTATATTTGCGACTATAGGCGATATGGCGAGCGACAGTGAAGGCGAAGTAGATTTTCCACGTAATGTCGAGCAGGTACAGATGTGGGCATCCACAATAAAGCTGAATCCAAACACAGCTTCCGAATTAATTAGACTTGGCTTCGATTCTATGGAAGCGATTTCATTGATTGAAAAAGAGGATATGCCAGCTTTTAATATTCCGCTTGGGCAGCAAAAAGTGTTGATACGAGCAGTTGGAAAAACTTTCAAGGACGGTCGCGCTGAAGCTGGGAATATGGCGGACACGCACCCTTACGGAAATGAACTCGAGGCTACACAGAGAACTTCCGCTAGGATACAAAATGGCGGCACCAGCAACCAAGATGGCGACGGTGTAAACAACAAAGATGGCGACGATGTAAACAACAAAGATGGCGACGATGTAAACAACAAAGATGGCGGCGCCCATACGTCAAACCCCCGATCGGAGGATGCCTATGTGCAAGAGATCCTAAAGATGATGTCGAGGGAGAAGAACATTACAGGACAATTTGTGAATGACTCTCATAATTCTTCCACAGGTAGAGACAATTTGCTGGTCAATGACATTTACTCATGGAAAGACCCTCAAATATTTTTAAAGTCTACAAATTTTGATCCTAATGTGAATTTCTTTGATATAACTGATTTTGTACCTAATACTTTAGGGGGGCACTCAGAATCAGAGGAATTAGTTTCGGAATCGTCAGGGGGCAAATTAGTTTTCAAATCGGGGCCTGTCAAGCCTAAATTAGAAACATTGTCGGTAACACAATGGTCTATGGCTAATTTGTCCATAATGCATAAGTTGATAGCTATAAGAGAGTTACAATCATCCCAAGTTATGGATTATTTATCTTATACTATGCGCATTTATCTTTTTCTTTCGAGCTGTGAGTTGGTGTCTGTTTTTTTCCTTGATCGGGAATACCGACGCCTGCAAAAGCAACACCAATTTAGATGGGGTACAGACATTCCCCATCTCCATTCTGTATTTTTGAGGCCAAAGTTTTTGCAGAGTCAGAATTCCCGCATTGCACCTCAAACTCAGAGCTCGAAATAATGGCTAATAAACATGCAGTTACATATGCTTCTCATTCTCCGGGGGGAAGGATGATTTGCAAGAAATTCAATAGTCGTAGAGGCTGTTTTATGCCACACTGTAAGTTTGAGCATTCATGTGCTATACCTGCATGTGCTGAAAAGCACCCAGCATTTCAGCATACAAAAAACTAGATACAATGGTGAAGCCTACGCGTGCTCTTGATCTAATTTCATGGACTAATGAGTTAAGTGATGATTTTGACAAAGAATTTTTGTTATTTGGCATAGAACATGGATTTGACATTGTCACTAATGTCCCCCTACCAGAGAATGTACGCTCCAAAAATCATCCTTCTGCAAAGCCTAGTAGCCCTTTTTACAAACAGGCACATAAACAAATTTTAACAGAAATTGATAACGGAAACTATATTTTTGTCAATTCCCCCCCCCAAAATTATCAGTCCGCTTGGGGTTATCCCTAAATCTGATGGCGGAGTTCGAATTATTCATGATTGTAGCAGACCAATAGGTTTTGCAGTAAATGATTTTGCAGGAGAATTTGATAAACAAAAATTTCAAACAGTAGATGATGCATGCAAGTTAGTTTCAAAAAATTTTTATATGTCAAAAGTGGATCTAAAGGCCGCTTACAGATCTGTCAAAATAAGTGAACAAAGTAGAGAGGTCACTGGGCTTACATGGACTTTTCCTGATGGTCATGATTATACTTTCATAGATAAAAAACTTCCGTTTGGATCAAAATTAGCACCTGGTATTTTTCATAGATTATCTCAGGCAATTCGCAGAATGATGTCACGTAGAGGCTTCACCATTGTGGCATATTTAGATGATTTTTTTATTTGCGAGAAGACAAAGAAGCGCTGCGCTCAGGCGTTAGCAATTTTAATTGCGCTGCTCAGGAAGTTAGGTTTTTGTATCAGCTGGTCTAAAGTAACAGACCCCTGCCAACAGATTGTATTTTTAGGGGTTGAGATAGATTCTACTACTTTAGAAACTAGACTTCCTATTGCAAAATTGCATGATTTGAAATCAGAATTAGCTGAATTTTTATTGTGTAAGCGTGCTTCAAAAAAGCAATTGCAATCTTTAGCGGGAAAGCTTAATTGGGCGTCTGCTGTGGTTCGAGGCGGGAGAGTTTTTCTCCGTAGAATTATAAACGGCATCATGCGATTAAAGCTAGATTGGCATAAATTGCGTCTGACAGGCGAAATATTGCAAGATATAAAGTGGTGGCATAACTTTATTTCAACTTTTAATGGGAAGTCAATTTTACTTTCAAAGGTTCCTATCACCTCTGTAGCTACTGATGCTTGTAAATCAGGTGGAGGGGGTGTCTATCAAAATGATTGGTTTTATGTAAATTGGGCAGAAGATCACCCCTTTGCTTTGAAACTTCACATAAATGAATTAGAGGCTTTCTCAGTGGCGTTAGCAGTAAAGCGATGGGCCCCATATTGGCGTGGTCAGCGTATTATAGTTCATTGCGATAATGCGGTAACTGTAAGTTGCATTAATAAAGGTACATCAAAAAATGCTATTTTGATGTCCTTTTTGCGTGAGCTCTTTTGGTTATCAGCAACGTATAATTTTCACTTGATAGCTAAGCATGTTCCAGGCAAAACGAATATACTAGCAGACTGTATTTCACGGATGCATGATCTACCTTTCTGTGAACAATTTTTGCGTGATTATGTTCGACTGCCACTGTATTTACAGGATCTTGTTAGGCACATGTCTAGTAATGCCCTTCGTTTTCTTTTATTTAGGCTCACTGGTATCGAGGGAGGTGAGATCACTGGATAGTATTGTTGCTAACTTTAGATGTCATACTTATGCTGAATCTACCAAAAAGACATATTTAAACTATTTCAAGTCATACGCAGAATTTTGTAGAAGATTAAATATTACCCTTGTTCCATTAAGTCCTATGAATTTAGCCAGATATGTAGCCTATTTATCTTCAAGGTTACAATTTAATTCCATAACAAATTATTTGTCAATTGTGCGGTTGCTACATTTAGAATCAGGAGTTGCATCTCCGATAGATTCCTTTTTTATGGAGTCAGTACTCAAGGGTGCTAAACGTGTGTTAGGTGCTGCCATACATAGAAAATTGCCTATTACACCAAAAATTTTGAATGAGATATTTACTTTACTGTCAGTCAGCAGTAGTAAGGACTTGTGTTTTTGGGCAGCCTGCTTAGTGGCTTTTTTCTCCTTTTTAAGGAAGTCAAATTTGTTTGCCCCTTCAATTTCAGCTTTTGATCCTTTGCGACATTTTACTCGTGAGGAAATCCATTTTCACTCAGATGGTGTCTGTTTAAAAGTACGCAAAACCAAAACAATTCAATTTTCAGAGCGTATATTAGAAATTCCCCTTCCTAGAGTGAAGAATTCTCATTTATGTCCCTCTAAGGCGCTTCTTTTAAATTTTAAACAGGTGCCAGCAGTGTCAGCCCCCTCACCTGTCTTCCTGTATTTAGTACGAGGCAAGGTTACCCCTCTTACATATACAGCCTTTGTAAAAATGCTAAAACAGAACTTATCTAGGTTGGGTTATGACAGCAGCAAATATTCGGGACATAGTTTTCGCAGAGGAGGGGCCTCCTTTGCCTTAGAATGTGGGGTTCCAGCTGATCTCATACAATCACAGGGTGATTGGAAATCTAATGCATACAAATCATACTTGGATCCTTCTTTTGCACACAGACAGGAAGTCATGAACAAATTTGCAGTTGCCCTGGGGAAATAATAAACCATTTAACCTACCTTCTACTGGTTACACCACACATGTTTGGGAAGTTTGGAATACCACAGATTATTAATTAATTAATTTGTGTATTGTTTTCAAACTGTACTGTTGTTTGTGTTTTATTAATATGAAATTTAAGCATTAAACTGTGGTTCTTTTCCCAAACATGTCTTTGTTTTACACTAGTAACCATCTGGATTCACAGGTTTCCTGACTGGATTCCGATCAGAGTTAGACATTAACATGCATCTGATCTGAGACTGGTCTAGATTCCAACAGCATATATACACATACACACTATACACATACACAGGGGGGAGGGAAATGGGTGGGGCCGTTTTAGCCGCAATTTTTCTTAGCAATTATAATCAATTACATGTAATTCCATAACCCTTAGGCTTTTGTATTATAATCTAAAGGGTCCTCCTTGTTACAGTTTTAAAGCCCTGAGGGATATCCGGCTAAAGATTGCTAATCACTTGTACAGTTAGATCGACACACCTGACAAGGGAACACTTGATCAAGTTAGACAATTGATTGCACTATATAATTAAGTTTCAGCGAATGCTAATGAAAATTTAGATTAGAAAATAAATTTTAATCCAGTTACAAAGAAGCAAGATTTAAAAAGTCGAACACATGCTTTTATATTGACTTACGCAATCCGCATCCCCCTTTTCAAACGAGTTCAAAATAAGACGTTAAACAGAACATAATTCCATGCCAAATAACACAAGTTCAGCAATTATCTATAATATTGAATGACTTTACAAGTTTAAATGTAAATACATGAATATTAACTGCAACTTGAAAATTTGAAGAAATTTCTTATCTTAGTTCCGAATTCATTTCGTAGTTTACAATCGTATAGATACATCCGGTTTTCCAGTTTTCATTGAGAATGGAAAGATGCATGTTTCATAGTACATTACTATAAAATTTGCTATTTAAAGTCAATTAAACATTTAAAGTTATAAATAATTGCCCTCCAAAACTTTCTTCAGCGTTTTACAAAACGGTAGGAAACTTCTTGTCGTTGATGATTGTGCAAGCTTTTGATACCGGTTCATGACTTCTGAATTTGACTGTGAAAAAAAGATCCCCCCGATTTTAAAGCCCTATACCATTATCAAAATGGCAGGAAAATGACGTGGGAACCTTCAGGACAGCTTAATTGTGGTCATTCTTGACTAAGGGGGAGCCATGCAGGCTTGACATTGAAATTGTTACCTGTTACAATTAATGAAATTATTGTTATTTTTTAAGGAAATAAATGAAATAAGCAATATATCAGCCTGTTCACCATTCCTTACATGGAAATGAAAGAAAGAAATACTTTCGATTACGCCACGCCATAGACATGGGGTTTTGTCATGGTGAAAGTTCCTCCATCATTCAATTTTCATCCATGGAGATCCCTGATGGTTGTTAAATAAAAACATTTATCATATACTTAGAGTTAATAACTTATAATTTTTACTGTATGATAATAGCATTAAATTTATGCCAATTCCATATTTTCCGAAATGGTACTTAGTGGGCTGATATGAAAAATTCATCAACTGCTTTCGGCTATTATCGCATGCCTTTCCATAACGTCAGCAAATTCTGGAAAATACACCTCAATGGTACGTTTTCAGTGAAAAACATAACAAAGTAGGGTACAAAACAAATATTAGGAAACAGGAAAATATATCATGTAAAATGCAAAACAAATGAAACAATAAATGCATTTTTCAAAGTTTCCAGCATAATTTAGCAGGTTACTTTACAAATGTTGACTTTTCCAAACAGTGTTCATTATGTTTTGTTGATTTTTTTAAATCGTCAATATAAAAATATATTATAGTGTTGTTTTTTCTCCTCTGTTAAGACATATGATAGAAAGATTTCATATTGGATGAATTACACTTGGCGCCCGTCGTCCGAAACTTTTCACTTTTTGAACTTCTACTTGAGAACCACTTAAAAGGATCAATATATTAAACTGTTATTTTTTCTCTATTGTTGAAGCATATGATAAAAAGATCATATTATCATGCCATTTTTCATATCAGATATATTATCAGCCCACGGTTAATATCAGCACTCGAGCCTTTGGCACATGGGCTGAAATTGAACCTTAGACTGATAATACATCTCTGATATGAAAAATGCCATGTAATAATCTTATAAAACGATACCATTAGGGTAGGAAGGCACTTTGAAAATGGGGTAACTATCTATAGAGGTAGCCTTTTAGAATTTCACGTACATTTTTACTGTGCAATAAAATAGTTGACGCTCACCTATTGTTGAGATTTTCAAGTGCTTTCCTGGGTCCCATGTATGTTTTTATGGAACATTCCTTAAACTGAATATGGTGGTTTGACTTACATTTAGAGATAAAATTGTTTTCTTTTAAATAAGTCAAACCATAAAAAAAAAATTTGAAATTTGTGTTAATATATTGAAATGATATAGGTAAATTTTGATTAAAAATTTCAGCCATAGCAGTAATTAACTTTAATTTTAATTTTTATTTGGTACAAGTTGAAGTAGAACAAATCTTTTAACATTGATTTTATAGATTTCTACATGTCAGTCACAGCGACCAGTTACAAAAGATCCTCGTTAGTTTCAGCAAACCACCTTGACTCTAGTAATACCCAGTGTTTACAGTTCAATTACACGTTCACAGGAAGTTCAAATGCTCATCTTACATTGATACTCAATAGAAAAAACTCAGAATCTACAAGAGTCATCTTACAGGGAACCAGTACATGGAGGAACTTCCGATACCAGACAGAGGAACAGTTTGATTTCATTTATTTTGATCTAGCTCCATTTTCAACGAGTTCTTCTGGTATTGAAACAGCAGGAGTTGATAATATATCTATATCACCAGGAATTTGTCCCCCTATTTGTGAGTAACATTGACAGTTGATAAGAACTGTTATTTTCTCAAACACAAAAATCATAATAACTTGTTAAAGGTGGTACCAAAATTTCAAAAAACTTGAACCACATACTTTATCGGAATATTTCATTGGATATAAGCATGCGCAGTTTGACAAACACTAATTTTTGTCTCGCCTTGACCGAGTCAAAAAGCGAAACATAGGTATGCTGTTTTCGGCGGCAGCGTCAACAATATATTAGTTTGTGATTAGGTCTAGTTTAAGGTGAACCACTAGTGGTTGGTCATTGATATTTGGTATGCAGTTGTATTAGCACTGGCATATAAAAGATAATTTGGCCCTGCCCCTCAGTCATGGTCTATTGACTTTGAAACTTTTGCTTAGTTTACATGTATTAATTTGTGATTAGGTCAGGTTATGGGGAACCACTAGTGGTAAGTCAATGATATTTGGTATGCAGTTGTATAAGCATTGGCATATCTCATTTCCATGGAGATTATTTGGCTCCGCCCTCTCAGTCATGGTCTATTGACTTTAAAACTTTTGCTTAGTTTACATGTATTAGTTTGTGATTAGGTCAGTTCAAGGGGAACCACTAGTGGTAAGTCAATGATATTTGGTATGCAGTTGTATAAGCATTGGCATATATCTCATTTCCATGAAGAATATTTGGTCCTGCCCCTGCAGTCATGGTCTATTGAAATTGAAACTTTTGCTTAGTTTACATGTATTAGTTTGTGATTAGGTCAGTTCAAGGGGAACCATTAGTGGTAGGCCAATGTTAATTGGTATGCAATTGTATAAGCATTAGCACATCTCATTTCCATGGAGAATATTTGGTCCCGCCCTGTCAGTCATGGTCTATTGACTTTGAAACTTTTGCTTAGTTTACATGTATTAATTTGTGATTAGATCAGTTTAAGATGAACTGCTAATGTTAACTCAATGATATTTGGTATGCAAATTTATTGGATTTGCAAGTCTCCTTTCCATGGCGATTATATAGCCCCACCCCCTCATCATGGTTCATTGACTTTGAAACTTTTACATATAGTTTACAAGTCAATGTTTGTGTTTAGGTTTGTTGAATGGGAACGACTTATGATAAGTCTATGGTATTTGTTATGCAGTTGTATTAGCATTGGAACATCTCATTTCCATGGAGATTGTTTTGCCATGTACCTGCAGCCGTTGACTTTGAATATTTGCATAACTTACATGTTAAAGTATTGCTATTTTAATTTCAACATTTGCATTATCAAAAGTACAAAAAGGTTTATGATCATTCACAGAGAAGCTTAATATTTTCTTAACAATAGAACGTGATTAAAATGTACAGCTGATTTTTTCAGAGTTATCTCCCTGTAGTGTTATGTACCACCTTAATTGAGCTCAATGCGCCTTTCTATTTTTTTCTTCAATTGCAGTTAATCCAAAAAAAATTTTGTGTGCATTTTATATTACTGTGATTACAGAAAAAGCTACATACAAATAATATGATATGAAAATTTAAAATGCAATTTTTTTTATTTTCCGAAACTTGTCCCTTGGCAAATTTTGCAATAATAATAATATCGTAAAAATTTCAGAATTTACAGTATTAAAGGTGCAAACTAGAGTTCCTACAGTACACTGTCAAAATTCGGTGATAACAGTATACACATTTATATCAAAGTTATTTTTTTCACATTTAGAACTTTGTATCGCATAGGTTTATTTTTCATGATTTTCCAACTTTTTTTTAACTATTCATATAAGAGATGATCAAATAAAAGACTTTTTTTTTTCCACAATTTATATTTGCGTTATTTTTATACTTGCAAAAGACAATTAAAATTTGCTTGCGAAAACTATTTAAAAATAAGATGATGTGGTATGATTGCCAATGAGACAACTCTCCACCAGGACCAGATGACCTAGCAGTTAGCAGCTATAGGTCACTTATGTAGTTGGTTTTATAGTAAGTGACTTTGTGTTAACCACAAAATATTGATCATCATCTGTGAGTTCCTGAGATCCTGTCCCGAAACTATAAGTCATAATTAAAACTTAATTCAAAGCTTCTGCTAAACAGGGAGAATTTGAACAGATAAGTATAGATATTACTCACTGGCAGTTACATTTATCACTTATTATACCCCACGTCGGGTATAATGTTTTTGACCCGTCCTTCTGTCTGTCAGTCCGTCAGTCCTGTTCTTGTCATTGCAACTCCTCTGAAACCACACAACAGAATTTCATGAAACTTTATAGATAATAAGGACATACTATGTAGATGTGCATATCGACATGAATTATGATTCAATTTTTCTAGGAGTTATGCCCCTTTGCACTTATATGGTATGTGGGGTATGTGAGTGTGCTTTCTTTAATTTTAAGAAATGAAACAATCCTGTAAATTTCTTAGGTCACAATATTCACTTCTACTTCATCTCAAGCATCGAATAACAAATCAAACAAAACAATGTCTTGAAATCTGACTAAAGAAAACACATATTTTTTGTACAGATTGTGGTGCTGATGAACATAGATGTTCTTCTAGACTCCAATGTATCCCACAATCCTCTGTTTGTGATGGTATAGAAGACTGTAAAGATGGCAGTGATGAGAAATCATGTAGTGAGTTATATTTCCATTTATTACATCGTTTGGAATGAAATGCAATAATTTCCTAGAAGTAATGAAAACGGATATTTCACATGTAAATAAAACCTGTACTTTCACTTCTCAAACATGATACAATAATAAATGTTGTCAAGGAGTTCCTTGTATATAATACTTCTATCTATATCAACATGTCAAAGAGTGGAAATTTTTTTTTTTTTTAAATTCCAGAAAATTAATTTTCAGCAACAATAGTTTACAGTGATCAAGACTTAAGGTTTTAAATTGCTTGGAAGAAATACTAGCACCTTGCTATAGCTGGTTTAATTCTGTTGTTAAGATGTTATAAAGAAGGCTAGCAACATGAGAACATTGAACATTTATTATGTACTGACAGTTATCTCCCCTGAAACTAAATTGTCTCCCCTTTAATGCTTATCCTATGTAACTTTTGTAATTTCAGATTCCTCCATCTCTTGTGATTTTGAGTCTGTCCTGGTTTGTGAATACAACATAACAGGCAATTACATCATCAGGGTCAATGACTCAAGTAAGTACGAATATCAATACTTTATTATATAGTATTAGTTATATACAGTTATTTTGAGATACAATGTATATTACATTAAAACTAAATGAATAAATAACTTATCCTCTATAAAAAAAAAGACTGAATATCATACTTGCCAACCTCTGACAATGAAAAATCATGTCATGACATGACATGACATGTCAAAAAGCGTGTGAAAATGCGTGATGTAGATGCAGACTTTTGAAAATGAACATTATACAAACTTCGTAATATAAAAAAAACCAATATTCTACTGTAAACCTTTATTGAATTCAACAGTGGCCTATTTTTGCTGCTTTCAAAACAACACTACTAGGCAAATATACAAAATAACTGCCAGTTTGGTTACATTTACATGATAACAAGGCACACAATATATCATTGAGTTCTGATCTGAATTCAGTGTAAATTTCTTTATAATTGAAAATGCTCTCTCACAGTAAGAATTGTTATTTGGCAAAACTAAAATAGCTTTAAGGTTTAAATAGCAAGCTTTGAAAGAATGTCATGACGTTTTTTTTTGCCATTTAAAATGTCATCTTCGTCTGCCATTGCTCCCCACAAATTATATATGTTGATATTGTCTGGTCAAAACTGGGTAGTTCATCAGAAGACAGCTCGTACTCTGAGAACTGATCCAACAGTTCTGTGATATTCCCTTCTCATATGGCCTGTGGAAATCTGTTGGCTAGATTTGAAACTGAAACTGAAAAATATTTTATAATTTGAATACCATTGAATGCTTTATCAAATAGTTACCTCCTCTCAAACATGTTGTTATGATTGCAAATGATTGATAAAGTTTGCAGATGATCCAATATAAATATGAGAGAAACATAGGGTGCACAATGCATTGTTCGGCCCTCGATCACTTTATTTTGATTCATTTTAACATGAACTCCCAACTTTTTTGGTACGTACACACGTATCGTTTTCGCTTAGCACTCGGCTCTTTAGACGACAGTACAGGTCCAGAAAGTGACTTCTTTCTGCTGGACATTTCCCCAAAGTGAATTTGAGAGAAAGAAGTCACAAAATCTTAAAACCTACTTACAAACTTACCTGAAGTGAAGGGCTTTTGTTGTTTGTCCATATCGTAAATAAACAATGGCGACTCAACAATTACTTCGAAATTCTCGGTATTTATCGTCTATTATACAAATTATTACAACATACAAATAATGGTATTTTTTATAACATATTGAAATCTATGTATAGTAATGACAAAGTGTGTGTCAAAGTAGAAGACAAAATAACTGATTTTTTTAGATATAATGTTGGTGTACGACAAGGTGATGTCTTGAGTCCCACATTGTTTAAACTATTTATTAATGATTTGCCAGATATATTGTCAAACAATTATGATAATGTCAATTTAGATAATGAAAAGATACCATGTCTACTATACGCTGATGATCTTGTATTAATATCTGACTCAAAAGAAGGGCTTCAGAAGAGACTTGATACTTTGTGCACATTCTGCAAAGATTGGTGTATGGAAATAAATGTGAAGAAAACAAAGATTATTATATTCAATAGGAGTGGTAGCATATATATATATATATATATAGACTCCTTAATGAAGATTTCAAGATAGGAAATAATTCTATCGAATGTGTTAAACAATACAAATATCTTGGCATAGTCATCCAAAATACTGGAAACTTTAATGAAGCCAGGAAACAATTATTTCAAAAAGGTCAAAAGGCCAGTTTTAAACTGTATAAAGATTTGAAATCATCAAATCCTCCTATTAAAACTCTTTTGCATTTATTTGATCATTGTATACAGCCAATTGTAACGTATGGTTGTGAAAATTGGGGTGTTATTAACATTACTCCTAAAAGGAAAAAATTATCCCTTTATGACATATTTAAAGATTGGAAGTTTGAGTAGCTAAATTTTAAATTTTGCAAGTATATTATTGGTGTTACAAAGATGTGCACAAACCTAGCAGTCCTGTCTGAACTGGGTAGATATCCTCTTTATATAAATTTGTTAACACATATGTTTATGTATTGGCATAGACTAGAGAATTCCCCATCTGATTTGTTGAAAAGTGCTTATGCTGAGTTAAAAATGATTGAGAGTAAAGCTCAAACTATCTCCAATAACTCATGGCTCTCTAATATCATTTTCCACAGCGAAAAATTGGGTATTGACCTAAATATATGTAAAAATTTAGGTAAAAATAAATTTAAAAATTTACTGAAAAAACAGCTAAAATTAAATTTTCAAAATGATTGGGAGAAAATGCGAGATTTTTATTTACAGAATCAAGGCAAATTGGACACTTATTTTTCATTCAAGAGGTCATTTGACTATGAAAATTATTTAGATTTAAAGCACCCCCAAAAACATTTGTTAACAAAATACAGACTCAGCAATCACTGTTTAAGAATAGAAACTGGCAGACATGAACGTTTTATCAATGTATGTGGTAAATATGAAATATTACCTCGACATGAGAGGATATGTTTATATTGTAATTCAAATTCTATTGAAAATGAAATGCACTTTCTTCTGGAATGCCCTCTTTACAATAACCTCAGAAGAGATATGACTGATTATATAAAAAAATACCCCAGTTTAGTTAATTTAAACAGAAATGATCTTTTTACATGGATCATGAGTAATGAAGATAGCAGTTTTTTTATCTATTTTATGTACATACCTTGATAAAGGCCTGCAACTTAGAAAATCAGAAAATTAGTTAAATACTCTAATAGATAGCAAAATTATCTCCCCTTGACCACTGACCCTTTCCTCATGCATTTGAACTATTATTTTATGTTTCTTTAATGACTGTAATGTTCATGGCATGTTGTTATTAATGTTATGCTCTTAATGGGCCCTTTAATTTGGAAATAATAAATATTGTAAATTGTAAAAATATTAATGAAAACACCCGTAAATCGCGATCTCATTAACGACAAAAAAATCAAAACAACAAAAAGCGTGTAATGGCGTGTAAACCGTAGAAAAAGCGTGTATTACACGCGAATATCATGTGAGTTGGCAACTATGCTGAATATTAACCCTTTTTAATACATAGTACATAAACTACATGTATCATATATGATTCACTGTGTCGCCACACCCAGTCTTTCTCTTTTTGGAGTTCATGCAGTTCCATGTTTTCACTCTGTTTGTATAAACCAAGTTGAATAACATGATTAGAACCTCAATAAACTATTATTCCCTCTTATTTATACATCAATAAAACAGTAACCAAAGAACACAAATTATCTAAAGACAGCTATAGAAGTTTATACAGATATGATTTTTATGCCCCACCTACAATAGTAGAGGGGCATTATGTTTTCCAATCTGTGCATCCGTTTGTTCGTTTGTCCGTCCCTGTTCGTCCATGCGTCCCACTTCAGGTTAAAGTTTTTGGTCAAAGTAGTTTTTGATGAAGTTGAAGTCAAATCAACTTGAAACTTAGTACACATGTTCCCTATGATATGATCTTTCTAATTTTAATGCCAAATTAGAGTTTTGACCACAATTTCACGGTCCACTGAACATAGAAAATGATAGTCAAGTGGGGCATCTGTGTACTATGGACACATTCTTGTTATCAGTTATTTTGTTTCTTGATTTTTATGCCCCAGCCGCAAGGTGAAAGAGGCATTAAGTGTTATCCTTGACCGTCCGTCCATCCGTCCTTCTGCCGCTCCATTTTCATTTGAAAGGCAAGCTTGAGGGGGGGCATTCGGGTACTCAGACACATAATCTTCTTTTATTTTTTTTAAATGCTAGACTTTATGAGCTAGTTCAAAATGACATTTTCTAATGATAAACATGATAAAAAGAAAAAAAAAAAAGATACCGAACACCAAGGAAAATTCAAAACGCAAAGACCCTTATCAAATGGCAAATTCAAAAGCTCAAACACATCAAATGAAAGGAAAACAACTGTCATATTCCTGACTTGGTACAGGTGTAATACCACCAAATCATAGTACGTCACATCCGGTTGCATACGAAAATAGGTCGAAAAAAAATATTCCCTTGAATTTGACAGTTGTAGGTAATTGATCCTACATTTCATTGCAGTAAAACATATCTGAGTCATAAACATATATCTTGGGTATTTCAAAGCACCATTATTTCTTTATTTGGGGTTTCTATAGAATATTTTGGAAACTTGAGGTTACATGGTTACTAAAGCTTGTACACAGGTTAAAAAAGGGGGAAAATTTGATTGGTTAACTTCCAGTGATGGTTATTTTCTTATATGCAATGAAATGTTATGTGAATTTTTTTCTATAGTACTGGACAGGATAAAACTTTACTCATGCCAAGTATTTCTTTATTTGAAACAAAGATAAACTCTGCACAATTTTTTGAAAAGTGCAAATTTAACAAAGACTAATAGGGGAAAATCAATGGTGGTATTACACCTACAGGCATTTTCTTATGTAGAAAATGGTGGATAAAATCTGGTTTTATTGTGGCAGTTTTCAGATGTTATGATAGTGTTTTCAGAAAATTGTAATGACTTGTAATAAAAAAAATTCAAAAGGCCAAACAATTTAAGAAAAGCGTTAATGGCCCATAGACAATGAATTCAGCATCACTGCTTTAAAAAATATCACAAAGTAAATATATACTTGTACTGATTTATGCAAATAATATAAATATATAATGTAAAAAAAATATGTTTTGTCTTTGTGTTAATTTTTATATGACACTATTAACAGAAATTAAAACAGAAGTAAAGTAATATAATATGATTTAAAATAAAAACTTTTTTTTTGTTCGCATAATTTGTATGCAGTATTTACCAAAGTAATTATGACATCTAAATGGTTGTGAAAGTGACATGTCTACCATGTAGGTAAGAAGGATAATAAAAAAAACTTAAAAGGCCAGACGCCGAAATTTCTTCAAAATAGTTTAATTAATACAAAAATGTAAAATGTTTTTCCTATTGGAATTTCTAAACAAGAAATCATTATAATTAATCTCACATATCTGTCCATTTTTCAACAATTGTAAAAATAAATGCATGTTAATGTACAGTATTCAAACTGGGTTTATAAAATAATGAAATAATTTAATCTATCCTTATCTGTATTTTCAGATGGCAATCATCACATATATGTCTCTATGGCTGGTTTCCACTTACTACGCTCTCAAATGGAAAATATTCCTACCGTGTCTTGTCTTTCATTCTTGACTCAGTCCTATCCCTTTACCAATGGTCACTTGAGACTGGCCCTCCAAGATACAGATGATCTTGTCACACCATTGTATATGATCGATAGCATGATTAGAACTGCATTCTGGATAAAGTACAAGACAACTGTTCCAAGTGGAAATTTCAGTGTGATATTTGAGATGTTCTTCCCATCAAATAATTTGGGAGGTTTACGAATTGATGATATTGTTTTACAGCCAGGGGAATGTATGGAAGGTAAGATGTTAGCAAAAGAGGATATAAAGTTTAGATTTCATGAAATATTTTTTTACTCTGCAGCAATGTACTTGTTCAGGGAGCTAATCAGTGTTTTATTGTAGTCTGTTCAATTGATTCCGAACTTTTCATAACTCAGGAATATTTAGAGGTTGGACATACATTTGTTTTTTGAGATAAATACTACATTTTTGCAAAGTATAAAAAAGCTGTATTATTTGTTTTAAAACTGGCATGCAGCCTGAAATAAAATAGTTATATTTCTGTAATTGCAGGTTGTGGTGATGGATATTTTAACTGTTCAGTGGATAACCTGTGTATACCTCAGGAGTATGTTTGTGATAGACAGTGGGCATGCTCTGATGGACAGGATGAACAAAACTGTGGTAAGATATTTTTACTGCTCCTTAGATAACCTGTGTATACCTCAGGAGTATGTTTGTGATAGACAGTGGGCATACTCTGATGGACAGGATGAACAAAACTGTGGTAAGATATTTTTACTGCTCTGTAGATAACCTGTGTATACCTCAGGAGTATGTTTGTGATAGTCAGTGGACATGCTCTGATGAGCAGGATAAACAAAACTGTGGTAAGATATTTTTACTGCTCCTTAGATAACCTTTGTATACCTTAGGAGTATGTTTGTGATAGACAGTTTGCATGCTCTGATGGGCAGGATGAACAAAACTGTGGTAAGTCAGGAGTGTGTGTGTGATAGACAGTGGGCATGCTCTGATGGGCAGGATGAACAAAACTGTGGTAAGTCAGGAGTATGTGTGTGATAGACAGTGGTCATGCTCTGATAGGCAGGATGAACAAAACTGGTAAGTCAGGAGTATGTGTGTGATAGACAGTGGGCATGCTCTGATGGGCAGGATGAACAAAACTGTGGTAAGTCAGGAGTATGTGTGTGATAGACAGTGGGCATGCTCTGATGGGCAGGATGAACAAAACTGTGGTAAAATATTTTTACTGCTCCGTAGATAACCTTTGTATACCTCAGGAGTATGTTTGTGATAGACAGTGGACATGCTCTGATGAGCAGGATGAACAAAACTGTGGTAAGATATTTTTACTGCTCCGTAGATAACCTGTGTATACCTCAGGAGTATGTTTGTGATAGACAGTGGGCATGCTCTGATGGGCAGGATGAACAAAATGTGGTAAGATATTTTTACTGCTCCGTGGATAACCTTTGTATATCTCAGGAGTATGTTTGTGATAGACAGTGGACATGCTCTGATAGGCAGGATGAACAAAACTGTGGTAAGATATTTTTACTGCTCCGTAGATAACCTGTGTATACCTCAGGAGTATGTTTGGGATAGACAGTGGACATGCTCTGATGAGCAGGATGAACAAAACTGTGTAAAGATATTTTTACTGCTCCGTAGATAACCTGTGTATACCTCAGGAGTATGTTTGTGATAGACAGTGGACATGCTCTGATGGGCAGGATGAATAAAACTGTGGTAAGATATTTTTACTGCTCCTTAGATAACCTTTGTATACCTCAGGAGTATGTATGTGATAGACAGTGGGCATGCTCTGATGGGCAGGATGAATAAAACTGTGGTAAGATATTTTTACTGCTCCTTAGATAACCTTTGTATACCTCAGGAGTATGTTTGTGATAGACAGTGGGCATGCTCTGATGGGCAGGATGAACAAAACTGTGGTAAGTCAGGAGGATGTGTGTGATAGACAGTGGGCATGCTCTGATGGGCAGGATGAACAAAACTGGTAAGTCAGGAGTATGTTTGTGATAGACAGTGGGCATGCTCTGATGGGCAGGATGAACAAAACTGTGGTAAGATAACACATTTGTAAGGGATATTTTAGTGGGGATAGATAAGCTTTGTATCCCTCAGGAGTATGTATGTTATAGACAGTGGGCATGCTCTGATAGGCAGGATGAACAAAACTGGTAAGATATTTTAACTACTCCATAGATAACCTTTGTATACCTCAGGAGTATGTATGTGATAGACAGTGGGCATGCTCTGATGGACAGGATGAACAAAACTGTGGTAAGTCAGGAGTATGTGTGTGATAGACAGTGGGCATGCTCTGATGGGCAGGATGAACAAAACTGTGGTAAGATAACACATTTGTAAGGAATATTTTACCAGGGAATGACAATTGGTTGTGAGATATAGGGGGTAAAAAAGGGTGTGTGTGAATTAAGGGTTAAAAAAAGTGGAAAGTGGGTGAAAATTACAAAAAAGCGGGATTTGGGAAATGAGCGTCCCTTATTTTAAGCTAGTGCCAATAAAAAGAAAAAAAAAGTTATTTTTATCGGTTTATTTATCAAGCCATATAGACAAAATATAAAGTCACTCAATTTTCAACATTTTTTTTATTTCTTTATTCAGATTTGTAAGATAAATACTTTGCACTGACATTTCTTTATAAAACTTGATTAACTGTTAAATTAAACTATAATGTTGTTTCTTATGAACATTTTTATGAACTTTTTTTTTACTTTGAGTTTAATGATTAATCATGACCTTACTTTTTTTATATCACAAATTAGTATATATAATTAGTAATATTTGATGAATATGTTACAAAAATCATAACACATTACAATATTTCTAATAATTATAGAAACTTTCATGATTTAAAAAAAAGAATTTATTTATTATTTTTTTTTAAATTGCTGATTTTATGAAATACGTTTGGAAAACATAACACTCTTTTGTCTAAATAGTTTATGACCAACAGGTGCTTTGATTTTTATACGTCTGCATAAAAAATTTTGGGGTCGTATATTGCTATCACATCATTGTCGTCATCGTCGGCCGAAGACATTTGGTTTCCGACAATAACTTTAGTTTTGGATCTCTATGAAATTTAATCAAAAGGTTCAATACCACAAAAGGAAGGTTGGGATTGTTTTGGGCCCAAAACAAACATTTTTCTAGTTTCAGGACAATAGCTTGTGTATAAGTATTTTGATTGCTCTGAAATTGTACCACAAGGTTTAATACCACAAGTAGAAGGTTGGGTTTCATTTTGGGGGTAATTGCCCAAACCGTTCAGGAATTAGGGGCCAAAAAGGGTCTAAAACAAGCATTTTTCTAGTTTTCAGACAATAACTTGTGTTTAAGTGTATTGATGTCTCTTAAATTGTACCATATTTTACAAAAATAACATTTCTTCTAATGTAATTTTTTTAGAAGGGGAGGGGAGGGGGGGTAAAAAATTATTTTTTTTTGAGAGGAGGGCAATTTTTTTTCCTCAAGATTTAAGATATTAAAAAGAAAATTTCTTCAAATATTTTTTTTTCAAAAAGGGGGTTGGGGGTCATAAAAAAAATCTCCAAAGACAAATTGGGGGTCACATTTTCAAGAAAGATTAAAATCCTTGATTCCAATTGAAACAATTAACGAGCAATCAACACCAAACTAATTTTATTCAAAACAACAAGTTCAATGGACTCCCATGCTGTCAACACATGGCCATTGTTGACAAAAAACAATAAGAAAAGTATAATAATTTTATTAACATTTTTTATTTTAATATGAAACAAACAAATATAATCAAAATGCCTTTCAACTTTCTCAACAATCTGAAAATAGAAATGAAACATGTTATGGAGTGAATTACAAAAACGTGTGGACATTTATGACTTTAAGGTCAGTAGAATGCATACTACGTTTTCATCATGGTGCGCTTTATATTCAGGTGCGTTTTATGTAAGGAAAAAAACACTTCTTCCCCCAAAAAAGGGCCGTGCGCCTTATTTAGGGGTGCGTTTTATTTTCCGGAAAATACGGTATATAATCTGAAAACAGATTTACTAAATATTGCGCAACAGCACAGTGTATTGCACAAAAGCAAGAAATCTTCAATTAGATATAAATTCAAATCATATAACCAATTTCAAGTTTTATGACTACATTTATTCTGTGACAGAAACCTGTAATGTGTTTTATATTTAATTACAATCTAAATTCAGACCTGTATCAAGCTTGAATATTGTGTCTATTTTTGCCCCAACTGTTCTGCAGTCATATCCAGCTGCGCTCGGTGAAGCAGTTTATTCTATTATGGTAACTTAAAATCATTTGATTTTTTTTTTTCAGACTACAGTATAAGTTGTAATTTTGATGAAGAACATTTATGTGAATACCACAGTGGTTCATGGAGAAATGGATCCAGTGCTATTGATCATGAGTTATACTTTGAGGATCATACTGTTCACAATTCTTCTCATAAAGGTAATGAATAATTTCTAAATATGAAAATAAGGAGATGTAGTATAATGATTGCCAATGATATTGTAGTATGATTGCCAATGAGACTACTCTCCACTGCCATTGTAATAAAAACAAATTGATACTGAAAAACACCAAAAAGAAAAAAAAATGAAAATACGTAGTTATGGGAAAATGACTACAAATAATCACATTATTAGAAAAGTTTGCTAATACATATCACAATTTCATCAACCACAGTTTCTGGTAAAATTGGCTTAATTGTGCAGAAATATGTTCAATTTTTCTTGTCAGGATTCTGAGACAAAAAAAAACATACTTGATTGAAATGCAGTATAACAACAATAACAAACGTTGTTAGGCATGATGTTTTATTTTATTTTAGGATCCTTTATGTACACTGGTGATTTGGATGGATTATATGAAGACAAAGAAATGACTTCTCCCTACCTCCAAACCAATACACCAATGTGTGTAGAATTTTTCTATATTGTTATCCGACCACATGAATATTCATCAGCAATTTTGACTGTTCATCAGAACACTTCTAACATGAACAATGAAGTGTTTTCATTGGTTGAATATCGGACAGATGTTAACCTTCAGTGGCAGAGAGGTGAATTCCCAGTAGCTGCCGGTGTGTTTAGTTTGAGGTTTACTGCTGGAGGTCATAGGTCAGTGGTAGCTATTGACGATGTTCTTTTGTATAATGGAAGTTGTGCAGGTTAGTAATACTTCGTATTAATCTTAGGATACATTAAGAGACCCCCCCCCCCCCCTTATACAGGCATCCACCCTAAGCCACGCAGCACCCGATGACATATGTAGATATCATAAGATGCAATGTAAAGGAGCATATATCAATGCCAGGACACAGCATTACTTCTTCTTTGCCTCCCTGCCAACACTTGATGTATCTTAAACTTATACATCAAGGTTGGATACACCACACCGGTAACCGGCATGGATACAGTGGCCAAGCAGAACATAAAGTAATGGTGAAATAATATATAAATGTAAACAAAGACAGGTTTGGGAAAAACTAACCACAGTTTATTAAGCATAGTTAAAATTTCAAATAAGGCAAGATATATACAATACATGTACAAATGTATATGCATGATAAACAAAATTTTAAAACATGAATAACTGAAACTGTAAGTCAAACTGTGGTTCTCCACAGTAATATAAAATCACAGCGGACAAAATTCTAAAACTACAATAATGCACATAGAGTCAAAACGCACAAAACTAGAAAATAAGGGAGTGGTGGGTGGGAAAAGAAATACGATTATGCTTGATCCATTTGACATACAACTTGCTTGCTGCTTGCAAATTTTTTGAATGTTGCGAGATGCTGGGATGCATACTGTGCAAGATAGATTTGATTGAATTTATTGGATTAGGTTAAACCGGGAAATTTGAAAAATCAAAGCTGATTGGTAGATAAATATATCCCAGACAAAGCAAGATTCAAATAGGACAATCCAATTGGCTGTTGTCCGTAACCATCCAAAACAATCGTGAAAAGGAGGTGCAGGGTTTTATAAAAAATAGCAATCAAATAATAAGAAACTAAAGAATGTACAAATGCTTCTACAATACATGTATCTATATTAATACTGGATTTTCAAAAAATACTTCCATTTTATATCAACATGAATCTAAGGAGAAGGTACATGTTTGGGCAGAATTGGACTAAAAACTAAATATACAGTCAAACCTGTTATAAAGTTCACTTGTATTTATATATTAAGGCATCTTAGATTTATTTGTATGATGAAGCTCCAAGCATGCTTGGAGGATGCTCGTAGATTTTTAAGTAGGCTCTTCTCAGCAATTTATGTAACAATCATTATCAGTGCTCCAGCTAGAAATTGAAAGGGGCAGGGTGCCAGTGGAGGGTAGGACACTTTTTTTAGGTTAGGAAAAGGCACTGCTCATTTCTTGTTGCCTATGTTTCTGTGTGTATCTTATACGACTGTCTGCTTGTTGCTCACAAGTTGAGATGGTCGGCTTTTCTGTGAAGGTATAGTTGTATTTTGATGACTTAATATCTAGATATATTCTAAAGTCATAAAAGTCTCCATTTATACACTCTTCCGCTGTGACTTGAAGATCAAAAATGCCGACCCAAGCCAAAAACACACGCTGACACATTCATCAAATTTAAATTCAATTATGATGTTGACAACAAGGTACATTGTCTTAATTACCTAGTTATTAATACCTTTGAAGTCTTATCTACTGTAATTGATTATAATGACATGATTAACCTCAGGGCAATCACCAGGTGTCATAAATGTAATTTAACTTTCTGATAAAAAATCGATGACACAAGAGGCAATTTTTATAGTACATTGCCAAAACGGCACAAGGGGGTTTCTGCAAAAGGTGTCAGGGCAGAAAGGTGCGGCTGAGGGCACCAAGGGCGCGGCGCCCTTCTATTTTGGGCTAACGAGACCACTGATTATGATGTTCCATTAAGAACAGCTGGATGCCTAAGTGAAAACCTGACATGTCAGGTCAATCTCTTCTTTTCCGCTGGAGTAATACCTCTGCATTTTGAACCTCAATTAAGATTATAAATCTCTTATAAGGTCAGTTATCTCTTGTCCCAATATTGACCTTTATATACAGGTTTGACTATATCACAACTCGTTCTGAACTTGCATGAAATATTTGCCACTGGACATTAAGCGACCAAAAATCAATCAATCCTTGAGTCAAATAATACCAAATTTTTAAATTTTAACTTGCTGTCATTTTATTGTAGTTTAATAGCAAATAGATAAATATAAAGATAGTTTGAAATGAATTTTGTATCCTCCATATTTGGCCCCAGATGATATCTTCTCCTTTCTAAGTACATGTAGTACAGTATATTTTAATCAAGTCATTTCTGGTTTTGTTCTGCACATATTTGTAGAGCCAGGTGAACATTTTTATCATGGAATCGAGTCGTAGCAATCCTACATTACGTTGGCGGTGGCATCAACATTTAGGTTCAGTCTGTGGTTTAAGTTTTTTATGACCTATCCAGCACAAATTTTTAAAATATTTTTTTCATTTTTCCTTTGTTTACTGATAGATTTTTGGACTTTGCTTTTTTGACAGTTTAAAGTTTTCTGTCATCAATAATTTTTGTCAACCCTACATGAAATTTTACGTTAATTGTACAGAAGCATTTTTATGATCAAAAGAAGATATGCAGAGCAAAATAATGAAAATATTTCTTTTTTTGGCGTATTTTAATGATAAAATTTTTTAGAATTTTTTCAGTTAATGTTTACAGTTTGCTGTTAAAGTTCATCAGACATCAATTACATTGTCAAATCTTCATAGAGATAATTTCTGAAGCAAAATGTTTAAAATTTGGGGTTTTTTTTTTCCTTTTACGTTGTTTTACTGTTAGATGGATTTATTTTTTTGCATTTAACATTTACTGACAGTCAGGGATAGATTTTTTTCACATGATAAATTTGTAAACCTTTATGGATTGTTATGAAACTTGGACAGAAGCTAACCTTGAAGATCAAGAAAAAAGTCTGATTTTTTTTTAATTCTTTGTTTTTCTGATAAAAAGACCATAGTTTTACAGTCACACTTTTAAACTGTCAGACAGCAGCAATGGCAGGAGAAAGACCAGCTTCCCCAAAACCCTTAAAGAAATTTTGATAATTATATATTTGTTTTTTTAATCTGGTCTAAGTGTCTACATTTTTTTTAAATTTTACCATGGTTATTGATGAGTTGCATTATTTCATTTATAGAAAAAATTACATGCCAATCAGATTTGCTTTGATCAATTTGTTTTTAAATTTACGAGATTTTTATGAATGGTTGTGTAGTTGTATGTAAACTTTTTTTATTCAACTTCTAATTTATAGAGATTGAGTACTGGTTTGCTTGAAAGTTTATTAAACAAAATCTTGTTTATGCTTTGACATAGAAGAAAGAAATAATTTTCATTGTTTTAAATGCAGAATCCGAAAATGGACCAACTGAATCAGAAGATGGACCAACAACAGAATTTGGAACAACAGCTTCAATGCCCAAATCACCATTTAATGGTAGGTGACATACAATTGTAATTTATATTCTCATTCTTTCTTCAACAGAACATAAAGTATTTGATCTTTAAACCACAAGGCTAGTACATAAAAGCAGAAACACCATATCATCATGGGATCAGCTTGCCAGGTGTGCAGCTAACTGTATTAAGTTTATTAAACACCATAAAGAGTGCCATGTTGAAATATCTACGAAGACAAAATTAAAACATTAAAGTCATATGAAACAAGTGACTGGTGAAAAATAATGTTAATCCAATTCTTAAACCAATGCATGCATATATTATAAACTTAGTTTTCTGTTTAAGATTTTATCATTTTTTACGCATCCATATCGTATAATCGTCAGAAAAATATTTAAATCATTGTTGATGTGAAAATATGGCAGCTAATTAATTGTTGTGTTTCAAAGCCGAAGTTTAACGATTGTCACCTTTGTAAACAATCAACAAAAAAGCATGGATATTGTGGTAAGCACATGTTTAACATGTAAAATAAAATATATTTTATTTTGATGACGGAGCGATGTTAACGTTTGTTGACTCTCTCTGCCATGATGGTTTTCCCCTTTGCACATGCGTATTGTGATCACCAGATTTTTACAAGAAAGGTCACGCTGAGGTCAGTGCATAAGGAAAACATGTTGGGGAATTATTGTCTGGGAAGCCAATAATTAAAAAAATTTGGACAAATTTTCTTCAGAAAAAAGTATATGTACATAAGTTTTATAATAAAAACTAGCCATTTAGTTATAAATAACAAATACATCTTTTTTTTTTTTTTTATTTGAAGTTTCATATGACTTTAAGTATTCAAATAAATGAATATAAAAAATGTATTCTCCATGATACAAATAATTTTAAAAATTCCGATGTGAGAGTAGGTTAGCTGAACTGAAATCATGATCATAAAGTGTACTTATAGATTAACAAAGAAATCTATTAATTCCCACTATTGAAATTTGTGCAACATAAATTGCAACTTTTAACTCAGAATTAAACATAAGTTAAAGGTCCAATATTGACTAATGGTAAATGTTTATAAAAATAAATAAACAAATACATTTGGATGTACACATGATAGAAGTAACATAAGCATGTGTATTAGATAACAGGATAAATACATAAAAGTGGGTCTCATTGAAGTCTAAGCGTGATTGGGTGATTTTTTGTAAGCGTGACACATGAAAGTCAAATTATTTTGCATGAAAACAGGAAACGAAGTCGAGCGGGACACGTTGAATTACAAGCGCTATTATTTCAATGATAAACGGGATACGAGATTCTGACAAAACAATAAGCGGGATCCAGGATCAGACCCCCCCAATGAGACCACCATAAAAACCTTTTGTTGACATAAAAATCAAGCAATCAAACTTAGTGAAATACAAAAATATACTTTTAATGCAATAATTTATTGCCTGATTTTTTTGCCTTAGACAGTGTTAAAATGGGTCAAACATTAAATATAGGCATGCGTGCAGGATTTGTGAAAACCATAAAATCAAATGTCAATGATAATATACTTTTTTCAGAAACTTCTGCATGCATCTAGATATAATTGTTGAACAATTGCCAAAAGAGGCAAGATAAACTATTGTAACTTCAGGAAATGTTGCCAACAAATAATGCCATCAAATTTTAAATGCATGTATTAATTTATGTGAAACCTATCCTGTTGCAATTTTCACAACAATAGAAAATTTGCAAACATTTCTGAATTTACAGTAAAACCTTAAACTTTCTTATATCTTTCAGATGGATGTCTCAACCATAACACATACACATGTTCTAGTGGATTTACAGTAAAACCTTATACTGACTTATATCTTTCAGATGGATGTCTCAACCATAACACATACATATGTTCTAGTGAATTTAAAGTAAAACTTTATACTGACTTATATCTTTCAGATGAATGTCTCAACCATAACACATACATATGTTCTAATGAATTTAAAGTAAAACTTTATACTGACTTATATCTTTCAGATGAATGTCTCAACCATAACACATACATATGTTCTAGTGAATTTACAGTAAAACTTTATACTGACATATCTTTCAGATAGATGTCTTAACCATAACACATACATATGTTCTAGTGAATTTACAATAAAACCTTAAACTTTCTTATATCTTTCAGATGGATGTCTCAACCATAACACATACCTATGTTCTAGTGGATTTACAGTAAAACTTTATACTGACTTATATCTTTCAGATAGATGTCTTAACCATAACACATACATATGTTCTAGTGAATTTACAATAAAACCTTAAACTTTCTTATATCTTTCAGATGAATGTCTCAACCATAACACATACATATGTTCTAGTGAATTTACAGTAAAACCTTACACTGACTTGTATCTGTCAGATGGATATCTGAACCATAACACTTACATATATGTTCTAGTGAATTTACAGTAAAACCTTATACTGACTTATATCTTTCAGATGGATATCTTAACCAAAACACTATCATATGTTCTAGTGAATTTACAGTAAAACTTAAACTGACTTATATCTTTCAGATGGATGTCTCAACCATAACACATACATATGTTCTAGTGAATTTGGAATGAACTTTACATCATACCCAAATGTTTTTGGTCAGAAGGATCACAACGAAGCATTAAATCAATGGTACACCTGGGCAACATCCCCGTCAGATTCCTGTAGTATGTTGTTCTCGCACACAATGTGTGCTTTATTATTTCCAACCTGTCAGAACGGTACCACTCAAAAGATATGTCGACAAAGTTGTCTAGGTATGTCAATTAAAATAAAACAAGAGTTCCAATGTCCCCTGCGTTGCACATATTTTATATTTCCAAGGGGCATAACTCTTTTAAAAAAAGTTGATCACCCATCATTATAGAATTTGTCAGATATATTGCTGATATTAACCTATAGTATAAGTTTTATAAAAATCTGGCAAGAATTGTACCTGTGAGAGCACTAACAAGACCAGACAGACAGACAGACGGACGGTCACAAGGACGGACACATGGACAGACACACGGATGGAAGCCTGGTATTTCCATGTCCCCCGCAAAGCTTTAAGAGGGGGACAATTAACAAATGTAACAACCAATATCCTCCATGTGTTAACCAGCAAACTTACACATGAGGATCTGGATGGGGATACAGAATAGAGAATAATGAGCAAAAAGTGCAGAATAGATAGTTAAAAATAAAGAATAGAGTAAAATAGCAAAAATATTAAAGAAAAGAGAATAATGGGCAAAATAGATAAATATTAATAGAGAAAAATAATCTAAAAAATTTAAGAATAAAGAAAATGAAGGAGCTCTAATCTAGACCCTCATACAAGGATTGTATATTTATATACTTTTTTAAATTTTGATTTTAACAAATATTTTGGCCTTGGGCATCACTGAAGAGTCATTAATTGTGGAATCCGGTGCAGTTTAATGCAATTTCAACCACTGGGTCAATATCTCTGCTCATGAAATGTAAATCCTCTAAGAATTATCACTGCAATCCAGTAGCTCAGTAATTGGGTAAAACCTGAAAATACAGATATTGCCGATTCGAAATTTAACTGAAGAGACAATAAAATACCAAAAACAATTAAAATGAATTACTTACAATACAGACGTGTTTACTCTTGTATGCAAATTTGTCTGCCATTACATAAAACCATGCAAGTCCCTACAAATTATTGCATCACAATTCAAAACATTTCTCAACACATGCAGTATTGGTGTTTTTATGCCACCACCATAGGTGATGAGGGCATTAAGTGTTACCCTGACCATCTGTCTTTCCCTCCATCCGTCCGTCCCATTTTCGTTTGTTTGAAGCTTAAGCGGGGGCATTTGTGTCCTCAGACACATTCTTCTTTTATTTTTTATCTGTTTTTAAATGAATGTTTTATTGAATATATTTTTAGATGCCTTCCACATCTTACATGTTGGAGAGTGTAGTCACTACAAGATATCGGACAATTACAATCTGGTTTACTACTGTAACTTGTTACGTGACGATGATGATTGTATAAAGTTACCAGGTTTGTTCTCCGTTTATGATATAGATATACTGTGGATTTATTTTCGTCAGTACCAATTTTCTTAGATTGAGGAAAACTTGCATTTTTATGGATATTTGATTTCATGGTTTTGACTAAGTCTGCATACACATAAATAGATGATTTGTAATTCGTTGAACATTCCAATTCATGGTTTTCTAGTATCCATGACAATCAGTATCCAATGAAAAATAATGAATCCACAGTAGTGGAACTTGCTATGAAGGTCACCTCTAATAAGAAAAATGTGTCGTGTAAGGTCAGTCTCTTCTTGTCCTGCTGTAGTAATACTTATGCATATTTACCCTCAATTAAAAGGTCATCTGGCTTTGATATAAGGTCAGCTTTCATTGATCCCAAGGATGACCTTTACATATAGGTTTGACTGTAAATGATACAATTTTAGACTATTTTTTTTTTAATGTCCTTCATCAAAGTTCGATAAATGAGATTGGAAAAACCTAAATCTCACTTATACCAATCATGATTTTTCAAAACTTTTTCAAAAAGATTTTGTTTTCAATAATTTATTTGTTTCAAATGGACAACAAGAGAGGCGAAAGATACCAAAGGGACATTCAAACTCATAAGTCGAAAATAAACTGACAACGCCATGGCTAAAAAAACAACAATACACAAAACAAAACATAGAAAACCAACAACTGAGCAACACAAACCCATCCAAAAACTGGGGGTGATCTCAGGCGCTCCAGAAAGGGTAACCAGATCCTGCTCCACATGTCTAAACAACTAAACTTTTAATTTTAGAATTATTTCTTACATAGTTAATTGCTGCCAGTAATTTCTGTTTTTTAGCTCACCTGGCCCGAAGGGCCAAGTGAGCTTTTCTCATCACTTGGCGTCCGTCGTCCGTCGTCCGGCATCGTCCGTCGTCGTCCGTCGTCGGCGTTAACTTTTTACATTTTGAACTTCTTCTAGAGAACCACTGAATGGAATGAAACCAAACATGGCATGCATGTTCCTTATGAGGTGCTGACCAAGTGTTGTTACTTTGTAGCCGATCCATCATCCAAGATGGCCGCCAGCGGGGGACTTAGTTTAACATAGGACCCTATGGGAAATACATAAAAATGTCTTCTTTTAGAGAACCACTGAATGGAATGGAACCAAACATGGCATGAATGTTCCTTATGAGATGCTGACCAAGTGTTGTTACTTTGCAGTCGGTCCATCATCCAAGATGGCCGCCAGCGGGGGACTTAGTTTAACATAGGACCCTATGGGAAATACATACAAATGTCTTCTTTTAGAGAACCACTGAATGGAATGGAACCAAACATGGCATGAATGTTCCTTATGAGGTGCTGACCAAGTGTTGTTACTTTGTAGCCGATCCATCATCCAAGATGGCCGCCAGCGGGGGACTTAGTTTAACATAGGACCCTATGGGAAATACATAAAAATGTCTTCTTTTAGAGAACCACTGAATGGAATGGAACCAAACATGGCATGAATGTTCCTTATGAGGTGCTGACCAAGTGTTGTTACTTTGCAGTCGATCCATCGTCCAAGATGGCCGCCAGCGGGGGACTTAGTTTAACATAGGACCCTATGGGAAAAACATACAAATGTCTTCTTTTAGAGAACCACTGAATGGAATGAAACCAAACATGGCATGAATGTTCCTTATGAGGTTCTGACCAAGTGTTGTTACTTTGTAGCCGATCCATCATCCAAGATGGCCGCCAGCGGGGGACTTAGTTTAACATAGGACCCTAAGGGAAATACATACAAATGTCTTCTTTTAGAGAACCACTGAATGGAATGAAACCAAACATGGCATGAATGTTCCTTATGAGATGCTGACCAAGTGTTGTTACTTTGTAGCCGATCCATCATCCAAGATGGCCTCCAGCGGGGGACTTAGTTAAACATAGGACCGTATGGGAAATACATAAAAATGACTTCTTTTAGAGAACGAATAAATGGAATGGAACCAAACATTGCATGAATGTTCCTTATGAGATGTTGACCGAGTGTTGTTACTTTGCAGTCGGTCCATCATCCAAGATGGCCGCCAGCGGGGGACTTAGTTTAACATAGGACCCTATAGGAAATACATACAAATGTCTTCTTTTAGAGAACCACTGAATGGAATGAAACAAAACATGGCATGAATGTTCCTTATAAGGTGCTGACCAAGTGTTGTTACTTTGCAGCCGATCCATCATCCAAGATGGCTGCCAGTGGGTGACTTAGTTTAACATAGGACCCTACGGGAAATACATACAAAATGTCTTCTTTTAGAGAACCTCTGAATGGAATGGAACCAAACATGGCATGAATGTTCCTTATGAGGTGTTGACCAAGTGTTGTTTCTTTGCAGCCGATCCATCATCCAAGATGGCCGCCAGCGGGGGACTTAGTTTAACATAGGACCCAATGGGAAATACATACAAATGTCTTCTTTTAGAGAACCACTGAATGGAATGAAACCAAACATGGCATGAATGTTCCTTATGAGGTGCTGACCAAGTGTTGTTACTTTGCAGTCAGTCCATCATCCAAGATGGCCGACAGCGGGGGACTTAGTTTAACATAGGACCCTATGGGAAATACATACAATTGTCCTCTTTTAGAGAACCAGTGAATGGAATGGAACCAAACATGGCATGAATGTTCCTTATGAGGTGCTGACCAAGTGTTGTTACTTTGCAGTCGATCCATCGTCCAAGATGGCAGCTAGGGGGGTGGGGGGTGGGGGTGGCTTAGTTTAACATAGGACCCTATGGGAAATACATACAAATGTCTTCTTTTAGAGTACCACTGAATGGAATGAAACCAAACATGGCATGAATGTTCCTTATGAAGTGCTGACCAAGTGTGGCTACTTTGTTGCCGATTTACTGTTCAAGATGGCCACCAGGATATTTTATTAAATAACGGGACCAATATTAATCCAAATTTGGCCTCAATCATTATTTGGGTATCTGTTATGATTTTTATCTATCTTTACATGATTTCTAAAACCAAAGTAGAGTCAGGTGAGCGACACAGGCTTTTGAGAGCCTCTAGTTTTTTTTCTCTATGAGCAAAATCATCTCTGACACTTTTGATGGATAAACTGTAAAAGGGTTTTTGATCTGTTTCCTTAGATTAAAGGATGTTCGCTCCTCGGTTTAAAAATAACAATTTTTTTAAAAAACTGATATAAATTGATAGTATATATAAAAAACTGAACTTAATAAGCAGAAACAAATGACAGGTCTTTGTCCTTGTTTTTGAGATATAATCAATTGAAAAGTTGGTAGGAAATGAATCTCTCTAGATTTTTCATATATTTAACATTGGCACCTTTTTTCTTTCAAAAACGATGAAAAAATAACCAGGATTTTATATGATTTCAAAAACGGCTTTTTAAACTATATGTAATAAAATTATGGAAAAAAAGTAAGGTTAGGTTGCAAAATTTTTATTGGCACTACATTGATAAAACTAGAAGGTTCCGAATATCTGACAAAAATGAAAAACAGGAGTAGCAAATATCCTTATAAAGGGAGAAGTTGTATGATTGCCAATATGACATCTACCCATAAAGCTCAAAGAACAAAGATGTGAAGAATCACTGCGTGAAGAATAACACATAACTGGGCAGCCTTCAATAAAATGAGCAAAACTCATGTCATACAGTAACAAAACTAAATAATAAAAGGCCCCAAAAAAAAACTAATTAATAAAAGACCCAGGGGTCTTGACCATAAATTTTTTCTCAGGAAAAATGTGTGCTTAAAACACCAAATCCAGTACTTTGATTGGTTGATTTCTGAGGCTGAGATCCATAATCATACTCAACATTTATATGAAAGCAAGGCCTGGTATGATAGTTTGGGTTTTATGTTGTGTTTTCTATATGTGATTTTAAGTATTCTCCATATTTTTTTAAAATGCAAAATCATAATTATTTAAAGAAATTATCTAGTTGTAAAATGTTAAGAGTAAATTTTTATTACAATATTAATGCAGAAATTGAATTCTGGAATTTCAGACTATGTAGGAAATAGTAGTACAATAACGACTCAATTCACAAGTAATTCAACTGGTACAACCCCTAGAACTACTGCCTTTGGAACAAGTAAGTATTGACATATTTATATGATTATGATCTTCTGTTTGGGGATTACATGTATGTTTAAGGAAATATAACAAAATTAACGCTCAGTGAAATGTAAGCATCTAACCAAAGAGTTTAGTTTGGACAGGTTAAATTTCAATATCTTACCAAGGTTTCAGTTAAGACTGATTAAATTATCTAGCCAAGAGGTTCATTTAAGAAAAGTTAAATTCCAATAGTTTTAGTTAAGACTGGTTAAATTCCAATATATAACCAAGAGTTTTAGTTAATATTGGTTAAATTCCAATATCTAACCAAGAGTTTCAGTTAAGACTGGTTAAATTCCAGTATCTAATCAAGACTTTTAGTTAAGACTGGTTAAATTCCAGTATCTAATCAAAAGTTTTAGTTAAGACTGGTTAAATTCCAGTCTCTAACCAATAGTTTTAGTTAAGACTGGTTAAATTCCAGTATCTAATCAAAAGTTTTAGTTAAGACTGGTTTAATTCCAATATCTAGCCAATAGTTTTAGTTAAGACTGGTTAAATTCCAGTATCTAATCAAGAGTTTTAGTTAAGACTGGTTAAATTCCAATATCTAACCAAGAGTTTTAGTTAAGACTGGTTAAATTCCAGTATCTAATCAAGAGTTTTAGTTAAGACTGATTAAATTCCAATATCTAGCCAATAGTTTTAGTTAAGACTGGTTAAATTCCAGTATCTAATCAAGAGTTTTAGTTAAGACTGGTTAAATTCCAATATCTAACCAAGAGTTTTAGTTAAGACTGGTTAAATTCCAGTATCTAATCAAGAGTTTTAGTTAAGACTGATTAAAATTCCAATATCTAGCCAATAGTTTTAGTTAAGACTGGTTAAATTCCAGTATCTTATCAAGAGTTTTAGTTAAGACTGGTTAAATTCCAAAATCTAACCAAGAGTTTAAGTTAAGACAGGTTAAATTCCAGTATCAAATCAAGAGTTTTAGTTAAGACTGGTTAAATTCCAATATCTAGCCAAGAGTTTAAGTTAAGACTTGTTAAATTCCAATATCTAACCATGAGTTTTAGTTGAGACTGGTTAAATTCAAGTATCTAATCAAGGGGTTCAGTTAAGACAAGTTATATTCCAATATCTAACCAAAGGCTTCAGTTAAGACAAGTTGTATATTCCAATATATAACTCAACGCTTCAGTTATGACAAGTTATATTCCAATATTCATTCAAGGGGTTCAATTGATAAAGGTTAAAATTCAGTATCTAACCAAGGGTCTAGTTACTAGTAAGACAGATTAAATTCCATTCTCTAATCAAGGAGTGCAGTTTAAACAGGTAAAATTCTAGTATCTAACTGAAGGCTTCAGTTGGACAGGTTAAATTCCAATATCTAACTAAGTGCTTCAGTTAAGACTAGTTAAATTCCAATATCTAACTAAGTGCTTCAGTTAAGACTAGCTAAATTCCAATATCTAAGTAAGTGCTTCAGTTAAGACTAGCTAAATTCCAATATCTAAGTAAGTGCTTCAGTTAAGACCAGCTAAATTCCAATAGGAGATACCAGTTGTCATGTATTCTATGGGTTTATATAAGTTAAGACAGGTTAAATTTTGGCATCTTACCAAGAGTTTCAGTAAAGGCCAGTTAAATTCCAGTATCAATCCAAGAGGGTGGTATAGGTTTTTTTGTGCAATGTGATCGCCATTTTTTTGTCACATTTAACATGATTTTACTTCTTTTATTTGACGTTCAGTTGTGCAAGACAGGTGCCTTGTTCAAAGTTGTCTGCTTATTTAATTTTACATGCATCATGAATTTCAGAATACTTATTTTCCGTGCTCGGTATTTTTCAAATAAAATTCAAACACTTGGCAGGTATCGTCAAGAAAAAATTGATTCAATTTTGTTTTTGAAAAAGTGAAAAGGCCTTTGATGTTGTGTATTCTTGTTAATAAAGACAATGGAATAGATCAAGAATACACTTTCGTGTCTGCAGGATATTTGCATTTTAAAAGTTAAGAAGATCGTTATATACTTTTTTAAAAGCTGTAAACCATTTATATCATAAATATATATACTTAATCGGGAATATCTAGTAAAACAGAGAGTTTATATATACAGGATGACAGTGAATCAGTCACAAAAGAATCGCATCAAAGTCTTTATTTTTCGTGCACAGTTATGACAGAAATTATTTCACGTTCAATGTGAAATTATGTCTTATTTCTTGTTTTTTCCATGCAAGCATCCCCCTTTACCACCCTCATCCAAGAGGTTCAGTTTAGACAGGCATCTAACTTAAAACTTAACTTCGAACAAGTTTCACTGAACTTAAAAAAAATTAGGTGTCGTCACAAATCTGATTGTTTACATATTTATTTAAAGAAAATATAGATGACAATTGACCTAATTTTGACATCAATGGTGTAGTTCATTAAGGTTAGTAATTCTGATGAAGTACATTTGTGTCATAATGTGATCTGGCTTGTACTGATTGTTTCTCAATTTTAAATCATGTAAAATTGTAGGAACAATTTGTTTCAAAACGTTAAAGAAACATATCTTGCTGATGTCATATAAAACAGTGACGAAAACATGGTAACCTCTATTTATTTTGCCCAACTTGTAGTGTTGGATTGCTGTCTCATTGATGTCTATCCCTCATTTGTTCACACTTTTATCTTTATCATGTAATAAATACTTATATTGTTTATTATACCCCCGCTTTAAAAAAGGTGGGGTATACTGTATTTACCTCTGTCTGTCCTTCCGTCCATCCTTCAGTCTGTCCATCCATCCCATGAATATTTTTCAAGTAATTATTATGGTTTAAATATTCCAAATGCATATTTGGGGGTGGGGGTATCATCAGTGAGCAGTAGCTCGCAGTTCCACTTGTTAATTAATCTTTGATATAACATAACACTGTATTGATAGAATAAAATACCTTAAAGAACATTCTTATTTTTTCAAAGACAAAATATCATATGGTATACCCTGATTCTAATTTTGTTTGTTTTTTAAAGTGACGATATCCCATATGGATATCATACCGACAACAAATACAACTTCTGATATTCAAGGGATCATGGAAATTGTTTTCAACCGACAGTTTGGTTATGTGCACTGTTATGAGACAACATACTGTCCTTCTCTAGTCTGTCAGTATCTAGGATATTTGTAAGTAGAATTTTCGCTAGTCTGTCAGTATCTAAAATATTAATAAGTGAAATTTTCACTAGTCTGTCAGTATCTAGGATATTCCTAAGTGCAACTTTCTCTAGTCTGTCAGTATCTAGGATATTTGTAAGTAGAATTTTCGCTAGTCTGTCAGTATCTAGAATATCTGAAGTGCAACTTTCTCTAGTCTGTCAGTATCTAGGATATTCCTAAGTCAATCCAATTTTCTCTAGTATGTCAGTATCTAGAATATTTGTAAGTGCAATTTTCTCCAGTCTGTCAGTATCTTGGATATTCGTAAGTGCAACTTTCTCTAGTCTGTCAGTATCTAAAATATTAATAAGTGAAATTTCTCTTGTCTGTCAGTATCTAGAATATTCATAAGTGCAATTTTCTCTAGTCTTTCAGTATCTAGGATATTTATAAGTGAAATTTTCTCTTGTCTGTCAGTATCTAAAATATCAATAAGTGAAATTTTCTCTTGTCTGTCAGTATCTAGAATATTCGTAACTGCAATTTTCTCTAGTCTGTCAGTATCTAGAATATTTACAAGTGAAATTTTCTCTAGTCTGTCAGTATCTAAGATATTCATTAATGCATTTTTTTCTAGTATGTCAGTATATAGGATATTCATAGGTGCAATTTTCTCATATCTTTCAGTATCTAGGATATCTGAAGTGCAATTTTTTCTAGTCTATCAGTATCTAGGATATTTATAAGTGCAATTTACTCTAGTCAGTCAGTATCTAGGATATTCATAAGTGCAGTTTTCTCTAGTCTGTCTTTATCATGGATATTTGTAAGGACAATTTACTCTGCTCTGTCAGTATCTAGGATATTTGTAAGTGCAGTTTTACCTTATATGTCAGTATCTAGGAAATTTGTTAGTGCAGTTTTCTCTAGACTGTCAATATCTATGATATTTGTAAGTGCATTTTTTTCTAGTCTGTCTGTATCTAGGATATTCATTAGTGCAATTTTCTCTAATCTGTCAGTATATAGGATATTCGTAAGTGCAATTCTCTAGTCTGTCAGTATCTAGGATATTCATAAGTTGATCCAATTTTCTTTAGTCTGTCAATATCTAGGATATTAGTAAGTGATGTTTTCTATTCTGTCAGTATCTAGGATATTCGTAGGTGCAATTTTCTCTTATCTGTCAGTATCTAGGATATTTGAAGGTGCAATTTTCTCTAGTCTGTCAGTATCTAGGATATTTGTAGGTGCAATTTCTTCTAGTCTGTCAGTATCTAGGATATTCGTAAATGTAATTTACTGTAGTCTGTCAGTAACAAGAATATGCATAATTGCTGTTTTCTCTAGTCTGTCAGTATTTTGGATATTTGTAAGGGCAATTTACTCTTGTCTGTCAGTATCTAGGATATTTGTAAAATGCAATTTTCTCTAGTCTGTCAGTATCTAAAATATTAATAAGTGCAATTTTCTCTAGTCTGTCAGTATCTAGAATATTTATAAGTGAAATTTTCTCTAGCCTGTTAGTATCTAGGATATTAATAGATGCAATTTTTTCTAGTCTGTCAGTATCTAGGATATTCATAGGTGCAATTTTCTCATATCTGTCAGTATCTAGAATATCTGAAGTGCAATTTTCTGTAGTCTATCAGTATCTAGGATATTTGTAAGTGCAGTTTTACCTTATATGTCAGTATCTAGGAAATTTATTAGTGCAGTTTTCTCTAGTCTGTCAGTATCTATGATATTTGTAAGTGCAATTTTTTCCAGTGTGTCAGTATCTAGGATATTCATAAGTGCAATTTTCTCTAATCTGTCAGTATGTAGGATATTCATAAGTGCAATTATCTAGTCTGTCAGTATCTAGGATATTCATAAGTCGATCCAATTTTCTCTAGTCTGTCAATATCTAGGATATTAGTAAGTGATTTTTTTTTCTATTCTGTCAGTATTTAGGATATATGCAGGTGCAATTTTCTCTTGTCTGTCAGTATCTAGGATATTTGTAGGAGCAATTTCTTCTAATCTGTCAGTATCTAGGATATTGGTAAGTGTAATTTACTGTAGTCTGTCAGTATTTAGGATATGCATAATTGCAGTTTTCTCTAGTCTGTCAGTATTTTGGATATTTGTAAGGGCAATTTACTCTAGTCTGTTAGTATTTATGATATTTACAAGTGCAAATTTCTCTAATAGGTCAGTATCGAGGAAATTTTTAAGTGCAATTTTCTCAAATCTGTCAGTAACCAGGATATTCATAAGTGCAGTTTTCTCTAATCTGTCAGTATCTAGGATATTTGTTAGTGCAATTTTTTTTAAGCTGTCAGTATCTAGGATGTTGGTAAGTGCAATTTTCTCTAGTCTTTCAGTATTTAGGATATTCATGAGTGCAGTTTTCTCTAGTCAGTTGGTATCTAGGATATTCATAAGTGCAATTTTACTCCAGTCTGTTAGTATCTAGGATATTCGTTAGTCCAATTTACTTTAGTCTGTCAGTATCTAGGATACTTCGTATATACAATTATCCAATATCATTTAATGACTTTATATCTAACAATGATTTTTGCTTCAATTGTTTAGGAGAGATTCACTCTTGGCCACATGCCAACCAGCCCAGTCTTGTAAAATTGCTATCTGGCCTATAAGAATTTAACTACAGGCTATCATATTATAATCTACTGTGAAAGTACTTTTATTTGTGGCTATTAATTTTCGTGGTTTGAGCAAAAGTTGCATATTCGTTGGATCTTAAATTCTTGGATTTTAGTTTTCTGAGACAAAAATCGATTGAAGAATTTGATGCCATCAGAAACAAAGATTCTTGAAAATAATCATATGTTCTTTTATAATGTCGTTTGATAAGACATGCAAAATAAGGTGTTTATTTTCACTTTCTTTTTCGTCTTTCATTACTGACAACATTCATCAACATTTTAATAAGTAATTGCTTTTGGAAATAAGTTGGTTCGTCTATTCTAACAAATTGTCTCGTTTGAAGGAAAAACAAAGTAAACATTTTAATTGCTACACACATATAATCAGAAGTGATGACTCTAATTAAGCCAAGATTGAATGATGAACTGATAAGCCATCATCAAAGGTGTTAATTGGGTAATAAACATGTCACTTAAAGAAAAGGATAACATAAAAAAAGCTACAAATGTACTTTGAATTATAGAATTAATTCTTATGAAATAAAAAAGCAAGCCTAACATGAAATTTGTTTTTTACATATGAGAATTATGAGGAGATAGAATTGAATTTGTGGATAAAGCCATCCATGAAAAAACCAGGAAACTGGTAACCCATGAATAAAAGAACTTGCACAGTATATAAATTTTTTTTAAATTTCAGTGTTGGTCCTGTGGCTGCAAAAAAAACGGGGTTAAGATTTCATTAGTACCCGGGAAAGCCTTATTTTATTCTTATTTAGTCCCCTACCGACAAAGTTGAAGGGGACTTTAGGTTTGCACTCCGTCCGTCTATCTGTCTGTCCATCCGTCAGTCCGGCAAATCAGTTTTCTGCACTTTTTTCTTCGTGCTTGAAGATATAGTCATTTGATCTTTGGTATATTGTTTTATCATGACAAGTTACAGATCAAGTTAGAATTTTGTTCCGGTCTGATAATTTTGTGCAGAATTATGGTCCTTGGACTAAGAAAATTTACTCAAATATTCAGTTTTGCACACTTTTTTTCGTCATGCTTGAAGATATTGATTTAATAATTGATACATTGTTTTATCATGACAAGTTACAGATCAAGTTGGAATTTTGTTCTGATCTGATGATTTTGTGCGGACTTAGAAAATTCACTCAAATAATCAGTTTTCCACACTTCTTTTCGTCATGACTGAAGATATTTACACCACAACAAGTTATAGATCAAGTTAGCATTTTGTTCCATTACAATTATTTTTTAACCAGTAGGGGACTATGTATTGACATGCAATAATCTCAGAATGCTTGTTGATCAGTAACCTTGGACTTGTTACTCTATGAGATAATTTTGTTACAGGAGACCATGGATTTGCTCCACTTGTGGTAGTCCCCATCCTGTTACCTTTTCTTCCTTAAGGCAAATTAAATTAATTGTTAGATTTTCTTTTCTGCCAGTCATGTTATAATTTAAGAATAGGAATATTTGTATGAAACGAAATTATCATCACAGTTACCAGTAATCGAAACTCACAAATGCAGAAATTGTAATTTTTAAAATTAAAAAAATTGAGGCAGGACGATATCAGAGGGGCGGGATTGCAAGATTAAGTTATTTTTCTATTTTTAGGGCTGGATCACACACAGGAAGTTATTATGAACCCTATATGCCATATCAGATTGTACAATGTTCATCATGGAAAAAGCATCTGTCTGACTGTACCATTTATCCAGCCTTGCAATATTATTTAACTGAAATAAAATGTGGTAAGTGCTATACATTGTGTTCTAAATTATTTTAAAGAAAATGGTGTATAAAGGATAATTAGATTACTGAATCATCTATCACTAAATGATGTTCAAGTTCATTTTTGGAATAAGTTTCTCAATCTGAGGATATGTCTCCCCAAGGAAATGAAACTAACAGAATATTGTGTCTTACAACCTGATTTGAACACCAAATTTCTAAAAAAATCTAACTGTAATAAAGATCATGTGACCATTATCTCATTGAAATATATAATGGGTTTTACTCATTGTTGAAGTCCCTACAGTGACCTATAGTTGTTGACTTCTATGTCATTTGGTCTCTGGTGGAGAGTTGTCTCATTGGCAATTATACTTCTTTTTTTATATGTGTCCATTATCTAATTGTAATACATCGATCATGTGTCCACAATCTTATTGGAATACAGCTCATGTGTAATACATAAATCATGTGTCCTTTATCTTATTTGAGAAGAGCTCATGTGTTATACATAAATCATGTGTCCACAATCTTATTGTAATACATAGATCATGTGTCCATGTGTTCAGTATCTTATTGTAATACATAGATCATGTGTTCAGTATCTTATTGTAATACATAGATCATGTGTTCAGTATCTTATTGTAATACATAGATCATGTGTCCAGTATCTAATTGTAATACATAGATCATGTGTCCAGTATCTAATTGTAATACATAGATCATGTGTTCAGTATCTTATTGTAATACATAGATCATGTGTCCAGTATCTAATTGTAATACATAGATCATGTGTCCAGTATCTTATTGTAATACATAGATCATGTGTTCAGTATCTTATTGTAATACATAGATCATGTGTCCAGTATCGTATTGTAATACATAGATCATGTGTCCAGTATCTTATTGTAATACATAGATCATGTGTCCAGTATCTAATTGTAATACATAGATCATGTGTCCAGTATCATATTGTAATACATAGATCATGTGTCCAGTATCTAATTGTAATACATAGATCATGTGTCCAGTATCTAATTGTAATACATAGATCATGTTTCCAGTATCGTATTGTAATACATAGATCATGTGTCCAGTATCGTATTGTAATACATAGATCATGTGTCCAGTATCTAATTGTAATACATAGATCATGTGTTCAGTATCTAATTGTAATACATAGATCATCTGTCCAGTATCTAATTGTAATACATAGATCATGTGTTCAGTATCTTATTGTAATACATAGATCATGTGTCCAGTATCTAATTGTAATACATAGATCATGTGTTCAGTATCTTATTGTAATACATAGATCATGTGTTCAGTATCTAATTAATGTAATACATAGATCATGTGTTCAGTATCTTATTGTAATACATAGATCATGTGTCCAGTATCTAATTGTAATACATAGATCATGTGTTCAGTATCTTATTGTAATACATAGATCGTGTGTCCAGTATCTAATTAATGTAATACATAGATCATGTGTGCACAATTATCTGTGTAATCAGATCTATTAATAGCCATTTCATGATTAATAATAAATACAAAAAAAGCTTACACATTATTTTTGTCTTGCCTGTGACAAAAGTCACAGTATGCGAGACATAGGTATAACTATCAGGCGGTGGTGTAAACTAGTTGTATAAAGCTTTATATTTCAGAAGGTAAAAGACCTTGATGCCTCATACCTTGTATGCAGATGCCTTATGTTATGTAGTTTCTGTCAATCATACGTCCATTGTCCTTGACCTCATTTTCATGGTTCAGCAACTGCTTAAATAAAAAGTTGAGTTTTTTTTGTCATGTGAATTTCTTATTTATTATGAGTAATAGGATAACTTTATTTGGTATATGGGTTCCTTGCAACGTCTACATGTCTGTCAGACAGAGTTCACCTGACCTCAACCTCATTTAATGGATCATCGATCAAGGTAAAAGTAATGTGATTAGGTCCATTTCTCAAATACTATAAGCAGTAGGTCAACTATATTTGGTTTATGGAATGATTGTTATGGGTACATGTCAGTCTGGCAGGTTTCATCTGACCTTGACCTCATTTTTGGAAAATGACGCTATCAGCGGCATGTTTCCGATACCATTGACCAGAACTTACGGAAGTCGATTATTGCCTCCGCCTACCGCACTCGGTTTCATATTTACTATTTTACATTTTACAAACTGGAATCTGCTTGTATTACTCTACACTCGAACAAAGTGTTGTAGTCGGACGGGAACCAGTTTACATACTTTATTTTATTTACCAAAAAGATATCTTGACCTGTCCATATGTTTTTTGTTATTAAATGGTATTTGGAGCTATCCCTTTGTTATATTTTTCATATTTATTCGAGCTTTCACTTTTATGCACATGTCTTACAATCGTAAACAATCGGTATGTATACATTGTTATGGTGTTGGACTTTTACCCTCCAATGATCAGCAATCGCTAGACAAAATAGTTCTCCTAAATAATGTCAGCCTTTCATGCCATTTCAACTTTACAATCATTAAAAAAAGTGAAAATCGGAATCATTTTGATATCCATTGGATAGAAACTATTCTTTATCCAGATTTACGAAGATTTAAAAAATCGGAAATTAGTAATACGGTTATACCCACGCGGTGCGTATGAATCTTTGTTTACAAACAGGATTTCGGAACGTCTCTAGTTTTAAGATCGTAAGTCACGATAAACTCAAACTGAAAGTAAACAGTTGTTTGTAAGACGCAGGTTTACTCACCATAAACAAGCTGAAACGTTCAGTATGGCATATATTTTAGGTTAAAGACGGTCCCATTCATTTAAAAAGCATTTTGAAAGTAGACGATGGGATTATTTCAGGTTTGGGGAACGAGTAAATTATCACAAAGTTCATTTCTTGACGACCTCATAATTTCATCATGTCGATGGTACAAATCGATTTTTACTGTTTACTGTCGCTTCTCATGTTTTGTATTTAAACGGTCGTTTATTTTTAAACCCGAACCAGGCATATGCATTCTGTAATTGTGCAAATCTTCGTTCTTTGGTCAATTGGCTCATGGATAGTTGTATCAATTTCAACTCTTACATTATTTTTTTTTTAAATATATTTGCATTACACATGCAATGGCAGTACCTTTCCAATTACTATTTATGTGTTGTGTCTAAATTAAAGTTGTAACACTTTATAGTGACTGGAAAGGGTAGAAAAATTCATCAGATGAGAAAAGGTTGAAGATACTTCAAACGGCACCGAATCATTAGATATTGCATCTTATAAAAAGAAACTGAGATTTGGATTGTTCCACTTCAAGGTAAAAATGTTTTAGTTATTTCTTGTGAAATGAAATAAAAATATTATTGTAACACTGTAGTTAATTAATAAAGATACTATTACGTGTATTTCTGTATTGGCCTTGTTATTGGTTCTCGGCCAGCAGTCAAACGGCACTGAATCATTAGATATTGCATCTTATAAAAGGAAGCTGAGATTTGGATAGTTCCACTTCAAGGTAAAAATGTTTATCTCTTGTGAAATGAAATAAAAAAAATATTGTAACACTGTAGTTAATTAATAAAGATACTATTACGTGTATTTCTGTATTGGCCTTATTATTGGTCCTCAGCCAGCAGTATTGGCCTTCCGCTTCGCCTTAGACCAATACACCCAAGACATGGACCTATAACAAGGCCAATACAGAAATAGTTACGCAATGATATTATAGAATGACAGTATGGTTCAATAGCGGGAATCAGCCCCTCAACTACTTTTTACATAAATATTAACTTCTGGCTTCAACGCTTTGTTCGTCTTGTCTGGAGATCTTGCTGTAGTTCCAGTTCAGCAAGCATTTTAGAGACGTATCCCGTCCATCCTCTTTTGACTTGTAATCTCTGGTGATAGATTTTGCCGCTTGACATTGTATCCTTTCAAGCTTGTTTTTTTTTTGTTACCGTGTAGGGGTCCCTTACTATGGCTCCATATTAAATTATAAGATCCATTCCTAAAGATCTAGATCATTGTTCTAATCTGACACAAATTTCAATAACTGGAATGCTACCCAAGCTGAATATATGGTGACCCATGAGAACAGCATAATCACTATTGAAATTGTGTTTAATACCATGATTGTTCAATGTCATTAACTTAAATGGAGACAGACATTTGACCTGAAAGACATGAAAGGTGGTGTGGGAGTGCAAAATCAAAAACTAACTGACTATGATATATGGTTAAAGAATGAATATCAATTACATGGGTCAACATGGTCAAGGGCAGAGTTGTTATAAAATAACAATATGGCAACGAAGTGGTTTCAAGTTTCATATAAAGCAACCTGACTGACATGAAATAAAAAATTGAAGGAATATCCCTATTTGTCTAATCTTCAAGGTGAAATAAAACTAGTAAAACAATATTATACTATTGTCTAAATATACAGAAATATAATTTGCTTCAAGTAACAGAAATAACTAGGTCACTAGTAACTTATTTAATGAGTATGTGGGGTATAAGAGCTTGCTAACAACAGGCTCTTCATAATCATTTGGGATACTAGTAGTCTATATTCTTGATTTAGAAAAATGTAATTGCAAGAAAAAAATCACATTACTTAGAATACTTTAGATCATTCAGGTAGTCTTTATGTATATGTACAAAAGAACAGCCAGTAGTCATTGGAAATTGTAGATCATTCAAATAGTCTTGACCTTTTTATTAGTACAAAAGAACAGCCAGTAGTCATTGGATATTGTAGATCATTCCGGTAGTCTTGACCTATTTATTTATACAAAAAAACAGCCAGTAGTAATTGGATACTGTAGATCATTCAGGTTGTCTTGACCTATTCATTTGTACTGAAAAGACAGACACATATACGAATATCAATTATATGCTTACGAGACGTGTTGCAATGTTAAACTTATTACGGTATGTGAAAATCAAAACTTGCATAAAAAATATCACAATATTAGAGACAGTGGCGTCATTTTTCCTCAGAGCTTTCAGCTCTTTGATCATGGTTCGTTGATCAATGTTAAGATTTTTTGTTTTTGTCTGTTTTTCAAGTACTATAAGCAATATGTCAACTAAATTTGGTGTATGGAATGATTGTAAGCTGTATGAGTCTGTCTTGCAGATATCATCTGACCTTGACCTCATTTTCATGGTTCGTTGATCAATGTTAAGTTTTTGTGTTTTTTATCTGTTTTTCAAGTACTATAAGCAATACGTCAACTATATTTGGTGCATGGAATGATTGTTAGGTGTACATGTCTGTCTGGGAGGTATCATCTGACCATGACCCAATTTTTATGGTTCAATGGTCAGTTTTAAATTTTTGTCATTTGGTCTGTTTTTTAAATACTTATAGCAATAGGTCAGCTACATCAGGTGTATGGAATAATGGTAAGGTGCACATGTCTGTCTGGCAGGTATCATCTGACCTTGACCTCATATTTATGGTTCATTGGTGAATGTTAGTTTTTGTGTTTTGGTCTGTTTTTCAATTAGCATACGCAATAGGTCAACTATATTTGATGTTTAAAAACATTGTAGGGTGTATATGTCTGTCTGACACAATTTATCTGAACTTGACCTCCTTGTTTTTTAAAAATGTTAAGTTTTTGTAATGCTTTTAGTAAAACCTTTATCTTTAAGACTTTCAACATAAAATCAATGGTCAGTAAAGCAGGCCAGACATTTCAGCGTGTGCACTCTTGTTTTACTATTTTTTCACAAAATACTGAATAGTCAGCTTCAAGCACAAAAACACTTGAAATAAAACCCTGCAAACAAAATTCAGGTAAATAACCCTTACCATTTGCATTTATTAATAAGAATGACACAAAAGTTTGGTATTAATATATATACATGACAGACAAAAACATGCAAAGAAACAGGTGCTATGGGCTATATTAAACTTGCAGTGAGGTGAGAGTTTTGCTCTGTATTGAAGACTGCACTGTGACTTTGAGGCGAAGAAAAGCAATAAAAGGTTTTTTCATTTGCTTTTTTTTTTTATTTGCCATGATTTTGTGTTATGGATGAATACCCATATCCTTTCTTTTCTATTAAAGAAATGTATTATTTTTTATATTACTTTTTTAGTTAATACTGTTCCGACTAGTACAATAGACTGTAGATTTGGTTCGATCAATCAGGGAGCCTGTTCCTACACAGTCAAAAATGTTGTTACTGGATGGTCACAAAAAAATTATGGTATGTTAGATACTAAGGTTGATTTAAAATAGATTCAGGACTTTTGAATCATTTAGTATGAATACTGTAAATTCAGAAATATGCGGATTTACAGAAAATCATAATAATTAATCTCGCATTTATATTCTTTCTTCAAAAATTGCAATAATTTCTGAACTAACAGTAACAGATGATGTTAGTTATACAAAAGAAATATAGCAGTCAATATACAGTCATTACCAATTAATAGGCCAATCTATATACAACCATATCACGCTCTAGATGGTCCCCAGTAAAAAAAGTTTTGAATATTTTAAATAAAAATATCATTTGCCATCAACAGTATACTCTCCAACCATCCAAAATCATTTAGATTCAATGTATACCTATAGATTATCAATGGTCGTTCAAGCTAAGGGAGTTCCTTGACTACAATCTCATTGCAGGGCTACATCTGACACACATCCTAATTGAGTTTGAAAGACCATTGATAATCCGTTTATCTTTGTATTCCTAGGCAATGTCAATGACATAGGCTCATGATTTCGTAACATTCTTTTCCTACTTGACTGAAAAGAATTATAATATAATGTTAGAAAATTTTGGATAATTACTAAGTGCATAGGGCTTTAAGAATATTAAGAACTTAATTTCAGATTTATAAATTTTATTATTTTAGTTTTTTTGTTTATACAATAAACATACAAAATCATATAAAGTAGTCAAGTTATAAATATGCACTCCTTGGACTGGAAATCTTAAATTATGATATGAAGTGAGATAAGTCTGTAATTGAGACAATTATCTGTATGAGAAATATTCAGGATTGATTGATTGATTTTTGGTGTTTAACACCACTTTCAGGCAGCATGACTATATTGTGGCAGCCAGTTTTTATTGGTTGAGGAAGCCGTAGTGCCTGCAGAGAACCAGATCCTTTTTCAGGAACACTGGCAATCCAGGTTAATTAAGATCATCATGTGCAGGGTTCAAACTCACAACTTCAAATTGTTCACAGGCTAGTGACACAGAAAGTTTAGGATATTAGATATTTGTTTCTCCTATTGTATAGGGAATGTTTGACAAAACAATTACCATAGAATTGAAGGAAAAATATTGAACTGTGCAATTAGATAAATACAATAGCTTATGATCGTTCTCTGAGGAGTTCATACTATTAGAGCTTTTAATTTCTGCTTAAAAAACAATCCTTCCCATAAGTCTATTCAATTTAAATGTACTTTCCATGGGGACTTGTATACGAGGGGCATATATTGACAATTTTTATAATAGGCATAAGTGTTTACTTCATCTTGGAGCTACAATACAGAAGCATTTTATAATCACATCAATCTCAAGTTTTTGAATATCTATTTTTCTTTTCCAATACATAAAAGTAATATTTTAGGTGAGTTCCTAGAAAATTTTAATAAATCACAAAACACTAAAGAAAAAAACTTTAGAGTGAGCCAACTAGAAACCCCTGTCAAAAACCGGTGGTTAACCCAGATGCTTTGGAAAGGTATGCAACTCCTGTTCCACTAGTGGCACCCTTAGTGCTGCTCATGACAAGTAAAAATATAAATCATATAAAAACTTAATGACAATGCTTCGAGTGTAACAATGCTTCAGATTTGCAAGTTGCTTTATGATAGAGAAAATATCTTGTTATTTCACAGCTTTTGCCTTATATTCTTCCTACGGAATTGTTACATCAAAATTAATATCCAACATATTCACAACGCCATCTAGTGGAAGTGTATTCCTAAATTTGACAATTGAAAATCAGGCTGTACAGTTACATGTCCAACTTGAAACGGTGGATATGACCTATGACCTTGGATATGCAGAACGTGGAGATAGAAGTGTCTGTTTTGATTTGCCATCATCAGTACGTGGTAACTTGGTTATAACAGGAAAAACAACTTATTCTATTTATGGATATTATTATGTTGCTTATGTTTATGAGATAAAAGTAAACCAGGAAGAAATATGTGCCAGTAAGTACTATTCATTTATGTCATGTACTTTAGTTATTGATATGTTACTTGTCTAAAGATATATAAGCTTTGTGTACCTCAAGCACAAATTAAATGATCATATATATGAAAAGAGTAAGTTCAGTAAGGGGTATATTTGGCTCCATTTTTAAGTTCTATGTTTCAAGATAAAAAATGTTTTAAGTTGATTGATGAAAAGACATGCGAGAAGGGGGTTAAAAGACATGTGAGAAAGGTAAATAGAACTATTTTTGTCAAAGTTTTGATAAAAAGCGTTGATTTTTACATTCTGAATAGGTCAAAAATAGAGATTTTTTGCAAAATTTGACAAAATTGTCTGGATTTCAACCAAATTAATGCTTAGGAAACATAAAGCGCAGTTGCCATTTTACTAAATATTCCTGGCAGATATGTGAAATGTCATAAAAAAATATTATCTTAAAAGAATTTTTTTGTTGACTCAATATGCACACTCTATGTTTCCTGTCCAAAAAAGTTAATGCACATTTACCCATTTTCATTCATTTATTGTGGAAAATCAAAATGAGTGCACATGCTATTTGTGGCATCATGAATAGAATGCAAGCACGTAAATTTTCAACAAAAAGGCATATTCCCTATTTAGTCATTGTATTAGCTATAACTCATTGTGATATTGTTCAATACATTCTAATTTGAAATTTAAGTAAGAAGTCAGGGCCATTTTTTGGCCTCATCAAACCACTCCTTAAAGGCTATGTATCAATGAAATGAAAATTATTCCAAAGCAAGCAAATTATGATTGATTTAAAGAAATCAATGAAGTTTAAAACTTAATAGAATTTTGTTAAAACTTAGAATTTTGTTAACTGCATTGAAATGACTTTTACATAAAATTTGTTTTTGAGAAATATTGATATGAACTGTTCCCCGCCACAGCAGTACCCCTCCTATACCATACTTCCTTTTTACCTTGTATATACTACTACATGTATATAGACCAGTTTTCTGTCTTGATTTGTGGAACTAAAAATAGATGAGACTTATAGGCAAACTTTTGCTGTTAGCAGTGGGAACAATATATCAGTTTCTGATTATATAGATATAAGAAGATATGGTATGAGTGCCAATGAGACAACTTCCATCCATGTCACAATTTGTAAAATTAAACCATTAGAGTTCAAAGTATGGCCTTCAACATGGAGCCTTGGCTCACACAGAACAGCAAGCTATAAAGGGCCCCAAAATGACTAGTGTCAAACCATTCAAACAGGAAAACCAACGGTCTAATCTATATAAAAAACGAGAAACACTGAACAACAGGTTCATGTCAGTTTAAGGGGAAACACTTGCATTTGTTTATTGCCATTGTTAAACAATGGAGACAAATACAACAACAACAATACTTTATTTTAAGAGGGTTACACAGTTAGCTATATAACTAATCTTCCCTGCGGCGACTCATCGTCAAAAACCAAAAACAAAACAAACAGTGATATACATGACATACATTAGTAAACAATTCAAGTATAATGATCAATGTTCAATTCAACTGCATAAATTGTAATGAAAAAATAATCACGATAAAAAAAAATATAATTGATATTTTATATTTTTTCAGTTATTGGTCGATTTCAATAAATGATCTGTGAATTTGTATTTGAAAGAATTAACATTTTTAATATTTTGTAATGATATTGGCAAATTGTTCCACAAGGATGGCCCAGAATACATGATAGATTTCTTCAACAATTCTATTTTTGGTTTAAGGACTATGAGGCTTCATTGAACAGCGCTCATTTCTCAAGGGGTATGGATTTTTGTCTGAAACATAATGAAACTTGCTAGTAAGATATGAGGGGGCATCATTTTTGATGCACTTAAATGTCATCACAAATTTGTGATATTTTATTCTCTGTTCAAATGTCATCCACTTTAAGTATTTGAATAAGGGCTCAGAAGGAGCAAAAGGGTCTGTTTCTAGTATTATTCTAGCAGCTCTCTTTTGTAATTTTAATATCCTATTTAAACCCTTACTGCTACCTGACTACTCCTCACTATACAACAATAATCAATAAGTGGTAAGATCTAACCTTTATAAAATAATTTCCTGCAGTCTAGATTAAGAAATTTCTTAATCTTTAATAATATAGATATAGCCTTAGTCTAGATGAAATTTTTGAGCAGATCAAATCAATTTGGTTTGTCCAGGTGAGGGAATGGTCAATTTTAATGCCTCATATGTGGAAGGCTGTATCACTTGATTGTATTAAAAAAGGTAAACAACTTTCTGTAATGTGGCATTGCTTTTTGCTTAGTTCCGATAATCATATATTTTGTTTTATCTTTATTTATAAACATATTGTTATCATTGCACCATTCCTTAGCACAATGCAAATCTTCTTGTACCTTTGACTGCAGAATTTGATTACAATTACCAGAAATATGTAAATTTGAATCATCATCAGATGATGATATCAGTCAGTGCAACAATTTTTCATATAGATAGGAAGGTCATTTATGTATAAAATAAACAGAAGAGGCCCTGATATGGATCCTTGGGGGACACCATACTTGATATAAAGTTTTTCAGAATGAACATTACCAATTTGTACCTGAGATCACCCCCAGTTTTTGGTGGGGTTCGTGTTGCTTAGTCTTTAGTTTTCTATGTTGTGTCATCTGTACTATTATTTGTCTGTTTGTCTTTTTATTTTTCGATCTATGAGTTTGACTGTCCCTCTGGTATCTTTCGTCCCTCTTTTGTACTTGTTGAGTTCTTTCATTTAAATAGGATTTTAAAAAAGAAACAGCAGCATTATCAAATCCATAAATTTCAAGTTTTTTTACAGAGAATATCATGATCTACTACATCAAAGGCTAATATTTCTTAAAATCCAAAAGGACTGCCAAGTTGATGTTACCAACATTCATGTCCTGTACCCATTTATCTATGATATTGATAAGGGCAGTTTTGCAAGAGTGTTCTTGTCTAAAGCCAGACTGTGCTGGGTGTAAAAGATTAAGTCTTTTTAGATAGTCATACAAATGTTTTGAAACATGCTTTTCTAAAAGTTTGATAAAACAGGAAGTACAGAAATTGGTCTATAAATTGTTGCCATGAATTTTTCCCCAGCTTTAAAAACAGGAGTTACTCTTGCATACTTCAGAGCAATGGGCAAAGTACTTGTATCTATTATTCTGTTAAAAATGTAAGTTAAAGATGAAGCTATGAAAGGAGCACTTAATTTTAAAAAATTTCGGTCCTATGTTGTCAGATCTGGTGGATTTATTAATGTTAAGTTGATAATCTCATTAAATAGATTATTAATTGTGACTGGTGGAATTGGGAATTTTACTTGTTTCAAATTAAACGACATTAAAGACAACAACACCCATCAATTACCGCATGGTGATTAATTTATTGTGGTCGACATGTTTCGCCAACAAGCGTGGCATCTTCATGGTCCTGAAGACGCCACGCTTGTTGGCGAAACATGTCGACCACAATAAATTAATCACCATGCGGTAATTGATGGGTGTTGTTGTCTTTAATGTCGTTTATTTGTTTTTATAGTGAAAGACAACTGTGAATACCGCGTGGTATCCACCCGCTATTACCCAACCGCACGATAATAACTTCAGGTGTTGGTTCACCATTTTTCAAGTTGTTGTTTCAAATTAGTAAATTTCTTTTATACAAATTGAGTTAATTTTGCATAATCATGATTTTTGCTCATAGATCTATCAATTCTTAATTAAATTGAGAATGGAAATGGAAATGTGTTAAGTTTTCAACACATGATGTAAAAAAATTTAAAACATTACAAATTTATTGACATATTTAGAAGTTCATATGCATTTTCTTGCTGGTACAGGTTTAGACTGTGAATACATTTCCACAAATCTTATGATACTTTTGAATGTTTTACCACCTTTGAATACAAATTTCTCTTAGATTCATCAATTATGTGATTGGCCCTTTTTTCGCCAAAATTTAAACTGTGACCACATTCCTAGTTTATGGTATTTCTCCTTATTTTCCTGGCATAACTAATTTCATTTGTGAACATGTCAGGTTGTCTGTCTCTTTTAACTCTTTTAGTAATAATAGGTGCATGTTTATCTAGAACTCCATTAAATATGTCATACCACATCTGTATACATGTGTTTGGATGACTTTCATGAGGCCTCTCATGGGGGTGTCCAAGTAATAACATAATCACAATTTTTTTGCCTATATAATCACATAATCATTAATTATTTTTTTAAACAAGATAATCAAATAATCAAAAATACAGTCCTATATTATCAAATGATCATATAATCATGAAATATTTGGTCTGGTAATCAAATAATTACTTTAAAAAATGGCCAAGTAATCACATAATCAAAAACCCCATGAGTAGGCTCTTTCATGTTCAATTTGATCAAAAGGTGCGATAGCTAAATCACTTTAAAAAAATTGTCTCATTAAATTTTTTAAAGTGTCTGTAAGAAATGGTGGTATGAATATCTTTTTTAATATGAATGGCAATTTTTTCTTTCCTAGTTAAAGATACTGGATAATGATCACTTATTGAGAATTTAGCAACATTTGATTCTAGTATCAAATCCTTATTGGTGACATAAATATGATCAATTTGGGTGCCTAAGAATCTGGTGTTACTCTTGTTGCTTCTTGGATTATCTGGTTGAGATTATAGGTTTCTAATAAACTTAGCCATTTTTGTGGTTGTTTATTCGTTTCCAAAAAAATATATATTAAAAACACCAACTAAAATAATATCTGAATTATGATTGATGGCGGTTCTTTTTCAAATTCATCAACCAGTTAATTAATGAACTAGGAGGTCTGTAAACTTAACACAATGGAAATGATTTTTTGTGAAGAGGTTTAATTTCAAACTGCATTGTTTCACTTATGTCACTTAGGGCTGTTCCATTAAAACATACATGGTACCCTGGGAAGGCACTTTAAAAATGGGGTAACCACCTATAGAGGCAAATTAAAATTTCACTTACATTTCCACTATGCAAAAACATAGATGATACCCACCCATAGTTGAGATTTGGAAGTGCCTTCCCTGGTCCCATGTATGTTTTTATGGAACAGCCCTTAATTCTATCAAATGTCACTTTTTCTGAAAAATAACTTTCAATCAAACCACCTCCACCACATGATGATCTATCTTTTCTGTTTATAATCAATCCAGGAATTTGTATAAAATTATCCTGGGTGTTCCTGTCCAAAACTGTTTCACAACAACAGTATATATATGTAAAAAAGATGTTTTTATATGTGTATATGTTATTTTTTACAGAGCCTTTCCCCAATAGTGTTTGTGAATTTGATGAAAAGTGTCCATGGGACATAGAATGCTACACCAGAATAGCTGATCCAATACCATTCCAATGGGTTTGGACAGGTTATAACACTTCCTTGTCAGGTAATATTTATTATTTTATGTAATATATGTTTATATTATGTCAATGTAACAGTGTAAGTCAGAACATCAAATTTATATCAAAAGTCTGAAGTTTAATATTGTTTTTATGATGCCCAAATGATTACTGTAAATTCAGAAATTATTGCGAGGTTTTTATTAATGCGAATAATGCGACTGAATGAGTATCGCAATAATAAGAACTCACATTCTGATATCTTATTAATATAACTGCATGCACATTTTCCTTAAATCGCAATAATTAATCCTGCATTTTAGTTTGTTCTTCTACATTCGCAATAATAAATGCACGCAATAATTTCTGAATTTAAAGTACCATGATTGCCTTTTGTTATTAAATCTAAAGGGACTTAAATTGGGATAAGAAAAAATGTCCGGCTGTATCAAATATTTTTGGCAAGCCTTGTTTGAAAGCCTACACATTTTAATTTTTTATCATATGTCTAGAATGCAAAATTACATAAAAAACTACCCATCATTTCTTTAACCTTTTATAGTCATAATAGATATGAATGATGAAATGAACTATCAAAAACTGAAAGGGAAGATAACTCCAAAACCTACAATAAATTCCATTGTAAATATGGAAGATAACTACATAACCTGAATACATTCCATTGTGAATATGGGAGATAACTCCATAACCTGCAGTACATTCCATTGTGAATATGGGAGGTAACTCCATATCCTGCAATACATTCCATTGTAAATATGGGAGATAACTCCAAAACCTGCAGTACATTCCATTGTGAATATGGGAGGTAACTCCATATCCTGCAATACATTCCATTGTAAATATGGGAGATAAATCCATAACCTGCAGTACATTCCATTGTGAATATGAGAGATGACTCCATAACCTGCAGTACATTTCATTGTAAATATGGGAGATGACTCCAAAACCTGCAGTATATTCCATTGTGAATATGGGAGGTAACTCCATAACCTGCAGTGCATTCTATGTAAATATGGAAGATAACTACATAACCTGCGGTACATTCTTTTGTTAAATACAGGAGATAACTCCATATCCTGCAATACATTCCATTGTAAATATGGGAGATAAATCCATAACCTGCAGTACATTCCATTGTGAATATGAGAGATGACTCCATAACCTGCAGTACATTTCATTGTAAATATGGGAGATGACTCCAAAACCTGCAGTATATTCCATTGTGAATATGGGAGGTAACTCCATAACCTGCAGTACATTCTATGTAAATATGGAAGATAACTACATAACCTGCAGTACATTCTTTTGTTAAATACAGGAGATAACTCCATATCCTGCAATACATTCCATTGTAAATATGGGAGATAAATCCATAACCTGCAGTACATTCCATTGTGAATATGAGAGATGACTCCATAACCTGCAGTACATTCCATTGTAAATATGGGAGATAACTAAATAACCTGCAGTACATTCCATTGTTAATATGAGAGATAACCTATTAACCTGTAGTACATTCTTTTGTTAAATATGGGAGATAACTCCATAACCAGCAGTATATTCCATTGTAAATATGGGAGATAACTCCATAACCTGCAGTACATTTCATTGTAAATATGGGAGATAACTCCATAACCTGCAGTACATTCCATTGTAAATATGTGAGATAACTCCATAACCTGCAGTACATTCCATTGTAAATATGGAAGATAACTACATAACCTACAGTACATTCCATTGTAAATATGGGAGAAAACTCCAAACCTGCAGTACATTCCATTGTAAATATGGGAGATAACTCCATAACCTGCTGTACATTCCATTGTAAATATGGGAGATCTCTCCATAACCTGCAGTACATTCCATTGTAAATATGGGAGATAACTCCATAACCTGCAGTATATTCCATTGTAAATATGGAAGATAACTCCATAACCTGCAGTAAATTCCATTGTAAATAATGAAGATTATTTTATAACCTATAGTACATTCCATTGTAAATATGGATGATAACTACATAACCTACAGTACATTACATTGTAAATATGGGAGATAACTCCAAACCTGCAGTACATTCCATTGTAAATATGGGAGATAACTCCATAACCTGCTGTACATTCCATTGTAAATATGGGAGATAACTCCATAACCTGCAGTACATTCCATTGTAAATATGGGAGATAACTCCAAACCTGCAGTACATTCCATTGTAAATATGAGAGATAACTCCATTACCTACAGTACATTTTTTTTGTAAATATCAAGTCAATTTTCCTTTGCAGTACATTTCATTGTTAATTAAGTCAGTTTTCTTTCATGACCTACAGACAGTATGAGAAGAAAAGTTACTCATTACATGATGTACATAAGTTTTATACTAAGTGAATATTAAAAATAAAAATGTCTTGCCTTTTTGAGGATGAATCACATTATTTACTTACTTGCACAATCTTCCTATTCACTCATTTTAGTCTGCTTAGTTGATGTCCTCAGCATACTGAAAGTTAATCACAGCACAGTGTCAATATTACTATAAACCAACTTATTTTCGCTGACACTTTATTTCATGTTTAGCCCTTTCTAGTCCATTTTGGCTGCGATTTAGTTTTGCTATTTTCACATTTACAAGATGTAGTTAAATAAGGGAAGATTCAAGATTTACAAATTTTGTCTACGTGCAGAAGTCACGAAAATTAGTTGGTTTAGTATATTATTCTGTTCATTTATCAATAAGACTAACATTATATTGAAAGTATAAAAGACATTCATTATTTTTATACGCCCGTTTACGGGACGTATTATGGTATACCGTTGACCGTCCGTCCGTCGTCAACATGTCAGACATTAACTCAAAAAAGCTTTAACCAATATGCATGAAACTTTGATGAATTGTTTATATCTATTGACGTGAGCTCCCTTTCGTTTTTTTATAAATTTCAGATTAAATGTTTCCGATTTTTGGGGTTTTATTCATTAAAAAAGGGGGATTTTCCAGTTTTCCGGCAATAACTCAAGAATGCTTTCACCAACTTGCAAGAAATTTTGGTGAATTGTTTATATCTTTTGACATGAGCTCCCTTTTGGATTTTTATAAATTTTAGATTTAACGTTTCCGAGTTACAGGGTTTTATTCATAAAAAAAGGGGGATTTTCCAGTTTTCGGCCAATAACTAAAAAATGCTTTCAGCAGTTCTCATGAAACTTTGGTGAATTGTTTATATCTGTTGATGTAAGCTCCCTTTAGAATTTTATAAATTTTAGATTTTACATTTCTGAGTTATGGGGTTTTATTCATTAAAAAAGGGGGGATTTTCCAGTTTTTGGACAATAACTCAAAAATGCTTTCAGCAGTTCTCATGAAACTTTGGTGAATTATTTATAGCTATTGATGTAATCTCCCTATTGATTTTTATAAATTTCAAATATGACATTGAGAAGAAATTGAACTTTATTTGTTTATAGTCTGACAACAGATTTACTAAGTATTGCGCAACAGCACAGTGTATTGCACAACAGCAAGAAATCTTTAATTGAATATAAATTCAATTCATATAACCAATTTCAAGTTCTTTGCCTACATTTATTCAGAAACCTATAATATGTCAAATATTTAATTACAATCCAAATTCAGACCTGTATCAAGCTTGAATATTGTGTCCATTTTTGAACCAACTGTTCAGGGTTGGACCTCTGTGGGCGTATCCAGCTGCGCTCAGGGAAGCAGTTTATTAAGATAAAGTCTCTTTGATATCATACCTCCTTCTTTTTTTCATGCCCCTGCTGCAGCAGAGGGAGAAGTTCTAATTTGGGTGGCGTCACTTATACTTTTCTCGAGTGATGTTCCTTTATAACGTTTTTTGCAAGCGGGGGCATCATCTATGTCCCATGGTCACATTCTCCATTTATTTCTAGTTAATTGTGAATTGAATGTAGATTTTGTAACTTTTACTGCTGATTCACTATTATTTACAGGATACCAATTTTTGTTAATTTTGTGGATATACCTGGTTAACCATGAATTTAAATGTTCTTCAAAGTACAAACTATCTATAGGTTGGAGTGGAGACTTCGGCAAAACCATGAAAAAAGTTATACATATAAGTACAAATTGGTATCCACAAGAATAAGTGAATCCACAGTATCCAATATAGAATGGGAATGACATAAATAATTACAACAAATTAATCTAACCAGAAGATTTGTAAACATAAATTGTCCTTGCTGTAAATATATATCTTTCTATAACAAATTATTCACACTGTTTGTTTTTTATGCCCAAACCACAAGGCGAAGGGGGCATTAAGGATAACCCTTGACTGTCCATCCTTCCGTCTTTCCATCTTTTAAGGTCTTTCCATCCTTCCCTCTTTTCGTCAGTCCCATTTTCCTTTGAAAAGCAAGCTTGAGCTAGGGCATTCATGTCCTCAGACACATTCTTCTTTTATTTTTTATGGCCCACCTAGGGGCATTATGTTTTTCGGTCTGTGTGTTCGTTCATTCGTTCGTCCGTCCATTTGTCTGTCTGTCCTGCTTCAGGGTAAAGTTTTGGTCAAGGTAGGTTTTGATGAAGTTGAAACCCAATCAACTTGAAACTTAGTACACATGTACCCTATGATATGATCTTTCTAATTTTAATGCCAAATTAGAGTTTTGACCCCAATATCTATGGTCCACTGAACATAGAAAATGATAGTGCGATTGGGGCATCCTTGTACTATGGACACATTCTTGTTTAAATTATTTGTTGTAACAATAACATTTTCACTCCACCTTAGATGCTGGTAAATTATATCTAACAGCAGATGCATCGTTTGGAAGATTTGGTGACAAGGCTAAATTTACACTACCACTCAATGCCACAACCAGTCAAAATCTGAAAGTTAAATATAGAAATACTGGCAGCAGAAATGATAGCTCTGGATCTTTAGAGGTATTTGAGTGTTGAGAGGGCTAGACATAGTATAAGATGGTATTCAGTAAATTGAAAAAAATCACTTAAAAGAAAAAAAAACACTGCATAGCAATATATGAGGGTCTGAATGGGGTTTACAGAATAGAGAATAATGGGCCAATAGTACAGAAAAATGGGCAAAAAAAATGAAGAATAAAGCAAATTAAGAAAATTAGGCCAATAGATAAAAAAACATAGCATAATGGGGTGCTTAAAAGTAAAGAATAGAGAATAATTGGCAAGATTTATAAAGAATAGAGAAAAATGGCTTAAAAAATTAAAGAATGCAGAAATGAAGGATCCCTATCCAGACCCTCACATATGCCTCCACAATCAGCAAAGAAATGTGAGGATTGGTGTTAAATGAGTGAATATGTTGTAAAAATACTTTGAGAACATAGATATAAGAAGATGTGGTATGAGTGCCAATGAGACAACTCTCCATCCAAGTCACAATTTATAAAAGTAAACCATTATAGGTCAAAGTACGGTCTTCAACATGGAACCTTGGCTCACACGGAACAGCAAGCTATAAAGGGCCCCAAAAATTAAAAGTGTAAAACCATTTAAAAGGGAAAACCAACGGTCTAATCTATATAAAAAACGAGAAACGAGAAACACTTATGAACCACATCAACAAACGACAACTACTGAACATCAGATTCCTGACTTAGGACAGGTGCAAACAATTGCAGTGGGTTTAAACGTTTTTATGGTACCAAACCTTCACCCTTATCTGAAACAATAGTGTAGCATCTAAACATAGAAAGACAGACTATAAAATATCAATTGAAATGGCTTAACTCAATCAAAAGACATATTAACACAAGTGAACATACACTGAAAGAATAAATTTGATCTATGATACAATGTAAATACAAAATCAATAAAATAAGGGATGAATAATTAAAGTAACAGTTTTATACCGCTGTGAAATGTTAAACAATTTCAGAAAAACAACAATAAGCTAGAACAAAAATCCGCCATTTTAGGCATTTAAAATAATATTAATACACAATTAAATTAAAATAATTTTGTTGTTAGGTATACAGTTTAAATTGAAAGGAAATATTATTACAAAATAAATAATTTTGATATTCATAGTATGAAGAAGTGAAAATTTATAGTAAAACTAAACACTTATCAAAGCTGGTATATAGACCAGATATAACCCCAATAAGTAAACATTAAATAACAAAAAAGCATTTCAAATTGTGTCAACAGGTCAAATTAACAAGAAAGTACGATTTGAGAGTACTCGCAGGTAATGACAGCTAGTTAAAAGTCAAAAACAATTAATAATAAAAAATCATGCATCAGAGACTAAAATCAACTAAAACACATCCCAGGGATTTAGTATTTTAACGTCATGGACAGTCAAAGAAGACATGACTTGTGCAATGCCAAAATAAATGTATCAACATGCAGTAGGAAAGTTAGGAGTTAACCTTTTTATAGATAAAAATGAACATGGGTGTGTCTTTTATAGTACATCCCGTTTGAAAAGAATACAAATTTAGTTATGTTTTAATTTGCTGATGACAAAATCGATATTAGTGCCAATGTAAACTATATTCACAGATTTAATTACAACATTTGTAAGATAACCTATACTAATAAGTTTGTTTAAAGGTTCGATGAGTTTACACGGATCACAAAGTTTTTAGTACAATATAAAGTAAAATTTAGGATGTGAAATACCATTTTAATAAGTTTTTTACAAGTACAGCCAAATTTACTAATCAAATCTTTGTAACTATGAAAGAATTTAGTAAAAGTTTTAAGTAATTTATGGTAACGAAATCCCTGACTTAATAATTTATCAGTGATGCATTGATTACGTTCGTTAAAATCTATGACATCACTACACACACGGGCATAACGAACTAGTTGGGATATATAAACACTGTATGTTGGAGCCAAAGGAACTTCACCGTCTAAAAAAGGAAAATTTACAATAGTGAAAACATACTTGTTTAAAAGTGAAATACATCCACCACCATCCTACTCTGGGCTGTCAATTTAGAAATTTTCCCGTCTATAGAGTTATATTCATTTATGGCACTTTAAAGTATGCCATTATTTCTCACAAGGCACTTTTATTTGAAAATAAGGGGAAGTTTATTCAACAAATTTATACAATGAGAACTGTTTATAAGTATCTATATGCAGTCATCAACCCAATAACATAAAAAGTAAATTGAGACAACTTGTTTGAAAAAAAAAGATAATAGGAATTGCAACATTAAAAGAGAGAACTTACCACTTAAAAAGAGATCACAGGAATTGTCATATAAAAAGAGATCACAGGAATTGCCACTTAAAAAGAGATCACAGGAATTGCCACTTAAAAAGAGATCACAGGAATTGCCATATAAAAAGAGATAACATGCATTGCCACATAAAAAAAAGAGGAAATGCCATATAAAAAGAGATCACAGGAATTGCCATATAAAAAGAGATAACATGCATTGCCACATAAAAAAAAAGAGGAAATGCCATATAAAAAGAGATCACAGGAATTGCCATATAATAAGAGATAACATGCATTGCCACATAAAAAAAGAGGAAATGCCACATAAAAGAGATAACAGAAATTGCCATATAAAAAAAGATAACAGAAATTTTCACATAAACAGAGATACCAGAAATTGTCACATAAGAAGAGATAACAGGAATTGTTACATAAAAGGAGATAACAAAAATTGTCACATAAGAAGAGATCACAGAAATTGTCACATAAGAAGAGATAACATAAATTGTCATTTAAAAAGAAATAATAGAAATTGCCACATGAGAAGAGATAACAGAAATTGTTACATAAAAGGAGATAACAAAAATTGCCTTATAAAAAGAGACAATAGAAATTGCCACATAAGAAGAGATAACATAAATTGCCACATAAGAAGAGATAACAGGAATTGCCACATAAAAAAGATAACAGAATTGCCACATAAAAGGAGAGAAATTGCCTTAAAAAAAAGAGATGATAGAAATTGCCACATAAGAAGAGATAACAGGAATTGGCACATAGAAAAAAAGATAACAGAAATTGTTGAAAAAGCTGCACAGTACAACACAGCATATCGACATCCAAACAATCCAAAAAAAAAAGATCTGCAGCCAAAGACAAACAAAACAACAGGGTCCATATAGCCTGAATCGATACACTTTATATGTTTGAATGGCATTTTTTCAAATATATTCCAAAGAACATGTATATTTTATTCAAGGTAAATTTGAACCACAATGGAGTTACAAATCAAATATTTATGAAAGATCATCTGGACACCAATGGATCATGGGAATCAGCTTGTGTGCCAATGTCACAGTTCTCAACAGGGGAGGTAATCAATGGTGAACTGGAATTTGTTGCCACTAGAGGGAACTCATATGCTGATGATATAGAAGTAGATGATGTGGAACTGATAGGACATGAATGTCGAAGTAAGTGTATACTTCTTAAACAGACAAACAAATAAATTGACAATGAAAACCAACTTAAAACCTAACAAACATCAATATAATCAAACGAATTGTAAAAACATAGAATCATTGGAATTAAAAAATGGTGAATAAGATTATTTTTCAGATAATACCTGATTTTCTGTTAAAATGAAGTCATTCTTTTGATTTTGATAGGAAAAATTCATAAATTTTGTACTTTGAAGCAGACCAGTTAAAAATGTTCAAAAGGCTTTCTAGAAAAACTAAATACATTGCATGTAGACTTATTTCATAATGTCATCTTTAATAACCTAGCAAGCATCACAAACAGAAATGTATTTTTTTTAATTTTTTTTTTTTTTATTTGATTTAGAACTTGGCATTGTTTATTGGCAAAAATAAGTTGGTTTACAATATACTTTAATTTTGATAACATTGGAAAAAGATAACAGGGTAAATGAATATATTTTTAACACAGCATGCTCCTTCATACTCTCACTCAATCCAACATACTTGGGCTACACTAGTTTACCTCTGTTTGTCCTTCTGTACGTCTGTCTGTAACACGTCTTTGCTGATCTTTTTCAGCCACTAAGAATCAGAGCTTCTTTGGTATAATGCTTTATATTGGTTATCTATATTATGTTACACATTTTCAGGATTCCTTTCTTTTCATGTGTACCAATATTGGTGGATTAAGGAAGGCTTGCATTTTCGTGGATATTTTTTTTTGCTTGGTTTTGTCCAAGTCTGCAATACAATCCTTTGAAAAAAAAATAGTTTGTTAAACATTTAAATTAATGGTTCACATGTGACCACAAAATCCCTGATAGCTGTTATCCCATGACTCTATGTCATTTATGTACTTCCTGTTTGCTTCATGCATGTATTTCTTCACATTGATACACATACAAGAAACTACAAATCATAGCTTCTTGATATTTGATACCAAGTTTTAAATTGTTATGAATGTTCACTACTCTTGTTTTCGACTTTTTGTCAGATATTCAGAATCCTCTAGTTTTATCCATGTTACGTGCCAATAAAAAACTTTGCCCACTATTGGCACTAACCCCTACTTTTCTTTTCATTATTATATTACATATAGTTTAAAAAGCCATATTTGATAATTATAGGTGTCAATGTTACATGTATGAACAAACTTAGAGAAAAACTTTTCCCGCCAAATTATTTTTTTTTTTATCAATTGATTATATCTCAAAAACTCGATCACGGACCTGTAACTTTTTTCTACTTTTTAAGTTCCCTTATTTATATACTATCAATTTTTACATGACTTTTAAAAAGCATGTTTTTTTTAAACAGAGGGAACATCCTTACACAAGAAGGTTGTCTAATTTCTATTGTCCCCTTCCACACTATATGTTTCCTTCTATCCAAAAGCAAGACCAGGGTATATAAATTAAAGTGAGTGAGCAGGGGCTCACACTACATCTTGTTAGAGGGTCTGGATGATACATCATTTCTGTATTATTTCATTTTTTTTTTAATTTTCACTATTCTTGGGGTTTTTTTGGCCCATTATTCCCTATTATTTTTTTTATCTTGTTCTATAAAACCTTTCCAGACCCTCTTGTTAATCAATTATTCTCTATTCTTTTTTTATCTCATTATTCTATAAAACCCTTCCACTGACCCTCTCATTAATCAAAGATCTTTCTGTTGTAGTTTTTGCGTCATGTGATTTCCAGTCAGCCACATTCTGTCGTTACACCAGATTATCAGAGTCCAGCTTTGCTTGGAATTGGGGAACATACAATCTGATGCAAAACTCTTCTCTGGGACAGTATGTTCCAAGAGTAGATCATACAGAAGGTACCAGTTCAGGTTAGTTTTAACTGGATCCCTTCTCTGGGACAGTATCTGCCAAGAGTAGATCATACAGAAGGTACCAGTTCAGGTTAGTTTTAACTGGATCCCTTCTCTGGGACAGTATATACCAAGAGTAGATCATACAGAAGGTATACCAGTTCAGGTTAGTTTTTACTGGGTCCCTTCTCCGGGACAGTATGTACCAAGAGTAGATCATACAGAAGGTACCAGTTCAGGTAATATTTTACTGGATCCCTTCTCTGGCACAGTATGTACCAAGAGTAGATCATACAAAAGGTACAAAAGAACTAATTTTTTTTACCAAATGTGAAATAAGTTCCGGAACAAAATTTACATCTCCATGAGTTTTGTTCCAATGTTAAAAGTTTTAAAAAAGTGAAATAATGGGGTACATTTGCAATTGAAGGCATGACTGTAACTATAGGACGAAGAAAAGAAAAAAGGCATCGGAAATGTATCATAATTTGTTTTTATGTTTTATGTGGTATTCCTTCTTGCTTCCTGTTAACTGTCATGGGTGTTCTAGTCATTCATGTACTTATGTCATGGCACATGTACAGTTTCAAAAGAGTGTCTTTTGTTTCTTCATGGCTTTTAATATAATTGATCAGTCACTTTGTCCTTTTTAAATTAGTAAAAATGTTTATCTTTAACTATACTTTTTAATGCCCCTGATTTATGGGCATTATGTTTTCTGGTCTGTGTGTCGTTTGTTCGTCCGTCCGTTTGTTCGTTTGTTCGTCCGTCCGTCTGTCCCGCTTCAGGTTAAAGTTTTTGGTCGAGGTAGTTTTTGATGAAGCTGAAGTCCAATCAACTTGAAACTTAGTACACATGTTCCCTATGATATGATCTTTCTAATTTTAATGCCAAATTAGTGTTTTTACCCCATTTCACGGTCCAGTGAACATAGAAAATGATAGTGCAGATGGGGCATCTGTGTACTATGAACACATTCTTGTTTTCTGAATGATTTTTCTTATTCTACTCTTTTCTGGTTCTTAAGTGTCATTTTGATATTTTATTAAACATTTGCTATACTTCACAGGATCCAAATTGGATTTTACACTTTTGATTTATTAATTATCAATATATAATACATGTTTTATACAGTACTAACTGTAGATAACTTTAAACTCACTGGTGACAAATGCTCAGTATATGAGATAACTTGTTTAACCAATGGAACATATTTCACAGACAAGGAACTTATTTCACCAGGTGAGGAACAAATCTCACAAACCCAGAACTTATTTCACCAGGTAAGGAACAAATCTCACAAACCCGGAACTTATTTCACTAGGTAAGGAACAAATTTCACCAAATCCAGAACTTATTTCACCAGGTAAAGTGTGGAACTTATTTTATAGAGATGGAACAAATTATATAGAAACTATCTGTGAAAAAAGTTCTCCCAGAACATATTTCCTGTGATATAAGTTCCACTGGAACTTTTTTCACAGGAACAAATTTTGGCTCACATAAATGTGTTTAGAGACCTCTTATGTCTGTACACCATTCCTATAAGACCTACAATGACCATTATCATGTATTTGACCATTAATCATGTTTGTGTTTTTAAGAAGTATAATATACTACTTTTTCCTTACTTGAATAGTTTTGGAAGACAGAAAAATACTTTTTCCTTAATGTATAGTTTTCCAAAAGATTTAAAACTTTTTTAATAAAACAGTTGATTTTCTTATTCTTGTAGGAGGTTACATGTATACTTCAACATGTTTGCCCAACACAACAGAAGGAAATATTGCCCATCTTACTACCCTTCCGTTTGATGTGCAGTCATCCATACCAATGAAGGTGTATTTCTATTACCACATGAATGGACTCAACATGGGCACGTTCTTAGTTACTGTAAACCAACACAGTAATGTTCTCAACTCATCTATGGTATTTTCAATGGCTGGAAGTCAGAGTGATGAATGGTATTATTCTTGTGTGAATCTACCGTCTGGTAATACATCGGTAACATTTTCAGCTGTTTTGGGTGACGGATGTGATTCTGTGTTCGCCCTTGATGATGTTGTGATTTCGGAGGGAATGTGTAAAGGTAAGTGTCATATTTTCTGTGGCGAATAATTATTATATCAATATCAAAGTCTTAAACCATGAAAATGTATTTCCATATTTTGTTAAGTTTTCAAATTTTCATCTTTAATCTTTTCAATTCCACTGTCTTTTTTACTTTACTAACCTTACTACACTGCTAATTTTCGAAGTTCAAGTTTTAAAGAATCCAGGTATCTTTAGTATAAATAAAAATTGAAAAGTTCAGGATATAGTTAGGTATACTGTATTATGTCTATATCTATGATTATTTTAGTATATTTGAAACAGCCAGTAAAGAATGGTTACCTTTGCATGCTTTTGAATTTTGAGAAAAAAATGTGTGTACATGTATTGGAATATATTTGCAGAACAACTGAATGAAGTAACATGTAACTTTGAGGGGAATAACACTTGCCAGTACTCCTCCAATTGTACTATAGGGTCTAAATATCAATGGTCCAGACAACAAAGTAAGACTCCATCAGAAAACACAGGTCCGTATGGTGATGCTTACGGTAATCTTGGAGGTAATTTATACTTAATGTTGATACAAATGGGGATATATTTGCAAACAATTTTTTTTTTGTTCCTCCATGGTCCATTCTAAAAGCTTCTTTTTTCGACATTGTTTCTTTCATCACAACGCCAGTGTGACATGTGAGAAATAACTCCTAGAGAGAATAACTAAAACTACCAGCATGCAGTACATGAGGGGTCCTGATCCCGAAATCCTGGGCTTAAAAACATGGAATCCCGAGGTCCTGAATTTAAAACAATTTAAATCCTGACATCCCGAAATTCGAAAAAAGAATTCCCGGATCCCGAAAGGATCAATCCCGAAATCCCGAGCTTAAAAACGCCCGATCCTGGAGTCCCGATAAAGGTCCTATCCCCCCTCAGTACAGGTTTGCTCATGTATTCATATCATAATAAATACATTACATGTATGTTTCACGAAAATTCGTTAGTTTGATTGGCTGACAACAATCGCGCATCATGCATTAGAAAATTAACCTTAATATCAAAATGAAATGTTACACTCGTGATGACATGTGCTTCTACAAAAAAGTGCACAGGTAAATAAAATAAAAACTTGATAAAACTTTTTTTCATGGTCTTATTATCATAAAAATTTAATTATAAAAAATGAATGCTTCTTTTTGTAATTTTATTGGGGTGTGAAAGTGTTGATCGTGCACACTTTTTTAGAAGGAAGAGCTTCTGCGCTTCATACAAAATGTGCTTCTGTCAACTCTTTTACACCCCAATGAATTACAAAAAGAAGCATTCATTTCTTAAATGACTGTGCAACACTTACAGAATATAATGAAGTAAACAATAAAGAAATAAATGGTGCTAAACATTACACTAGCATTAGTTGCACTTAATGTCTCTAAATCCCAAAAATATAGGACACATATAGCAGGCTTCTACTCTCTCCAATGACATACAGAGAAATATTTACTGTGGATTCATTTATTTTCATGGGTACCAATTTAGTTTGGAAAAGACAAGTAAATGAAGTTTCTTTAGTGGGACAGGCTTGAAATTTTTACTTTTAACTATTCAGTACAGATTTAGTAGAAATGTATAAGCAGATAGTAAGTAAGTTTTTCATAGTTTATATGAGATATTCATACTTTTCATTTTTTTATCAGTCATAAATTACCAAGAGACATTATTGTAATTGTCATTATCATTCAAAGAGGGATAATTTCAAAATTTGTTTTACATTTACAGGACATTTTATGTATGTTGAGAGTTCCCATGGACAACCAGGCGATACAACCTACTTATCCTTCCCATCATTCACCAGTAATAATCCCAGTAGTTTATATTTCTCCTACCACATGTTGGGAGATGATATCGGCACTTTAGACATCCTGTCACATGACACTCGTACCTCCACTGAAACCCAGCTGTGGACAAAAACAGGGCAGCAGGATATGGCATGGATTAAAGGATGTGTCACCTTACCACCTGACACTGAACAAAATATTTATTTTGTGGCAACCAAAGCTTCGGGATTTAAAGGAGATATAGCAGTAGATAATATTTTTGTTATTGATGGTAGTTGCCCAGGTAATAAAATAAAGTTATTTTTCTATTAAATGTACTTACACTTTTGGAATTTTAGCTGAATTTGTTCTGAATGTCCCCAGATCTGTCTCCGGATATCCTAATCTGGCGTCACGCAACATCACTTTTTAATTATGAGATCAAATGTTTTAAATAGTGACGCAAAATTTAGCTGGAACTTGTTTGACTTTTAAGTAATTGCTGACTTTGCATATAAGTGTAAATACGTCTATTGTAAGGCAAATTATACTTTCAACATTTGATTAATTTTTTCTCTCTAATTATTAGTTGATTTATACTTTCCATGACTGGATGATTATATTTATTAATCAATGTGTGGTTTTTTGCTGAACTAGTATACATTTTTGTTTAGGGGCCAGCTGAAGCTCGCCTCTGGGTGTGGGATTTTCTTGCTGTGTTAAAGACCTTTTGTGGCCCTGGGCTGTTTTCTGCTTTTTGGTCGGGTTGTTGTCTCTTTGACACATTCCCTGTTTCCATTCTCTATTTTATTTGTTTGATTTCAGCTCTTCATTTTTTTAGCTCAGCTGGCCCATAGGGCCAAGTGAGCTTTTCTCATCACTTGGCGTCCGTCATTCCTCGTCCGTCGTTGTTAACTTTTACAAAAATCTTCTCCTCCGAAACTACTTGGCCAAATTTACCAAACTTGGGCACAACCATCATTGGGGTATCTAGTTTAAAAAATGTGTCCAACGACCCCGCCTACCAACCAACATGGCCGCCATGGCTAAAATTAGAACATAGGGGTAAAATGCAGTTTATGGCTTATATCTCTGAAACTAAAGCATTTGGAGTAAATCTGACATGGGGTAAATGTGTTCATCAGGTGTAGATCTATCAGCCTGGAAAATTTTCAGACAAATCAGACAACCCGTTGTTGGGTTGTGGCCCATGAATTTGTAATTTTAAGGACATTTTGCAGTTTTTGTTATTATCTTGAATATTATTATAGATAAGAGATAAACTGTAAACAGCAATAATGTTCAGCAAAGTAAGATCTACAAATAAGTCAACATGACCAAACTTGTCAATTAACCCCTGAAGGAGATATTGTCCTTTCGTCAATTTTCGAAATTTTTGTAATCTTTTACAAAAATCTTCTCCACTTAATCTACTGGGCCAAATAGAATTAAACTTAGCCACAATTTTCAATAGGGTATCTTGATTGAAAAATATATTCCCGATGACCCTGTCATCCAACCAACATGGCCACCATGGCTAAAAATAGAACATTGGGGGTTTACTGTAGAAGTCTAAGGGAAAATTGTAAAAAAAACAATTTCAAATGGTCACAACTTGAAAACTAATTTAAATAATGATAAGGGGTCTTCAGTAACTATAATGTAAGACTACAGTGGGATGACCTGCTTTTAATTTAACTACTGGGCCAAATTAAACCAAACTTGGCCTCAATCATTATTAGGGTATCTGATACTATTTATTATGATTTTAACCTTATTTTACATGATTTCCAAAAACACAGTAGATTCAGGTGATCGACACAGGCTCTTCAGGGCCTCTAGTTTTTACTTTCCTCTGACTTTGATAATTGTGAGGTCACAGAGAAAAAGAAGGAAAGCATGTCTGATGCCCTCACACAGAAAAAACATATTCATTTTAGCAGCATTTATGTTATTAAAATATTAACTTGATATGGTAACATTACCTATTTTATACTCACTGCCCAAATCAAAAATAAATCATGTGTAATTATTAGATTTTTCAGTACATATCTAACAAGTCCAATGAAGGAACCAGATTTGGATCATGTAGGTTGCACTTCTGTAAATATAGACAATGCAATTTCCCATTGGAACTCCTTTTACAGCTAAAACTTTTACTATGAATTTTTGCAGAATGAAAAGTTCATATGCACTACAATTTTTTTCAAAGGTCAAAACAGAGGGCTGTGTAGCATATTTTCAACATTTATATGCCCCAAAATTCTTAAAGTTTAAACTCATACTTAAATTCTGTACTACCCCTACTTTCACTTTGGTTTTCCTCAGAATTCAATTTGGCCGCTATCCATGTGAATTCATACTGGTAATATTCCCAAGTTATGTCTCCATGAGATGCAATATAAAGATCATATCTGGGAACAAGTACGTAAACAAAACAAAATATGTATGAATATTATATATCTCCTGAAAAGATGCGTGGTTTGTGAAACAGCTGTATTTACAAAGTGCAACCTGTAGAAGGGTAACAGGTAGTCAAGGCAGCAGGCAAGAACAATATCATTTAAAAAAAACAGAATAAATCCTGACCAAAAATGAAACTAATAAGAAAACAATTAAGTTTAACCTTTCTAAATGGTGCAGAGTGCTTCACAGTATCATGAATTATGTCAAAATGAAGCAATAATCTTGTTGGTTGCTTCTTGAATACCCATACTGTTATATTATTCCTTATCTTCCAAATTTGATATCTTCTCCTGTCCGGGACATGTTCCTAATTCTATATATCATTCTAGCCAATTGAACCATAGCCACACTTTAAGGCAATCAATCAGAACAGATATTTGTTAAGTAATCATTTCAAGATGACGTCAATATCAAATGAAACTAATAGCTTTGCACCATGATGCAAGCAATAAGGAGATGTGGTACTACTGTGGATTCATTATTATTCGTTGGATACCAATTTTCGTGGGTTTCGTGGGAAGAGGTGAACCACAAATTTAAATGTTCATCAAAAAACAAATTTCTATCAGGTTGTAATTTTTTTGCAGACTTTGGTAAAACCACTAAATCACTTATCCACGAAAAGGCAAAGTTTTCTTCCAATCCATGAAAAATTGGTACCCACGAAAATAGATGAATCCACAGCATTACCCATGAGACAACTAATTACCAGAGACCAAAAGATGCGGATTTACCGAAATTAAGATCACTTTACAGCCTTCAACAATGACCAAAACCCACACAATATAGAATGCTATAAAAGAAGCCAACATTACAAAATACAAAACAATTCAGAAGAGAAAACTTACAACCTGATTTATGCTGAAACAATAAACAAATCAAATATGACATACAGTAACCAATAACAATTACTGAATGACAGGCTCCTGACTTAGGACAGGCATACATATAAAGGAGGTGGGGTTAGCCCAACCATCACCTAACCTTGGACAGTGGTGCAAACAAAGATTAACAAATTTCTTTCCTTTTGAATCTTGGCGGAATATCTTTGATCCTTGATTTAAACTGACTTGAAGCTCGCTGTTTTATTTCTGTGTATTTATTTTTTTTATTTTGTAGAGACCAATGTGCCATGTGATTTTGAGGATAAGACTTTCCTATGTGGTTACAAAAATAACACAAATCTGTTAGAGGATGGTGGTTGGACATCTGTATCATATGATTCAGATAATATGGCTGTAGCAGCTAGTTCAAATGCTGGTATGTTATACTTATTGACAAGTTAAGTTGTGCAGGCCTTTGAAGAACTATCATTGTTTTATCTTCATTCTCTGCATTCTAAAGCCATAAATTGAACCATAAATTGAACAGGAAATATATGGATCAGTAGCATGCTGTCAGTTTGTAGCGAAAGTCATGGCCAATTCCTATTGGTAAAAAATAATTATAATAATAATCAAAATTGACAACAACACTTCAAATGGTCTGCAACTTTATTTACTATAGTCTACATGTTTCGCCTGCAAGGCAGGCGTCATCAGGACAATTTACATACAGAAATTATTTACTGAAGTACCCAAACTGGTATCTTGAATTTGACGTCACAATGTGTGTTGTCAAGGTGGGAGAAACAAGTGTTGCATTCATTTGCATTATTTGACAACCCGACATACCAAGGTATCCACTTCATGGGCTCTACCGAAAGGATTCACACAGGCGTTGGTTCACCAAACGGAGTTTAATTATAATAATAGTTCTCATGATCAAATATCAAGAAATGTCATCAAATATATATACTGGAAAATGAAAAATAGAACAATCACCCACTAAAATATCAAATTATGCCGCAAATTTTGATTCAGCAACTATTCCGCTAGTTGTAAAGCGATTTTTAAAAGCATTGCCTTTGTTTCTATGGTGACACTACTATATTTGTAATCTGGGTCAAGAGGTCATTATGCCAAACCTGTCAAAGTAGATTATTCTTCTGCTGTGTTAAATATCCTGTATAAGAATGAGGAGATTTTTCTTAGTTTAATGTATTTATAGAGTCAAAAGATTAAAACAACAATGGCTGATTAGTGAAGTTTTAAAAACATTGATTTGATTTATAGATGTAAATTGCATTGTTCAAAAGTTTAGATAAGTTGATTGCACAGCTTCAATTCACGAAAAACCATTGGAAGAGTCTTTTGTTGATGAAAAGTGTATCTGGCATGACAAATTATAAGTCTGGTATCTTTGATTTATGAAGAATTTATCATGGTTTTTTTGTGTTTTTTTTTTGTAGGAAGGTTTTTATATTGTGATTCAAATATGGCCCAAGACGGATGCAGTGTATTATCACCAACTTTATCGGTAACTGAGAAATCCTGTATAAGTTTTGATTACTATACAAAGTTTCTGACTGGATATAATGCTTCATTATCTATATATATGATGTCCTACCGTTTTGGAAATGTTCTCTGGACACCTACCTGGAGTATGAGAAGAGACTCAGGGGCTTGGAGTCTAGGACAGTTTAAATATATAGGAAATTTAACAGATGCCTCTCTAGTCATTGACATGCAACTTGGACAGGCTGGAATCGACAATGTCAATATTGTACCAGGAGATTGTCAAGAACTATGTAAGTGAACTTTTATTTTAACTAGATTCACTTCAATATTAATGATAGTTCTGTATACAAAACTTCCCAGACAATGGCATTTAGATTTGCCCTGCCCTGCCTACGATTGAAGAGGGCCATTATGTTTTCTAGTCTGTTCATCTGCTCATTTCTTTCCATGCATCTGTTCACTGTTCATCCATTTGTCATCAGGTGAAAGTTTTTGTCGAGCCTGCAACTTTTGTCGCAGAAAGCTTGACATAGGGATAGTGATCCGGCTGCGGTGGCGTTAACTAACTTCTTAAAAGCTTAATATTTCAGAAGGTAGCTATAGAAGAGCTGGATGCTTCATACTTTGTATATAGATGCCTTATGATATGAAGTTTCTGTCTGTCATATGTCCATTGTCCTTGACCTCATTTTCATGGTTCAGTGACTACTTGAAAAAAAAGTGAATATTTTTTGTAATGTTAATTTCTCTCTTATTGTAAGTAATAGGATAACTATATTTGGTATGTGCGTACCTTGCAAGGTCCTCATGCCTGTCAGACAGTTTTCACTTGACCTCGACCTCATTTCATGGATCAGTGAACAAGGTTAAGTTTTCGTGGTCAAGTCCATATCTCAGATACTATAAGCAATAGGTCTACTATATTTGGTGTATGTAATGATTGTAAGGTGTACATGTCCAACTAGCAGGTGTCATCTGACCTTGACCTCATTTTCATGATTCAGTGGTCATAGTTTAGTTTTTGTGTTTTGGTCTATTTCTAATACTGTATGCAATAGGTCAACTATATTTGGTGTATGGAAATAGTTTACGATGTACATGTCAGTCTGGCAGGTTTTATTTGACCTTGATCTCATTTTCATGGTTCATTGCTCAATGTTAAGTTTTTGTGTTTTGGTCTGTTTTTCTAATACTGTATGCAGTAGGTCAACTATATTTGGTGTATGTTAATATTTTACGATGTACATGTCAGTCTGGCAGGTTTTATTTGACCTTGACCTCATTTTCACGGCTCATTGCTCAATGTTAAGTTTTTGTGTTTTGGTCTGTTTTTCTAATACTCTATGCAGTAGGTCAACTATATTTGGTGTATGTTAATATTTTACGATGTACATGTCAGTCTGGCAGGTTTTATTTGACCTTGACCTCATTTTCATGGTTCATTGCTTATGTTAAGTTTTATGTTTTGGTCTGTTTTTCTTAAACTTTAAGCAATAGGTCAACTATATTTGATGTATGGAATGATTGTAAGGTGTATATGTCTGTCTGGCAGGTATCATCTGACCTTCACCTCATTTTCATGGTTGATTGGTCAATGTTCAGTTTTCCTGGTTAACTTTTTTTTTAGATATCTTAAGTAATAGGTCAACTATATTTGATGCATGGAATGATTTTAAGGTGTACATGTCTGTCTGGCAGGATTCATGTGACCTTGACTTCATTTTCATGGTTCATTGGTCAGTATAGAATTTCAATGGTTTGGTCTGTTTCTTTTATACTATAAGCAAAGGTCATCTATATTCTGTGTATGGAATGATTGTATTAAAGGTGTACATGTATTTCCAGCTTGGTTTATCTGACCTTGATCTCATTTTCTTGGATCATAAATGTTAATGTGATACTTGTAGTAAAACTTTATATGTAGGACTATCAACATAAAATCAATGGTCAGTATAGTAGGCGAGACATTTCAGCGTGTGCAATTTTGTTGGATTAGGTATTAAAATAAGAAGATGGTGTATGATTGCCAATGAGACAACTCTCCTGCAGAGACCAAATGGTGTAGAAGTAAGCAACCATAGGTCACAGTAATGCCTTCAACAAAGACCAAATCCAATATTGCATGGCAAGCTATAAATGGCCCCGAAATGACAAATGTAAAACAATTCAAACAAGAAACTAACAGCTGGATTTATGTACAAAATAATAAGGAAAAACAAATATGATATACAGCAACAAACAGCATCCTTTGAAATACAGGCTCCTGACTTTGGACAGGCACATACAGAATGTGGTGGAGTTAAACATGTTTGCAGGCACCCAACCTTCCCCCTAACCTGGGCCAGTGATGGAACAGCACAACATAAGAACAAACTATAAGAAATAGTTGAAAAGGGCTGAACTCCTGAGATCGATACAAAGCTCAAAAAACAAAAAGACACAAAGCATAGATCTGAGAGTACTCGCAGTTAGTTCAAAGTCAAAAATAAATAAAAGGTCATGTATCTGACTAAAATATGTAGTTGATCACCATTGTCTGTTGCCTGCTTAACGTCCAGTGACATGTTAATCATAAAGTTGTGGTCACATCACATTCGAACTAAGTACACATGTTTATTATTATGTGGACTTCTGAAAATATATTTCAAAATAAAGTTTTCACTCCTTTTCATAGTTCATCAGGATTGTAATGAATCAGGGTAAATTTTTTGGTTAAGTTAGTAACTTAGTTAGTTGTGGTCACATTACATTGAAACAGAATGCATGTTCACTGTTATGTGTTTTGATTGTTCATGTGATAGTGAGAGCAGGGCGTGGTGTTCAATGGACACATATTCATGTTTTATTTTTGCTGTAGGGATAAATCATTTTACCAATTGTTTAGTTTGGTTGAATGATAAATATTTCATAGAAATACATACAGAGTTACAGATTTGGCTCCAAGAATCATGTCATCATGGTGTTTTTTAACTTCTATGATGTCATAACTAGTCAAACTTCTATGATGTCATCACTTCACCTAGGGGCCTTGGTTGCCAGGTGGTCTAAGTAGTTCAACTGTCAACACTGAGGTTGTGAGTTATAACCCCACATGTGATAGGTGTGTTTGACTCCAATCTTAATTGACTAGGATTGTCTCTTTTCCTGCTGAAGGTCGGTGTTTGTCTCTGGGCACTCTGGCTTCCTCCATAAAAAAACTGACCTTTACGAAATAGTTAATGGAGCTGAAAGTGGCATTAAACACCAATCAATGACAACTATAATTACAAATAAATATATAGAATAAAAAACATCTTGATTATATACAATAATGAAGAAAATACGAAATTAAAAAAAAAAATTAAAAAAGATTAAAAAATTTTGTTTTTAAATCTAAAACCGTCTGTAGTTGTGTATAATACGCATCCCATCTACCAACTACATTTTTTGGGTAGAAAAGTGTGTATTATACACAACAAATTATGGTACACTTAATTAATGAATGTTTTTGTTCAGTATGTATTGGTTTTTTTTCATTTTCACTTATTATAAGATTAGTTTACATACGGCTACTGAAGTATTACCAATGCTTTATCATTAGAATGTCCAGGAAAGTTTTGTTAGAATGTTAAAATAATAATTAATTTATTGATATAGAATCCAATATAGAATTGTGAGACGCAACACTACGAAACACAACAAAAACATTTGGATACACAGAAATAATGTCAAATCTTGGAGAATAAGCCTAAATATATTAAAAATGAAACACCACTTAAATATACAGTCTGACCACAGCTAAGGGGGTTGGCTGCTCCATATAACTGGAAAATAGTTATATAAAATCATGTTGATATAACTATACTTAAGTATCTTTTTTATAGTATTATATATTATATATAAGAAAGCATATTTCACTAATTATTGCCTCTTTTTCCGTTCTTATATGTACAAATGATACTTTGTTTTCCAGCTTGTCCAGGACAGTTTAGTTGTGGTGACTATTGTATAGATCTGAGTACAGTTTGTGATCTCAATTTTGACTGTGACGATCATTCAGATGAGACAACATTGTGTGGTATGCTGTTTATTTAGATTCAATTAAAAAAATTTATAGATAGGTTTCGATTGATGCATTTTGATCAAATGTTATGTCCCTTTTGTCACCATGTTGGAGATCTAAGAAAGAGCACATCAATTTTCAGAGTATTGAAAAAGATTGATACAGTTTACCTAAAAATCATTTAAAATCATTAAAGAAACAGATTCCACCACTGAATTTCGTGGAATACAATATTGCTCCAGTCTGGACAGTTTAATTAAAATATTTGAAAATTTAACTGTCTCAAGGGAGTAATATTGTATCACTCTCAATACTGTGGTAAAATATTTCTCTTATTCTTTGGCAATTTATCCCTTTCTGTACCCATTGTATAAAAAAATTTAATCAACATATGGTTGCCGATGAATTCAGAAGATGATTGGCTGATTTTAAGGGTCATAACTTTTATCAGCTCACTGGATTAATAGAAATTTGCTAACAGGTGTTCTTTGTGGAATATTGAAGGCACTTGAAGGGGTTTTTCGTTAACAAAAATTAAAGTTTATTTGATAATCATTAGAGAAACAGATTTTTACATAGTTACTCTTGGATTATCCAGTTTATACAATCTCGATAATTAAATTATCAATTTGAAAGTCCTTGCCGAGGCTCGGACTTACAAATGTTAGAATCTATATATATATTATCAGTTTAGAAAATAATTTATATAGTACTTAAAAATATTAATGCTATTAAAGTTAGAAACAAATTTAGTGGAAGTTGAAGATGCAAGCACAATAATAATAATATAATATTGTTTACTTATTTAGTTATTATTCTCAGAAATAATGAAATTATGATATTCTAAGTATTGGCAATATAAGACATGTAATATATGGATTATGCATGGCTTTAGTCAATGAATAAAAATCGATCTGTAGAAAGCCGAGTTTCTGAAATTTCTGCCAAAATAAATGTATTCCTCAAGAAACTGTCTTTTTCATTACAGATAGAACCATAAGTTGTGACTTTGAAGACAAGTTCCGGTGTGGATATTACAGTAGTAATAATGTAATGGAGTCAAAGCAAGTTATCTATCAAGAATGGATATATGATCATACTTATGGCAATAAAGCAGGTGAGAGAGGGGAAATAATTACAGTAGTAATAATGTAATGGAGTCTAAACAAGTTATCTATCAAGAATGGATATATGATCATACTTATGGCAATGAAGCAGGTGAGAGAGGGGAGATAATTACAGTAGTAATAATGTAATGGAGTCAAAACAAGTTATCTATCAAGAATGGATCTATGATCATACTTATGGCAATAACACAGGTAAGAGAGGGGAGATAATTACAGTAGTAATAATGTAATGGAGTCAAAACACTTAGTTATCTATCAAGAATGGATCTATGATCATACTAGACTAATGCTTTTAGAAAAACCATTCAGAGGAGTAAAAACATAAATACTCATTTAAAACCATAGATCTTCCAATTTTAAAGTGCACAAATGCAATGTTTATGTATGCATTAGGTCCTCTTGTGCTAAAAATTCCCCATGGAGATTTTGAAAAAGGTATGGTTTATTAGAAACTGTAAAATAAATAACTTAAAGAAATTAAACAATTAAAAACTACCAAATATGCATCGTTATTTTTTAAAAGTTACAATTTTATCATTTAAATTTCATTTGATATAAACGAAAGGGGATGTGGGGTATGTATAGAATGAGACAGTAACCCAACCACACAAACACATCAAAAGACATCTAGGGATCAACATGAAGTCTTCAACAATAGACAGGTGTCTAAAAAAATAAAGAATAGAGAATAATGGGCAAAAAGTATAAAGAATAATGGCCTAAAAAAATTATAGAATACAGAAATGAAGAACCCCCCATCCAGACTTTCATACATTGAACTTTCAATCATTTTTTTTAATTTTCAGGGACATTTTATGGAATGGTCAGTTATACTGCCAGCAATTTCAGCTTCAACTCTCCAGCAGAAAAGGTTACAGTCTCCTCATGTCTATCACTGTATTATATAGGTCATGCACATTTATTTGGGTTTGAGGTCAAATACCTTGACCTTGGTGTCATATCCTCAAATAGAACATCAAACAGCACAATGTTTGGTGATGCTACCTTGCCAACTTTGTCCAATATTTGGAAACCAGCTCAGGTAAGCTTCCTTGGATAATGTGATCCATAGTTGAAAACATTTTTTGTTAGAATATCTGGAAAAAAGATTAATATGGAGAAAAAGAAGTTTTCAAGTTTTTAATTACAATTAACTACTTTAAAACAGGAATATTATTATGATAAATTTCCTTTTAAAGAGATGAATAGAATTTCATTAGACAAAATCACTTCAAATATATTTTGAAGGAAATAAAACCCTAGAGAGATTTTAGGATCAGTAAATTTGAAACATGCTAGGTTGATTAACATTAACAAAGTAATGCATCAAACTCCAATAATTTATTGTACATTCTACAAAAGTTTTAAAATGAAATGAGTTCAATTGTTTAAAAAAAATCTGTAAGTGGTCTTATACTTGTGTTTGATTTTTATGATAACCCACAATATCTTGTTTTTCATAATATATGTGTAACAACCTATTATATATACTTCAGGTAGATCTCCCCTTATATGGCAAAGTTGAAAAAATTGAACAAAATAAAAAATATTCTACTCTTGCTAAAAACAGTAAAAAAAAAAACGATCAAACACGTCATTTTTATCATTCAGATAAAAGTTTTACAAATGAATTGCATTCTTCTCTTGAAATTTGCACATTTCATTAAAAATCTTGACTGGTTGTTTTCAGCTATTTATCAATCCAAGATGGCGGAAGACACCTAATCTACCTTAAGTGTTATTACTATACATATTTTTGGTCAATCAAATGTTTACTTTTTATTTTATTTTCAGATGGCTATTGAACCAGGAAGGATTGAAATCAACTTTTATGTATATGATTATGTCAACGATGTGAAATACTTTGGAATAGATGATGTTAATATAACCCCTGGAGATTGTCCTCCATTGGGTAAGTTTACTTTAACCCCTGGAGATTGTCCTCCATTGGGTAAGTTTGGAATAGATGATGTTAATATAACCCCTGGAGATTGTCCTCCATTGGGTAAGTTTGGAATAGATGATGTTAATATAACACCTGGAGATTGTCCTCCATTGTGTAAGTTTGGAATAGATGATGTTACTATAACCCCTGGAGATTGTCCTCCATTGGGTAAGTTTGGAATAGATGACGTTGATATAACCCCTGGAGATTGTCCTCAATTGGGTAAGTTTGGAATAGATGATGTAACTTTAACCCCTGGAGATTGTCCTCCATTAGGTAAGTTTGGAATAGATGATGTTGATATAACCCCTGGAGATTGTCCTCCATTTGGGTAAGTTTGGAATAGATGATGTAACTTTAATCCCTGGAGATTGTCCTCCATTGGGTAAGTTTGGAATAGATGATGTTACTATAACCCCTGGAGATTGTCCTCCATTAGGTAAGTTTGTAATAGATGATTTTACTATAACTCCTGGAGATTGTCCTACATTGGGTAAGTTTGTAATAGATGATGTTACTACAACCCCTGGAGATTGTCCTCCATTGGGTTAATTTGGAATAGACAATGTTACTATAACCCCTGGAGATTGTCCTACATTGGGTAAGTTTGTAATAGAGGATGTTACTATAACCCCTGAAGATTGTCCTACATTGGGTAAGTTTGTAATAAAGGATGTTGCTATAACCCCTGGAGATTGTCCTCCATTGGGTAAGTTTGTAATAGAGGATGTTACTATAACCCCTGGAGATTGTCCTACATTGGGTAAGTTTGTAATAAAGGATGTTGCTATAACCCCTGGAGATTGTCCTCAATAGGGTAAGTTTGTAATAGAGGGTGTTACTATAACCCCTGGAGATTGTCCTACATTGGGTAAGTTTGTAATAAAGGATGTTATTATAACCCCTGGATATTGTCCTCCATTGGGTAAGTTTGGAATAGATAATTATACATTGGCCTCTGTTTAGTATTGACATTGACCTCTTTATTATGATGACATTGACTTCTGTTTAGTGATGACATTGACCTCTGTTTAGTGTTGACATTGACCTCTGTATTATGATGTCACTGACATCTGCATAGTGATGACATTGACCTCTGTTTATAGTGTTGACATTGACCTCTGTATTATGATGACATTGACTTCTTTATAGTGATGACATTGACCTCTGTTTAGCGTTGACATTGACCTCTGTATTATGATGACATTGACTTCTGTATAGTTTTGTCATTAGCCTCTTCATTGTTGATAAAGAGAAAATTACATCCACTATTTATGTCATTTATAAGCTGTATATGATTTTATTAATAATTTGATTGTTTATAAATAGCTTTAAAAAGCAGTTGCTTAATTTTATCTTGTGGAAAGATGAATTTATTGCTCTCTCTTTCATTACAGTTTGTCCAACTGGTCTGGGTCCCTGCCATAAAGATGGTATATGTATCAAGGATAAGATAGAATGCGATAAGATTTCCCAGTGTCCCTCTGGTGAAGATGAAGCAGACTGTCGTAAGTTCATATAAATTCGTTTTTTGCATACCACTTTTACCTACTGTAAATTCAGAAAATCTTTGTGAGGTTTTTATTAATGGGAATAATGCGACTTGAGGAGTATCTCAATAATAAGAACTCACATTCTGATATCTGATATATATATCTATATGCAGATTTTCCTGATATTGAATAATTAATCTCGCATTTTTGTCCACTCTTCAAAAATTGCAATAATAACTGCACATAATAATTTCTGAATTTACAGTACCTTATGCTGAATTTTTGGACTATAAAGGAGCATATGATTTCCTGCAAATTGTATATTTGATAATACCATGGTAATAATATATAGGCTGTGTCCTCTTTCTCTGTATGAAATATCTGCCTCGTAATATTTATCAAGTTGACACTTATAACATAGATTGTCATGGTAACAAAGATTTATGCTATATACCATTTCAGCCATTAGCATAAGCTGTGACTTTGAACAGCATTATGGATGTGGATATTTGTTTGGAAGCTATATTTGGAGAGATGCTTTTGTTCACTATTTGCCAGCAGTTGATCACACCATGGGGGCTGATAATCATTCAGGTGACAAAATATAGTTAACATTTGTTTGTTTAGTAATATAATATAATCTGTGTTTTCATAAATTTTTCTTTGATCATTTTGTAAATAATTTTCCTTTTCATGCTACACGACAGAGAATGGATTATACCAATTAAGTAGAAAGAGAACATGAGGATGTCATACACTTTATCGCTATTGTCCGCCATTACTGGACATCACAAAGTTTCCTGTAAAATTTTGACGTCATAATAGAAAATATTTGACGCCACAGTGGAAAAGTGATTGTTGTTTGACGTCAAAAGTTCAAGAGGCACAGATTCTCGGGTCAAGCAGTGCAGATTTCCAAATATTGATAAGGTCTATTGATGTTGCCTATAGGAAGATAGTGGTAAATAGATTATCTATGGCTTTTCAACTCTTTGAAGGTTCTTGTCTACATCTCATCACAGGGCTGTCACCCTTTGATGAGATTGAGATGAGAAACTCCACTTATCTCAGGGTTGTCACCCTTTGATGAGATTGAGATGAGAAACTCCACTTATCTCAGGGCTGTCACCCTTTGATGAGATTGTAGCTGAGAAAAACCACTTATCTTAAGGCTGTCACCCTTTGATGAGATTGCAGCTGAGAAATCAACTTATCTCAGAGCTGTCACCCTTTGAAAAGATTGTAGCTGAGAAAAACCACCTACCCCAGGGCTGTCACCCGTTGATGAGATTGAGATGAGAAACTCCACTTATCTCAGGGCTGTCACCCTTTGATGAGATTGTAGCTGAGAAAAACCACTTATCTTAAGGCTGTCACCCTTTGATGAGATTGCAGCTGAGAAATCAACTTATCTCAGAGCTGTCACCCTTTGAAAAGATTGTAGCTGAGAAAAACCACCTACCCCAGGGCTGTCACCCTTTGATGAGATTGAGATGAGAAACTCCACTTATCTCAGGACTGCCACCCTTTGATGAGATTGTAGCTGAGAAAAACCACTTATCTCAGGGCTGTCACCCTTTGATGAGATTGTAGCTGAGAAACTCAACTTATCTCAGAGCTGTCACCCTTTGAAAAGATTGTAGCTGAGAAAAACCACTTATCTTAGGGCTGTCACCCTTTGATGAGATTGTAGCTGAGAAACTCAACTTATCTCAGAGCTGTCACCCTTTGAAAAGATTGTAGCTGAGAAAAACCACTTATCTCAGGGCTGTCATTCTTTGATGAGATTGAGATGAGAAACTCCACTTATCTCAGGGCTGTCACCCTTTGATGAGATTGTAGCTGAGAAAAACCACTTATCTCAGGGCTGTCACCCTTTGATGAGATTGTAGCTGAGAAAAACCACTTATCTCAGGGCTGTCACCCTTTGATGAGATTGAGATGAGAAACTCCATTTATATCAGGGCTGTCACCCTTTGATGAGATTGAGATGAGAAACTCCACTTGTTTGAAAAACCATAGATAAACTGTTTACTGCTATATTCCTAGGCAATATTTACAGGTTAAACATATCAAAGCTTATTTTGTGAGTTCCGGCTATTAAAAAAACCGGATGTACTATCAGAGAAGTTCCAGAGAAAACTGTGTCTTCCCTTTTGGGATTTTTTATACATAGATGATATTAAGGCAAGAAAATATATATTAATTTGTACCATTTCTCGTAAATCCTTTATTTATTATGTAAATTGTTGGTGATTGGTAATTTTGAAAAATCAATGATAAAAAGGTAATGGGTTATTCTATTTAAACATAATGCAGAACAACACATATTTATGCTTGATATATGTGTTACTTGTTCACATATCTTTTCAGCTTAATTAGATGAATATAAGTAAGGTTTATTTTGAAATCAATCTAAGATTGTGATTACATTTAGAGTTAACTCCCTTGCAGTATATTATAAGATTGAATAAAATGAAGGCAACACCTAACATAGAGTATTTTTAAAATGATATATAATACTTTTGTTTATTTGAGGTCACTGTGTCGGAAGATCAATGTCATAATTTTTGCAAAATATGGTTTCTGGATGCTAAATCAAACACTACATATGGGATTGCAACCATACTTGATGTATATTGTCACATATGATGAGAGGAAGACCCCTATTGATTTTGGAAATACAGTAAAATCTTTTTAAGTGAAAACCTGTCTTGCCATGCCACCTTTTTCTTTTCCTGCTGTTGTGATACCTATGTATTTTCAACCTGAATTCAAAGATCACCCTTTTAATACGCTCACATTTGTTTGGTCCTGACGGTGACCGTAATATAAGAGTTTGAGTGTATTATGAAATCATTTGACTTAGAGCGTGTCAATGGTTGTGATATGACAAATGTTTATGACTTTTTCAGGTCACTACATGTTTTACACATATGACACCACAAGAACAGCAACTTTGACCTCTCCCCCTTATCTGACAACACCCGGAGGATGTGTTAAATTCTATTACAACATGGAAGGAGGCGTGTCAGCAGAACTGAAAGTTTATACAAAAAAATATGGAACAAAGCAATTGGTGTTTTATGCCAATGGAATCTATGTGGAGACTGATGAATGGTTGGAAGGATCTTTTGAACTTCCTGCAGGGGAGACAACTATTGAGTTTGTTGCCTATGGTGACACTTCCTTTTTGACACCTGCCATTGTTGCTATTGATGATGTAACCTTGATAGAAGGACAGAGTTGTTCAATTCCTAGTAAGTACAGATTACATATTTTATTGAGTTTCAGATTCACATGTGTTTGTTATGATCAACCATTTGCAAAATCGTCAAATGTATACCAGTGTTCACAGGTTTGGTTTAATTTTTGAAAACTTTTTACCCTTTGGGGTTACTGCACATGTTTCACACTATAAATGCATTTGAAGTCCAAACAAAATTTAACCCTGTTGCATTTTAAATCATCAAATCTGATTGTTTAATGTATAAGGAATCCTACCAAATTACTCTAGGAGATCTTATAGTTATTTTGCCAAGATTGTATTTCAGTATAAGAAATCATTTCATAACCTGTGCTTAATCTCGAATATATGTATATATCCCGCTGCAAATGTTTGCACCTGTCCTAAGTCAGGAATCTAATTACAGTAGTTGTCGTCTGTGTTTTACGTGTTTCTCGTTTCTCATTTTTATATAGATTAGACCGTTGGTTTTTCCGTTTGAATGTTTTACACTAGTAATTTTTTGGGGCCCTTTATAGCTTGCTGTTCGGTGTGAGCCAATGCTCCGTGTTGAAGGCCGTACCTTGACCTATAATGGTTTACTTTTATAAATTGTAACTTGGATGGAGAGTTGTCTCATTGGCACTCATACCACATCTTCCTATATCTATATAGAGTTATATATAATTTTCATGAAGATTTCAATTTTTTTTAATTAATAGGCAAAATCATGAAATTTTATATTACATATTATCTTATTGAGAATATTGTCTCATTTGATGAAAGCTCTGTGTTAAAAGAAGACCTAAGATTTTCGACAAAATAAACTTGAACTAAACAATAAGTGAATCAAGTTGAATGGGAGATAATCCAGTTTATTTGCTTCTTTTCTCTAAAACCACAACTAAAAGTCCATGCTTTAAAACAAAAGTTAAAATCAATGAAAATATGCATTTTGAAAGTGGTGATGCATTACATTCACCTTCTGGGGAATAGGGGAGGCACTGGGTATTTTTCTGAGGACAAACAATCTTTTTCAATTCTAATAAAAAAAAAATGTTTTTTTTTTTTCAATAACATACAGACATAAGAAAGTTTTTTGAAACTCAATGTTGTATAAACTAAAGACTTGAAATTAGTAATTAGCTGATCCTCCCACAGGCACAGGGCAATTAGGAGTAAGAGCAAAGACTGGTTGGCTTGGATAATTAAAGATACCTATTGTATTCATATATTCTTGTTTCGATGATAGAGCAGGGATATATACAATCTTGACAAATGGTTCTTAAAAAGGCTATTGTAATTGAAAAATATTATCTATGATGGCATTGAATATGATAAATGTGTTTTATATTAATTTTAGGCTGTGAAGACAGTATAAATACATTTTCATGTAAGAGTTCAGGAGTATGTATCCCAGAGTTCCTTGTCAGAGATGGCTACCAGGATTGTTTGGATGGATCTGATGAAGGTTAATTTATTTTTTAAATCAATTTAATTATATACATATTCAATTTTTACAAAAGAGGGGAGAAAGATACCAGAGGGACATTCAAACTCATAGATTGAAAATAAACTGACAACGCCATGGCTAAAAAAGAAAAAGACAGACAGACAAATAATAGTACACAAGACACAACATAGAAAACTAAAGACTAAGCAACACGAACCTACAAGTTGAGAGGTTAGAAAATCTTGTATTTTATTTCATTGTTATTACATTATTTATATAAAATATATTAGCAGATATAATACTCCTAAAACAGGTATACTGGTCTGCGTCTTTCTTTCATCTTTCATTTTGTCTCTCCTTCCATCACTCCTTTTAAGCATATAATTTTCAGCAAATGTACTTCACAAAGATTTGACCTTTGACATATAGAAATTTAAAGATAAATTGTAAGGATATTAGAGACAGGAAATATTGGTTTTATTTTAGCAGGTTTTTCATCATGAATTAGAATTTTAATAAAACAGCACATTATCCTGAAGAAAAGTGGTATTTACCGCGCTAAATGTCACATATGCTTTTACATGTATACTTATGGTAAAATATTTGATGAACAATTGATTTTTGGTAAATAATTGTCCATGAATGCACTTTTATCTCTTGGAATATATAATAAAACAATTACTGTCTTTCGGTAAATATATTGACCTCAGTGAATATTATCTGCTTTTTATTTTAAAGTCAATAAAACCACATCAAAAGACAGTAATTTTGATAAATATTTTTTGTTGACCGACAGGTTCTAAAGGTTTTTTTGGACCTGAGTGGACTTTTGGTCCAGTAATTGTTCAATCATTACTGGTCCAGTCAGTGTTTTAGCTGTCTTTTACATTATGAGTATTACAGAATTTTAACATCTACACAGGTCATTTAGTCCAGTAATTGATGACATTTTACTGGACCAAACCATTTATTATTGGACATTGCCACATGTCTGATGGACCTTGGGAATGATTGTTGGCCTAATTATATCTCCTTATGTTTACTCTGTGCCATATTGTATCTCTTGTACATATATATATATATATATATATATATATATATATATATATATATATATTCATTATACATAATACTTTATGTCTGTTATTGTTTATTTGAAATCTATGGTGCTTAATTTTTTGGTTTTCTTCTTTTATATACAGTCAAACCTGCTTGAGACCACCTGTATTAAGCAAAAACCTGTGTTAAAAGAACATCAATTTTAGATTCCTCTGTAGTACATTTCATATAAATTGAACCTGTATTAAAAGACCACCTGTCTTAAGAGACCACTTTTTTGCTCTCTCTTAAGTGGTCTCTTAAAACAGGTTTGACTAATTACCTGGTTTTCTTTTATTCTATACAATATAAGTTCATGGCAAGGTGGTTTTCAACTCTGATCTTAATTTACTAAGATTGACAGATTTCCTGTCGACTATTGATGGATCTCTCTGCAGGGCAGTCCGTCTACTTCCATCAATAAAAACTTGCCACCATTAAAAAGCTGAGTGTGCTGTAAGTGACTTTAAACAACCAATCAATCAATGCTTTTTCTTTGCTTTGCATATGTATAAATACTGTGAAATCAACTTAGTTATTTATTTTTTTATTTTAGCTTTGAAAACTGACACAGGTGACAGCAGTTCAAACTCCACAAACTCTGCAAGTAAGTCAGTCTTAAAATATTTTTTAAATATTAGAAAAAAAATTTAGAAAAATCATGTGAAGACTACTTAACTTTTGTTATAAAATAATGTTTTTATGGTCCTCATTTTTAAACAAAAAACAGGGCACTCCCACAATTGCCAGAATTATTTCTGTATTCTGATCAATTTCGAAATTGCTATGAAAATTCACAGAAAATCATGTACCGGGATGGCTAAATGTTCAGCCTTAAAGGATAATTGATAGGTCAGAAGGGATAAAAAGTGTCCCTTGTTTTTTATCCCCCGCAACTGAAAGTTGGGGGGCATATTGTTTTACCCCTGTCCGTCAGTCTGTCCCATTATTGGTTTATAGCTATTCTAGATGACTCCTCCTACAGTTTGAATGCTAGGAAGTTTTCACTTTGCTATCTGTTTGTACATATATTGATGGTGTGCATGTGGTCAGGGTTTAATTTTTATCAGTATTTGCTCTTTTGTGAGTTAGTTGAACTTTGTCATTTTTTGGATTATTTACTTGCATGGTGTTTCTAGATTACTCCTCCTACAGTTTGAATGCTAGGAAGTTTTCACTTTGCTGGCTGTTTGTACATATATTGAAGATGTGCATGTGGTCAGAATTTTGATTTTTAAGAGCAATTTATTTTTGCAACTTTCAAGAGCAGAATAATGATACAAATATCAATCATCACAAAATTGTCAAACTTGGATCCACCCTTATATATTTGTAAAGACAGTAAGATAATCCCGAAAATAGCTGTATATCATATTTGTTTTTCATTCATTGTTTATTTTACATAAATCAGGTCGTTAGTTTTCACGTTAGAATTGTTTTACATTTGTCATTTCGGGACCTTTTTCAAACTGACTATACAATATGGGTTTTGCTCATTGTTGAAGGCCGTACGATGACCTATAGTTGTTAAGGTCTATGTCATTTGGTCTCTGGTGGAAAGTTGTCTCATTGGCAATCATACCACATCTTATTTTTATATAACATTAAAGAGTTCTACATGGAAGGGAGATAGTTTTTGTCATCAATTTCCCACACTGAAAGTAGCATCAGTGCATAGGTATCCATTTATTCTTTATTTTCTTCTTGAGAACTTCCACTTGAAAGCTTCCTTGCAGAGGATATGCAAATCATTGAAGAGTTCTAATTGAAAGAGATATAGTTTGATTTGTTTAATCAGACCCCCCTCCCCCCAAAGTGGCATGGAAAGGACTTAACATCAAAAAAAGGATCCACAAAAATAATTTGATTAACAGTATATATTGGTAAGTGGTCAATCTCTTTATGGCCGCTAGTTTCAATAGCCTTTGGACTGACCAGTTGAAAGAAAATATGGATTGACAAGCTATTTTGGTTTGAATTGAAGAATCAAATTTCAAATAATATAGAATTATTTTATTTTATAGATGTGTTGAGTGCATGTACATTTGAAATAGCAACAGAACCATTTTGTCTTTTCTACAATTACCAGAGTCAAGACAATGCTGACTGGATAAGACATCTAGTATGTACATTTGTTAACTTAAATGTTGATTCATTATTAATCGCAGGTTACTTTTTTTTTTGCCTATGATCATAAATGGTCAGTTTTACCTTGTTTTACCAGTTATCTTAGAAATTGTGATCACAGCAACTTGAAATGTAGGATTTCTGCTCACTATGATTTATACTTTTTAAAATATATACAAAATTAGCGTTTTAACCCAAATTACATAGTTCTCTGAAAATGGAAATTTAAAAGTGGGAGTGAGGCATTGTGTCTTGTAGAAACTTCTTTCTTACAGAAAATATTAATTAAAAACATATTTGAGTATTTCCTGAGTGGTTAAATGCATGACATTCTTCATTTGAAAGACATAATGAAAATAAAATACAGTCAATATTTCAAACTGGGATCCTTTATAACATGAGTATGTAAACAAAGTCTAAAAAATATATTCAATTAAAATTAATGGAAAAGTTGGCTAAAAATGCAAAAAAAAATGTTTCCCAAAATGAAGTGCATTTACAAATATAAACTTTTGACATTTTAGAGAGAAGATGATTATATAACCATCAATTTATAGATATAGGAAGATGTGGTATGAGTGCCAATGAGACAACTCTCCATCCAAGTAACAATTTATAAAAGTAAACCATTATAGGTCAAGGTACGGCCTTCAACACGGAGCCTTGGCTCACACTGAACAGCAAGTTATAAAGGGCCCCAAAAATTACTAGTGTAAAACTATTCAAACGGGAAAACCAGCGGTCTTATCTATATAAAAACGAGAAACACGTATGAACTACATAAACCGACGACAACTACTGTACATCAGATTCCTGACTAAGGACAGGTGCAAACATTTGCAGCGGGATTAAACATTTTAATGTTACCAAACTTTCTCCCTTTTCTGAAACAATAGTATAACATCACAACATAGAAAGACATACTATAAAATATCAATTGGAAGGCTTAATGTTTAGTTTTGTATGCATGACCCTATGCCTATAAGGCCTAATCGTTATCGGAAATATATGTTTGCTTAACAGGAAGGAACACCTTCAACAGACACAGGACCAGATAGTGCTGCCATAGGCAGTTACTACATGTATATAGAGACAACTGACATGGCAACAGGGGAGTATGCCAGCTTGACCTCAAGTCTTCTACATCCTAGTAAGTTCATTACATTTCAGCTGCGTCAGATAGAAATCAACCTTTTGCAAATGAATATCAATACATCTGATAACCTATTTCGGATTGAAAAAATCTCTATGGAAAGTCTGTAACTATATGAAAATTGAGCTGTTATAAGAAAATCTACAAAACAGACCAAAATTCATCTTTTATTCCATATTTGAATGTTCCAAATTCAATCAAAGTCTTATACATAAAATTGAGAATGGAAATGGGGAATGACTGTCAAAGAGACAACAACCCGACCATAGAACAGACAACAGCAGAAGGTCACCAACAGGTCTTCAATGCAGCGAGAAATTCCTGCACCCGGAGGCGTCCTTCAGCTGGCCCCTAAACAAATATATATACTAGTTCAGTGATAATGAACGCCATACTAAACTCCAAATTGTACACAAGAAACTAAAATTAAAAATAATACAAGACTAACAAAGGCTAGAGGCTCCTGCAGTTGAACGGCAAACGCCTGAATCTGACAGATAGAGGTCAATTTGTCGACAAAAAAAGTACCTGTATGTAAAATGTTTACGCCCACAAACAGCTCCACCTATAATTTTTTCTACGGCGTCTTTGAGAACGATGTTCCATTCTGTAGTAAATTAAAACATTAAATTAACTAAAACATAGAAAAGTAAGTGTATAAAACTAATTAAAAGATATATTTGCACATGACTGGTTATGCATGATACGCTGGCAATGTGCGCAATGTCCTTTAATCCAAGATTCAAAATTAGTTTGTTTCCTATGTCAAAATGGCGGATTCCAATGTTTACATTTTTCCATCGATTTGAGAGCTGACACAAATTCGTATCCAATCATTAATTTGCATATTATGTACTGTGTAGGGTAGCTTATCCAATGGGATTTACTGTTATAAAGTGGCTATACGTTACCATCCATCGTTACAAAAGTGCCATGTGTTTTGTGTGTATAGCTCAGGAATGATGTGTATTCAATATTTACGGTAAATAATCAATGTTATGTTCATTATATTTCCATGCATACACAAGTCATAACAGCAAATGCATTTTTTATAGAACTTATTAGGTAAACAGACATGTTTAGCTGTCTGCTTTAGCAAAAATTCGTGTAAATAAACCCGATGGGTCGTTTTGAATATTTAAGCACAGCAGACAAACACGTGGTAGATTATTGGTGTTTGTTTACCTAAATTGCACGCTGTTGTTACTAAATACTTAGAAATAACCATTATCGTGTTATTATTGTTTAACAGCAGATAAAATTAATTTTACAATTGCATTTAACTACTTTCAAGAGTTATATAATACACCTTGCCTAAGAAATAGGTCTAGCTAGGTCTAGGGACTTCCTTTACTAGGTCCTTTAAAATGAGGCTGTAATAATGTACATGATGTAAATTACCATATTTACATTCCAGCATTTTGTTGCATTTGATATATTTCATATACATGTACATGTATGTACATAGAGAACAATAGAGTAAATGAACATACATGGGTTTAATTCCGGATCTCCTGTAGTTGGTGATCGCAATACTGGTATACCACAAAATCGTTTATTTTTTACAGATATTTTAATACATGTATACTAAGATTCTAAGCATTTGTTTGTCTTTATTTTCTTATCAATCTTTCACAATAAACATGATAAAAGATATCAATATTCATTAAACATAAAAAGTTGCTTAACAGGGGAACCTGATTATAATCAAATTAACTACTTTTACTAGTTTGTCTACATGAATGTTAAGGGTAGTTAAAGCAGTTGATTCAGAACCATGGGCAATACAATTTGTAGCAGATATATCTACTGGTACAAATACTCAAATACTAATACTAGACAAGCACTCCTACAATAAGAGAGCCGTACAGGTGCTATTTAAACAAGCTTGTAATATAGCAAGCGTAAGAGAAAGTCCACAGACTGAATACATAAATATCAATATAGGAAGTGGGGATTGCAGAAATGCCATCTGAAGAAGAAATAAACAATACCAATGCTGATGATACAGAAGCTATAATAGCATTAATGTCAATATAAAATTCACTAAAATATACTATTGAGACTTAGAAAGAGAGAGCTGGAAGAAAACATAGAAGAAAGTAAAGAGTTTGTTAAAATGCTGAGACAGTACGGTTCCCTTAAGAAAAAAACATCAGAAGATTTAAAACTTTCTTTGATTACAATCACAGTGTACCATCAATGGCATCATCAGTTAAACATACAATCATTCCATTTAAAATTGTCATGTCATATGTTAATATCATTATGCATATATATGTGACACCTTTAATAAAAGATTAATTACCTGTATGTATTGTTTATTTTAAAAAAACACAATACTGGTACAATACTGGAATACAATACTGGTACAAAATTTTTATACCAGTATTGTGCACAATACTAGTATACCAGTATTGCGATCACCAACTACAGGAGATCCTGAATTCCCACCCTAGGTATTAATTTTAATACTCATTAGAGGTTGGAGCAAATAGGGCAGATTGCAATTGACCATAATGTAGTGTCTAAAAATGCTGATTGATGTGGCCAAGTCCTCAACATCCTTTTTTCTAAGTATACAGCAGCTCCTTTAAGGATTAGTAAGGGAACACTTTACATATAGTCCAGTGGCTAAGTCCTGTCTTTTTTGTCTCTATTATTTCCTTATTTATATTATTATATTTCTTATATTCTCTTGTACATGTAGTAAGCTAAAAAGCTATCATTACTCTTTTTCCTCATCTGCCTGATAACAATGAAATGTATTCATTGTTGATGTCTGTAAAGTGACTTATAATTTAACTGCTAACAGACATTTGGACTCTGGTGGATAGTTTCTATACTGTTATCTCATTGGCAATCATACCACATCTCTTTATTTTAGTACAGGTTAAGTATTTAAAGTAAGTGACTAACAAACATTAAATCATTTGAAAGAAAAATTCTGCAATGATTTCAGTTTACATATATCAACAATAAAATTTGGTTGTATAAATTGTGTCATTATGTTTATAATGACCACTGTAATTGTGAACTGCCATGACTGTCTTGTACAAAATATATTTGAATAAGTTCCCTAATGAATAGTATATAGATGTTTAAAAAAACAAATGTATGTACTAGTTCCAGATCTATCAATTCAAAAATAATTGATGTTTTTTTTAATTAATTGAATAATAACAACTTATTGCAATAATCATGATAATCATGATATTAAAATACAAACTAGCATTCTTATATGTGATACATATATAACTTAATGCAGCTTATTCTGAAATTGTAAGGTATGTCATAAAAAAGAGATTTTTTGTAAAAGTTACCAAAATTGTCTGTATTTCAACCACATTTAGGCCTAGGAACCTTAAATTTTTAAGTGTAGAGGTTGACAAGCTAAGTCATGACTGTAAATTCAGATATTATCATGAGGTTTTATTAAAGTAAATAATGTGATTAAATTGATTACCTCAATAAAAAGAACTCTCATTCTGATTTGATACTATGAGATTTTTTCTGATATCAGAAAAATAAATATCTCATTGTTGTCCATTCTTCAAAAAATTTCTGAACATACTGTACATGTATTTAAGTCAGCTTTGTTTTTGTCTGAGACTACTATAACATGGGAAGTGACCAATCTCTATGTTAATTGTTATAGTAGTCTCAGGTTTTTGTTTTGTAGTTCAATTGACTATGCATTTTAGAGCAGTTAAATATGAATTTGGATTAAATTTGAAGTTGATTCAGTATATTTTATGACATAATAACACTCTTTTATTTAAACAAAGCATTTTCAGACTTTATTTACAGACCAGCTTAGCTAATCATTCATTATTCAATCAATAATTTAATTAAAGGACTCAACAGTTGTTTGTAGGACTTATGAATTCAAATATAAGGAAAAAAATCAAATCTTGAAGTAATACATGTAATAGGAATTATGAGAACTGCATGATATCAGATTGCAATACAGCTTTTTGTTCAGTTTTCTTTGTGTTGATTATAATGTTTTAAATCCCTTTCTGGATTTTTGGATGTTCAGATTTTTTCTCTTGATTAAGAGCGAGCAACGGAACTTGTACATCTTATATAGTTTCTTATCTCGGGGGTGGATCAAGCCAATTTTCAAAGAGGAGGGGGGCATGTATTGTCTACGTTTTCTTTTTTTCCATATTGTATTTTAATGTAATGCAGTGTTAAATTCTATTGTAACACAAGTTCTGCTGACAAATGGCTGATAAACCCCTCTTGTATGTAATTATTTGGCATGAAATGAAATATGTTTTTTCTGTATATGGAAATTAGGAATAATCCACCCTCTCTTTATAAAAGACCTGGATCTGCTTAAAAGTTCTTGCTTTTCTCAGAATTTTCCATTGTTACATCAGGAATAAAGGCTACCAATAATCATGGTTGACGATCATTGAGGTCACACATAAAGAACCCATCTCTTTGCAGATCATAGTAGAAAAACAAAGATACAATGTAGTTGGTAACATAAATGTATTTAAAAATATCAAGAGAAACACTCCCATACAGAATCTCTGTCAATAAGTTATTTTTCCACTCTTAACAGTGAAATCTTAAATATGTAAATTGATCGGCAAGCCTCGCATCTTGAAAAATAAAATGTCTGTAGGAAAGAACTATTGTTTCACAATTGATGCCGTGTTAGAATTTATAATATCACTCTTTTTTCCCCATATGATCAGCATAAAAAGTGACAAGTTCTTCAGTCTAAATAACTTTGTTAAATCTCATTTCTGATGGAACATTTTCAGTGCACCAGATTAACAACTTTCTATGTTAGATACTTATTTAAATATAAAAATTCAAGTCTGATTTTAGAGTGAAATTTTAATATATTTAAACAAACTGTCCTAAACAACCAACATGTACAAACACTGAGTTTATTTTCATATCCTTTCTAAGAATATTGATACAAAGAAAGTAAAACAAAGACTTGTATCATTCCATCTACCAAAAGGGTGTTTGAGAATATACAAATAAGTCCAAGTTTCAGAGAAAAGTCAGTTATCTATAATTTTCTTCTTTGGAAGTTTTCAAAAACCTGTTTTAGGGTACTTGAAAAAATGCCATATTCAAACATTCCATGACTATTTTAATGTTACAAGAGTAGAGGAACATTAAATATAGAATGGTTATTCAAGAAAGTGTCGAAATATAACTACAATCATTAATTTTACTCGAATTTACTGTTGTGAACTTGCAGTTTCCCAAGATGCGTGTACGGAGTTATCTCCCGTTGATCTCCGCTTCGCCACGAATAAGCTGACACAATTGCGTATCTGGGGAATTTATGATCTATAATTAATATATAAGATCCAGAAAATGGTTTTACTGCATATTTTTTACCCCTCCATACGTTACCAAACCCATTTAAGAAATGATTTGGGATTTTCCATAGACCTACGCAAATTTTCCAAAAAAAATTTCAACTTCCATCGTTGTTTTAGAATACTTTTATAACACCTTTCATAAATAAGTATACATAATAATGAAGCTTATTCACTCAAGATTTGGACCCTACAAGTTTATTTATGTACGAGTTACAATTAGACGATACGAGGTAAAAAACCAAGAGGTGTACACGTTCACAAGAAAACGGTAAACTCTGACCTTTTATCACTTGACCAATGTCTTGAACTTAGACGCCATTTAATCGTTTGCCGTTCAACTGCTGACTTGGGACAGGCGCAAAAATGCGGCGGGGTTAAACATGTTTATGAGATCTCAACCCTCCCCCTATACCTCTAGCCAATGTAGAAAAGTAAACACATAACAATACGCACATTAAAATTCAGTTCAAGAGAAGTCTGAGTCTGATGTCAGAAGATGTAACCAAAGAAAATAAACAAAATGACAATAATACATAAATAACAACAGACTACTAGCAGTTAACTGACATGCCAGCTCCAGACTTCAATTAAACTGATTGAAAGATGTATATATATATATATATATATATGTGCACTAACATAAGATGAATTTCCATCCAACACAGCTTATTTACTAAATCATTAATAATATTACGATTGTTGAATTTTCAACATCTTGTATCAAATTATTTTTGAGGTTTGGTTGTTGCTTTTTTCATGTTTTTCATAATTTATATAATAACAAAATCTTGCAATGCGGCTATTTTTAACAGGTTTTAGTTAAATGTAAATAGTTTGTTGAAGGCCTTCACACATTATTATGTAAGATAAAATAAAACATATAAATGTTGAAATCTACCTAACACTCTGTTAAAAACATACATATAAATATCAACAGGACTTCACTACTGTAGATTCTTTTATTTTAGTGGATACCAATTTTCTTGGATTGAGGAAAAATTGTGTTTTCATGGGTATTTGATTTCCTGGTTTTGCCAAAGTCTGCATACAAGCCTATAGAAAATTTGAACTTCTTGAACATTTATATTCGTGGTTCACATATAACCAGGAAATCCACGATAATTGGTATCAAAGGAATAATAATGAATCCACAGTACTTACAAAGATAAAAATGATTTTAAAAGAACCATGAATATTTGTTTTACAGATACACAGATGTGTTTGTCATTCTATTATCACATGTATGGCGCTAATATTGGAAGATTAGATGTGATACTTTCAACACCATTTTCAAATCAGACAATATTTACAAAGTACACCTCACAGGGGAATCAATGGTATTTCCAGAAGATATATATTCAACCTGGAGCTAACATAAAGGTATATATTTTCATTACCGTTAATGCAGAAATTGTTACGCGGATTTTGTTAATGTGAATAATGCATATCACATTAAAAAAAACTTGCACTTTGATTACTGATACATAAATCTGTATGCAGTATTTATTGAAATCGCAATTATAAATCTCACATTATATTCCATTCTTCAAAAATCTCAATAATTTCTGAATTCACAGTATTTATATTGGAAGTAACTATCTATACTATTAAATGAGAAGACCTCATTTTGTGTGTCGCTTCTCTTCCTTCCACAATGAATTAATCATATAAGGACCATGCATAGTTGCATTTGTCATCCTCGCTTATGATTATTCAGTTTGGGTTATTTTGGTAGGAAAACAAAAAGAAAGGCATCAGGATATTGTTTCCGTCATCGGACGGACTAGTAAGTCAAAGACGAGACTTCCGTTTAGGGCTATTTTAAAATTACACTTTATTTTCAACTTTGAAGTGCTGATATAACCCAAAAGGACCAAAATTATAGCCAAATCCCAGACAAAGAAATAGACCTATGCATGAAGGAGATACATTCCTTAATTCATGTAATTTGAAATGATTTTGAAATTGTATTACAGCAAATTTAGATATACCAATATCCCTATTTTCATGCCAGTACTGAAGTACTAGTTCTAGGCTGGTGATACTCTTTGGGACTATCAGAAGTAAGGAACATTGCAAAAGCACCTTAGACCAAATGATCTATATGTCAGTTAAGTTGGTTTAGTATAAAATACACTTTCATTGGCTATTGATAGCAGGCATTTTACAGATAACTGCTTAAGACAAAGACAGGCCTTTTAAGATTACTTATGCTAATCACTACAAAATTTCTTACAATGAAATTCAGTAGGGAAGAAGAGACGTATAAGGGAATCATATGAAATGTTAGGCTCGGAAGTTTTCCCTTTGAATTCCAAAGTCATATTTTTCCTTGTTAAAGGCTGTACAGTTGCCTATAATTGCTTACGTCCACTTCATTTGAACTTTGGTGGATATTTGTCTCATTGGCAATCATACTACATCTCCCTATTTTTATATTATCAAATATATAATATCTTCAGGTTGCCAAGCCTACCTAATCAAATAAAATAAAAATGTTAGGATGCAAGTAACTCCTTCTTTCAATGAAGAAATTTTTTTGATTTTTTTTATATTACAGATTATGTTTAATGGTGTTGGTGGAAGTGGTTACTATGGAGATATAGCATTGGACCATATCATGTTGTTTTCTGGTGAATGTGGTAAGTTTCAATGACTTTTATTAATAGGGCCCTTTATGTGGGATCCTTACAGTTTACACTTTGTCCTTCCATGTGTCTGTCATCAATTTTTGTAAACCCCCAAAAATAAAAAAAATGGGTTGAAGCCAATGAAGTTGTGCACAGTTGTTACATATGTAGATGTATATTTAATTTTTGTGTGAAAATTGGACAATTATTTTTGTAAAAAACTCACAATTTAGAGAAATCCTTTTTGTAAATGTAAGAACTCAAAAAGTATTGGTAAATTGTTGATGAAATTTTGTATAGTTGATGTGCCTAATGTGTAGTTCTGCATATACTTTTGTTGTTGAATCGACAGATTTATTTAGAGAAAAACTAAATTTTAGTTTAAAAATAAAAAACTTAGAGAAACATCTTTTTGCGCTAGGATTTCAATGAAAACTGATTTAAAGATATGATATGCTACTGTTAAATAGCACAATTACACAGCAATAGGGAGCAAATTACTGGAGACCATAGCTTTCAATCTTGATAATGCTTAGACCCAAAAAAAATTTGTCTGTTTCCTGCCTCCAACCATTATGAAATATTGTAAGTCAGGATTTTATTTCATTATGCATATTAACGAGATTTGGATAAAATTTCATGTTTTCTCAGAGTTTTACACTTATGCATCCGGTAATTTGCGCATGTGTGTTGATACATTTATAATATTCAATGATTTGACAAGACCTTCTACACTCGATATGTGTCTATCTTATTACAAATTTGAGTGAATAATTCAAAGGAATTGGATTTGTTGTCAAATATGACGATTTTTTTCTTGAATAAATTTTGGAAAGGCAATAAAATATTTTAGGGTCGACGATCAAACTTAGGGGGTAGGAAACAAGCACATATTTTTTTTTTTGCCGGATAACATAATTTTTATAGCAATTCTCTGTAATAACCATAACCATCCTGAAAGAGTCTGGCATGCATAATCTCAGATATTGATTAAACATTTATATAAAGCATAAAAAGTTGAGAGAAACTGACAATGCCATGGCAAAACACAAAAGACAAACAAGTCGATTTAAACACTAAATAGAACACTAAAGACTGAGCAACACCAGCCCACCTTAAAGTAGGAGTTATCTATAAAGTACTCCATACAAGGACCAAAATGGAACACAATTTTTCTCTAGAATATATGGTTGCTTATGGTAACCTAGATAAACTCATCATAGATACCAGGATTACTATTTTGTACGTCAGACGCGTTTTGTCTACAAAAGACTCATCAGTGACGCTAGAATAAAAAAAGTTAAAAAGGCCAAATAAACATCAAAGTTGAAGAGCATTGAAAAAACCAAAATTCCGAAAGGTTTAACATTTTAGATTTCAGCAAGTATGAGGTCGAGTTTCATTGTCAAAAGTTCAATTATATTATTAGATATTTTCTCCCATGATGTATTATCACTTTTTGTAACCTTTAATAATATAAAAAGTATAATAGGAACCAAAAATATTGGAAGTTACAACAGACCGCATCCCATGTCTTTTAGAATAAATCCTTAAATTTTCTATTTGATATTTATGAAAATAAAATGATGAAAATTATACATATTGTGTTTTCTTCAGATAATTCCACAGTTATAACTGTAAGCGATGAATTTAATCCATCAGTACATTTGGTTGGTGGACAAACCAGGGCTTCAGGTCGCTTGGAAATAAAGCCAACTACTTATGGTGTATATTCCCCTGTCTGTGCAAATAATTGGGATTCAGATGACAGCAAAGTGACTTGTCGACAGCTAGGTTACAAGTAAGTGAGATTACCACCTACATTCATCTGATCTTCAACAAAGGAAATTCAGTGGTTCCCTATGGGAGGGGTATAGAGATGACAGTTAAAACTGTAAGTGATGATTTGAATCCATCAGTTCATTTGGTTGATGGACAAAACAGGGCTTCAGGACGCTTGGAAATAAAGCCAACTACTTATGGTGTATATTCCCCTGTCTGTGCAAATAATTGGGATGAAGATGACACTTAAGTGACTTGTTGACAGCTAGGTTGCAAGTAAGTGACACTAAAGTGACTTGTCGACAGCTCAGTTACAAGTAAGTGACACTAAAGTGACTTGTCGACAGCTAGGTTACAAGTAAGTGACAGTAAAGTGACTTGTCGACAGGTCGATTATAAGTAAGTGACACTAAAGTGACTTGTCGACAGCTAGGTTACAAGTAAGTGACAGTAAAGTGACTTGTTGTTACAAGTAAGAGACACTGAAGTGACTTGTCAACAGCTAGGTTACATTAGTAAGTGAGACTAAAGTGACTTCTTGACAGCTAGGTTACAAGTAAGTGACAGTAAAGTGAATTGTCGATAACTAGGTTTCAAGTTAGTGACAGTAAAGAGACTTGTCGACAGCTAGGTTACAAGTAAGGGACACTAAAGTGACTTGTCGACAGCTAGGTTACATTAGTAGGTGAGACTAAAATGACTTGTCGACAGCTAGGTTACACGTAAGTGACAGTAACGTGACTTGTAGACAACTAGGTTACAAGTAAGTGACAGTAAAGTGACTTGTCGACAGCTTGGTTACAAGTAAGGGACACTAAAGTGACTTGTGGACAGCTAGGTTACATTAGTAAGTGAGACTAAAGTGACTTGTTGACAGCTAGGTTACAAGTAAGTGACAGTAAAGTGACTTGTTGACAGCTAGGTTACAAGTAAGTGACAGTAAAGTGACTTGTTGACAGCTAGGTTACAACTTTCGAACAACAAAGGAGATTCAGTGGTTCCCTGTGGGATGGGGGATAGAGATGACAGTAAAGTGACTTGTTGACAGCTAGGTTACAATTAAGTGAGATAACAACTTACATCTGATCTTCAACAAAGAAGATTCAGTGGTTCCCTGTGGGATGGGGGATAGAGATGACAGTAAAGTGACTTGTTGACAGCTAGGTTACAATTAAGTGAGATAACAACTTACAGCTGATCTTCAACAAAGAAGAAGGGGCTTCAGTGTCTGAGTGGTTGAAGTAGATAAACTACTGTATCACTAGCCTGTCAACACTGAGGTTGTGAGTTTGAGTCCGACATGTGACAGGTGTATTCAACACTAATCTTGATTGACTAAGATTTTCAGTTTTCCTAACAAAGTTCAGTGGTTCTCTCAGGGCACTCAGGCTTCATCAAAAATCAAAATCAAAAGGTCAAGGTCATCTGATAACAGTTCAGAACTTGCAGATACTATAAAAGTTGCCACTTTTATCAGATCTTAACCAAAATTGGACTGCTGAATATTTAAGTAGTCATACTTGAACCAAGGTCAAAGATAGGGTCAAACTAAATTGCATTACAGAACTCATCAGATTTAAAAAAAATATTTGTTCACATTAGAATAGAATGAACCTTGGTTGATATAAAGATATTTTTATTCACTAAATAATTCAAAGGATAATGTCACCTATTAGCATTATGAAAAAATACAGCGCCATTATATTTTTAGATTTTGGAAAAATACTGAAAATTAGCCAAAGTCAATAAGATTTGAAGTTTTTCAGCCATCTTTAAGCATTTATTATGCTATATGTCCATAATACAAATGTATTGTTGTAGTACTCTCAAAGCTCATGTATAGAACTTAGGTACTGTGAATTTATATTAGTCCCCGCCACAATGCGTAATGAGAGATACAGAATTACTGGGTGTCAGTCCATGTATCCTTCCATGCATCTGTGTGTCCTTGCATCTATCTGGTCACTCTTGTATGTGATCTAACCTGTACAATTCTTTCCATCATTTTGATGAAATTTATATCATAGGTTTATATCAGCAATGTCTTTCTGGCAGTTTTGAACTTCAGCACTCATTAATTTTTTTTCAACTATGTAAATTATATAGATAATTGCACTGTACTATTGCTCTAAAGCCTACATTTTTAGTCAGAATTTTTTTTTAAAGAAATTATATCGTAGGTTTATTGGAAAATGACGCTGTCAAAGCGTCAATTTTACTATACCATTGACCAGATTTCATTTTATCGCTTCCAGTCGCTTCCAAGCTGCCTTCCGAACTCGGTTCCGTATTTTACATACCTATGTCCTGTACAGAATTTCATTCTTAACCTGTCCATATGTTTATTGTTATTAAATGGTATTTTGAGCTATCCCTTTGGTATTTTTTTCATATTTATATGAGCTTTGCATGACTTTACAATCCATAAAAAAAATCAGAACATAAATAGATCCGTATTGTTATGGTTTTGGACTTTTTACATACCAATGATAACAAATCGCTATCACTAGAAAATAGTTCTTGAAAGAATGTTTACCTTTACTTGTCAGCTGTGCTTTGAAATCATTCAAAAAATAATAATCGGAATCATCTTGAAATCATACGAAAGATAATGGTCTTTATCAAGATTTAAGAAGTTTTTAAGAACCGAAAATAAGTAATATGGTTAAATCACGTGATGCCTATGTATTTGTTTACAATGTAACTGCTGCAGACATAATATAGGTCAAATATCGCAGGGGCCAGTTCTATTAAAGAATAAAATGGCGATAATTGCAGAAGTTTTTCTGTCTAAAGACTTTATTTCTTTCTGGATTTCTTCACTGTAAAAAGAATTATAAGATGCAAACACTTTATGAAAGGAGTAGGCAGTGCTCATTATGAATCATACCAAAAGTATTTAAGGAAAGTTTTACCCTTTCTCTGACAACGTGGTCTCGTCCATTTTTGAAACATTACGATTATTTCATTACTTTTTCGAGTTAACAACTTAACTATTGAACCTGTATTGTTTCGAGAAAAGCATTCCCGTTGTCCAGGTGTTCATAACAAGCCTGTATTTTACGATTACTTTTACTTGCATCGCTATTTTCAAAATCGGATATAAAAATTTCTTGAAAATAAATAAAAAATAGAGATTTGCCATCCACTTTTCAAAAACTGTTAATTAAATATTAATTTAAAATCAATGTTAACTGTGGATGACTTGGATAAGGAATGGCATTTAATGATTCCTAGAGATACAGCAAAATGTGTAAACAGGAAGTTGTGAAGGGAGACAATTTCATTGGCCAAAAGTGCTAAAACAAGGCAATACCCCTGTTTATTCATCAGAAGACATAACACATCTTGGCTTAATAAGAGCAGAATTGAAGGAAAACAATCTTAATGTTGATGCCCGCATCAGCATTGCGTGAACAACCCTATACTCTCGGATGAATACTGGTCTACATGGAACAAATGGACTAAACCCACAGACATCTTACAGGATATATCAGAGCTATGTTATTCCTCGTCTGTTATATGGAATGGAAATGCTCCCTCTTAACTAGAGCCAACTTGATATCATGACCCGCTTTCACACAAAAACATTGCGTAATATTCAGTCTCTGCCTACACGAACAGCCACTGGATCGATATTTATGCTGTTGGGTGCTCTAACAATTGAGGCAGAAATACATAAAAGGCAACTTTTCATTTCTGTACAGTGTTCTTTCTTGCAACAATTCGACAATTCAAGGCTTAGTAGACAGACAAATCATCATGAATATTGATAACCATCTCAGCTTCTTCTGTAAGGTCACAGGTGTGCTAGCTTTATATGATCTGCCAAGTATAACTACACTTAGCAAAAATTTACCGTCAAAATTAAAATGGAAAGCAACAGTTAAATTAGCAATTCAGGATTATTGGACTAAAACCCTCATTAAAGATATGGAAACAAAGTCTTCATTAACATATTTGGACAAAACCTTGTTAAGAATTGGTTCTACACATCCGGTTTGGACCAGCCTTTCTTCAACTGTCCCGGATGATAAAAAGGGAGCGATAAAAGTCCGGCTACTAACTGGGACTTATTTACTTGAATCTCACAGATCTAAATTTAGTGGTGGCAGGGAGTCGGCATTATGTAAATTCTGTGGAACGTCGGATGAAGATATAATCCATTTCCTGCTGTTGTGTCCAGCCTTACACCAGCAGAGAAAAGAAACATTCAGCAAACTTAAGTCTTATGTGATATCAGTTATTGACATGGGATATTGGTCTAAAGAATTCAAAGGACATTTTGATCTGATAAGACTTATTGTCGACAGTTCTTTTCTGCTGCCAAAGCTTAGAAATAGGACCAAATTGGACAAAATTCAAAGATTAGCTACGGACATGTGTTATAGACTCCATTCTCAGCGTGTATGGAAATTACAAGGAAAATAATAACTGTATTGCTAAGTATATAGATAATACAATCAGTGTAATGAGGAAAGATATGATATGAACACTATGTACATATGTGTAAAGGTAGAGGCAGGGGTGTCCTGCTTTCCATTGTATAAAGCACCCTATATTTTTAGATTTTAGTTGGGTACAGTAAATCTTAAAATACATATTGACAAGGCCTAGATATTTTTACCTTTTAATTGCGTAAAAAAAAATTTTATCAGTCCTTAATGGATATAAGAAGATGTGGTATGAGTGCCAATGAGACAACTCTCCATCCAAGTCAAAATTTATAAAATTAAACCATTATACGTCAAAGTACGGTCTTCAACACGGAGCCTTGGCTCACACCGAACAGTAAGCTATAAAGGGCCCCAAAAATTACTAGTGTAAAACCATTCAAACGGGAAAACCAACGGTCTAATTAATCTATATAAAAAACGAGAAACACTTATGAACCACATCAACAAACGACAACTACTGAACATCAGATTCCTGACTTAGGACAGATGCAAACAAATGCAGCGGGTTTAAACGTTTTAATGGTACCAAACCTTCACCCTTTTTCCTGAAACATTATAGTGT